AAAGCACTATCTGAAATCATTCAGAATAGCATCAGCATCAGCATTTATTTTCTATTCAGTAATATCTCATATTGTTATTGAAAATCTGTCATGTCAGTCTTCTCAAACTGCTCTTCTACCCAACAGAGTCAGAATCTTCTTGAGAGTTTTTCAGAATCTTCAGAGAATATTTCAACTGAGTCTGATTCAGAGTTCAATAAGTCACTCTGCAAAGAAGATCTAATGACTTCTCTGCAGAAGTGTTTTACTGAAAAGCTGTCAGATGTGGTCTATCTTCTGACTCTGGTCTGTCTATACAGTAAGAAAGTCTTGATCAAAGAAAAGAAATTGCTGAAGACACTGTGATGAAATTATTTTATTCATCTGTGCAATGATGACATTTCAGATCTGATGACAAATATATTTCAGTCTCTTGATATAATGTGCAGGAGTAAGTATTTTGTCTTCAAGCATGACTGATGTGCAAAAGATATAATCAAGAACTGAAAGTGTGGTAGCATCAAACACATTAAAGTAGATAATCAACTGATCTTCAGAATTCCATTAAATAATGACTTTAAATACAGATTGTAACATCAGAAATTATGAAACTAAGCCACATGAATGATTCAGAGACTGACATTCATAATGTAACAGACATATCTAAGCTGATTTCATATTTTGTTCAAAACTTTAAACTGAATTTCTTTCTACAGATGTTCTATTGAATTGCATCAATTCTTGACTATAATAAATGTTCAGTGTGGGGAAAATGATATATACACTGTGAGTCAGAAATTCTATTAGTCCATGAACTGAATCATAAGTCTAATGTGCCATAGAATTGTATGCAAATATGATTGCATGCATGAAAAAATATCTTAATATTTCAGAAGTCAAGAGATCTATTGAAGATCATAACACAGTTCATGTCTTCTGAAGCATCATTACAAAGACATCTGACATTGCTGTACTGCAGCAAGATGACTTCAGTGCTCTAAGCAGAAGACTGCACAAGACATTCAGAGTCATCACATACATAAGTGAGATGTCAATAGAGACAACATTGACATTGAAAATTTCATCAAGAACATTTATGAGAACATCATTGACATCAGTAAGCAGAAATGCAACATCAGTCTCATGTCAGAAGATTCAGACTTCTACACTAACAGCTTCTATGTCAATCACTTCTATGTCAATCACTTCTATGCCAATCACTGAAACCACAGTGTCTGTGCATGATGATGATGGTCAGCATAATGAGAAATCATCAGTGTTTGAAACTGAAATCACTAACAAAGCTCAGACTATCAAACAGTGCAAGACTGTCAATAATCTGACATCTCAGAGAAAGAAGACACACAGATTCTGAGATTGTTGACTGCATGTCAAAGTTCATATGTGTGTTCTCAAGAAATCCATCATGTATTTCTCAAGAACTTCAGTTTTGATGTGTCTATTCTTAAGAACACACAGTGGATTTCTTGAGAACTTTAGATTTGATATGTTTTATCAGTATTCTCAAGAAATCCATCATGAATTTCTTGAGAACTTCAGTTTTGATATGTCTATTCTTAAATAACACACAGTGAGTTTCTTGAGAACTCCAGATTTTATAAAACAAAATAGTTAGATTTCAGTTTAATATATACTAGAATGAGAATTCATTAACAATCATATACATGAATCTGATTCTCAACTCATCAAATGTGGGCTTCAAGTTCAAAATCAATTTGTAAACACATAATTCATATGGGATAGTCAATATGAATGGTAGTTAGTCAGAATTCTGAAATAACATAGACCCATATCACAACACATCTCAATTAGAAAACTCACAATAGCACATTTTCATGTCAGCTATAAATTCACACACAAATCTTCTAATCTCTCTCTTTTTCTCTTCTCTCTTTCAAGTCAACATCTCTTCATTGATCTGCTCTCCACTCCCCCAACTGACCCATTAGTAAGTAGTATACAAAGAACAGAATGTAAGTATTCATGGAACTGACTATATATGAATAGTCTCACTCTGCCCACCCATCTTACACTGTTTGATAGATTCAAAGAGATGAGGGCAATAAAAACATGAGATTAAGCTGACTTAATATAGCAATCACATTTTTATTATTCTGCTCTCACTCTCAGTTCTGCTCTGCAATGTAAGTTATCAACTCACCATTGAAGATATTGTATAACTAATGATATAAAGTAATCACATATCTATTGGCCTGCGCCCACTCTGTATTGTAAGTAAGCTAACTTAAAGAAAGATCTGGATATAGAGAAGACTAACAGAATAGTAATTAAATATTAAGTGACTCTGCTGTCTCATTAGTAGAAAACTGAGATCATCTCTTTTAGTAGAAATATAACTGACATGATACAGAATATCTATTTTGGAATTCCAGCCTGCTTTGCAGTAAGTAAAACAACTCAAATGAATGATAGACATATAGACTAATAATATGTAGAAATGTCTTCAAGACAAAGAGTCACTGCTTCTTCAGTGTCACTTTCATTCATCTCTCACAGTCATAAAACTGACAAGAAGAAGACAAAGACACTCTGCACAAATTGTGTGAAATGAATATATACTGCTCATATGAATAAGATTTATTCTCATGTGAAGAACTCAAATAAGACATATTTAAACTGTGCATCAGCAAAGAAGAGCTGTGTGATTATTAATTACTGTTTTCATAAACTTATTGCAGATCTTCTTGACACACATGAAAATTATAATGCAATCACTAATAGAACTGCAAAAAAAATTTTACTCAAGAATATAAGTCATTAAGCAGATAGTTTACTTAAAGCTATTAAAACTGTAGAAAACTCTCTCTCTTCTGTCTCTGTCTCTCTCAATGTTGCTACTGCTGCTCTCATCAATCAGAATTTCAGAGTTTTGCAGAAGCAAAAGAATTTTCTTGAGATCATTCTTTATATTGTCAAGATAAGTTCACTTTTCTGTAGAGATTGATGATTAAAGTGAGCTGAAAGTGCAGTAGAATATTTAAAATACTGTGATTAAGTTAACTGTTGAATTAAATGTGCATCATGCTGAGTTCTCTGCTGCTTCTGATGTGATAAGTAGTCTTATGAAAAATCATGCAACTTAACTAAATACTGAGAATTACTTAAGAAGAGAAAGCACAACAGATCTTCAGCTGTCTTCTTCTCACAATATCAATAAAATTTTAATTTCAGTTTTCATGAAACATCATCTCATGTGTCTTTAAGCTTCTCTTCTGTCTCATTGAAATTGTGTCTGCTGTCAATGCAGCAGATGTTCACTGTCATTAATATCATCTTCATTAGTGAGTATATGCTCTCTTCATCATTACTTCATCACTCACTGTCTCTCTTCACTCCAAATTTCAACATTTTTTTAGACAATAATGAAGATGATAACTTCAGTAATCACTAGATGATCATATTTTACTGTCTGAGTGAGTGAATGAGATCTTTTTGTCTTTGTTTACAGCTTTTTGAGTGAATGAATGAATTTGTTGTGTTAGTTTAGTTATCTTATCTCAAATAAATCTCCTTCAGAATACCATTGCAACTTGATAGTAAGAAGCTCAACATATTGATGTGCTCAACATAGTGCATGCTCACTACATTGAGTCAGAAATACATAGTAATTACTGACACCAACATTGGCACTATGATGTGGTGGTAATGGCTATGTAACAGCTCAGAAAATCAGTAACCTGATGGTAGTGCAGAAATCCAGGATTCCGCTATGGCTCCCCTGACGAAAACCGCTAGTCAACCCAATTATGGTTAGTATTGGCAAGACTGTCCTCAGTATTTGGGTTTCGTGTCTGTCCTCCTATATAAGAAGGCATCTTAATATCTTGTATTTCTGCAATGACAGTATTGCCTCTAGCCAGATCAACACTGCTATAGCTAAACGTACGATACATATCTCCAAGCCCTAAGCACCGATAGTTTTAAACCGAAACCCCAGCACTTCCCTGATAATGGCCCCAAACTGTCCAAAAGAACGCGTATTGACTCGAAGGTAGAATAATCTTGGTCACAACCACATTTTTCACGTATGCGAGAATCCTTTACTGACTGCTGATATAGATATAATGGTCGCGCTCCTCAGTTGGTTAATATTTTGATCTTCTGTAACAGTTCAGCCTCTGTTTGCTTCTTCCTAATTTCACTTAGTTCAACATCGGATTAGAGCACTCTAACCATAAGTGTCTAGCACCAAAGCTTATAATTATGCTATGCTAGATTGGGCCTAGCTCATTTCTTACTCATCTGAGGTGAGCGGCTCTTCCAAAGTCAGCGTTCTTTCTGAAGGATTATTTCTCCGACGACTGTGCTCATTATTGGCGGCGGGCTCAGCCGCAGTCTACAAACCCAATCTATACTAACAGCAGTTTAACCCCTAATTATCTCCTTCTGGATGGATAGGCGACTTGGCTAGATTTTCACGGCCTTCTCCATCTGCTTGACAGCTCTTTTAGCGACTGTTAACACTGCGCTAGTTATACGCGCTCCGCGAAAATGACCACTCGCGATCAGAATTAGCCCTAGGTGATCAACATGATTCTTCGGCCAGGATCTTCCTTTAAATAGGATGTAACGCCCCTCATCCTCGGGCTATCTTACAAATCCCATTGAATTTATTTCGACGGTTCGCCAGATTGAGACTTCATTATTATTTCTTTCACATACATGGTCTTGAACGATGCCTACACAGCAACGTTACGTGTTATGAATGTTTTTTAAAGTGTAGCTCTTTAAAGGAATATATACTACAGATTTTATGAATGACTTTGAAATTAACAAAAACTCAAGAACCAAACCCGACCATGGACAGCTTAAAAATGTTGAGCTGTTAAAACTCTCAAACTCCCAAACATTATCCTTTTGGAACTGGGCTTCATCCACCAGTCAAGTATCCGACCATCGATTGCTAGCTTCCATGCCAAACGCGTCCTCCGTATTTTCGCATCTTTCTGTGTTTCGAAGGTCTTCATTTAGTTTAATTTTTAACCGGATGAAGATTCTAAACTCTTTGTGAATCGATAACCGCAGGACATCGAAAAGTCTGAAAGCTCGAGGCCGCTATTTTCCAGGCCCACGGGGATCCTATTGGCATTGATGGCGATATTCGTGATAAAAGGGTCAACATCATTCGGTAAAGTGTACAGGCCCAATTCCCGATCGAAATTGCTTTGGTCGGATTTGCCTTTCAGTTCGTAATCGACGTTGATAAGCTTTCCCCACAACCTGAAGTCATATTCCCCATCTCCCGGAGTCCAGAGGCGCAGTTTATCTTTATCGCCGCCTTGGGGATCGGGTGCCGTGACTATTTGGAGATCGGTGACGATGGCGGCTAGACTGGACTGGCCCTTACCTTCCTTGTGAAAAATGCAGTTGGAATACCATACTCTTGTGCGTCGACCTCTGCATGGAGCAAATCCATTACACGTATAGCCTCTAAGACTTGGAGTCTGGCTTCCACGAGTAGCGAGAACTCAGGGCGCCGCCAGCAGAGCGACGTATAAGATATTTTTGAACAGCATGGTGTTGAATAGAGAACCGGAAAGGCAGTGGTACTAGTAGGATTGAAGGAAATGCTCAAAAGACTGTGTAACAAGGAATGATGGAGAACGGAAAACAGCCTGCTTTTATCTCCTTGCTGTGTTATGGAGCCATATACCACGTTTGTACATCATTTTACAGTGGATGCTCGATACTTCCTTTTGATTATTAGTATTGAAACAGGATGCATACCCCAGCAGGCGTATAAGGTTTCATTATGGATGTAGTGTGGGCAGTGGTCAGAAATCCTACTGGAGTGATATACAACCACTGTGATAAATGTGGATCCTCCGATGGAAAACCACAGCAACAAATGCACATACAACAATACCCAAATCAGCTATGGATCCCTCTGTCACTAAACATTATTGAACGTGTATGAGTACCTACGGAAGGAGCAGATAATCCACCGGGATTTACGAAGGAAAAGAGATGGGCCCCAAAGCTGATCGTTGGGATGACGCCGCTTATTTTTTCCTTTTGCAGAGGCCATGCTGCCAAGACAACAACACGTTTGGGTTGAGGCACGGACGGGTCTTACTATCCAAATAATACATTGAATTGGGGGACAGAAGTGACCCAAGCTGTGCTTTCTTTTGAGAGAGTTATCTCAATAGTCTCGACACGTCTGAATGATATCCAATCTGCTCTTAGGCGGACAAAAGCTACCGCCTTATTTATGAATGCCTTCAGAGTCTTTTTATCTTCGATTTCGTAGCGTATATGAGGGACACTGCGAGACTGGATAGACCCCTGGAGCAAGTCCCATGCCCGATTGGGTGGGGCTTTGGGTATATCTCTATTGTACTCTCGCCAATCCTTGCCTGATAGCTAACCATTGTCCGTTATCAATGCCATAGGTAGGATGATGGAGTAAATATCCGAAATACATATTTTCAGTATCGACTCCAAGCACACTATACATAGTCTTTGGCTCAGAGGAGTCCAGGGCAAAGTAAACAACAGTTGATAAATCAATCTAGAAAAAGCCCATATATAGCAAGGAATCTTGACCTCTCGTCTCATGCCTAGTTACATTTGACATTTGACATTGTAAGCCTTTGATACAACAGACAACGCTGATCGTGTGGGGTTCTGGATTAAATCTAGCTAGCTAACTATCTTATCTCCGTTCAATCGGACGGCTTTAAATTAGTTAGTTAAGTAGTTAGGGAAGCCGAAAGTATATCTATGTCCAGGGTCGTATGGAGGAGCAGTTATTCCACATGGAGATCGAAAGGGAAGTGCATACCCCTACCTATACAGCGAATTAGTGCCCGATGCAAGCGCGACTGCGAAGATGATTTAATAATGATATAGGTAAGGAAGCAAGCATGTAAACAGCCCATATCCTTAAATGTATGGGATTAAGTAACTAAAGACAAAATTGCTACAATAGATTCACGACATCACTCTCCCTGTCTCCCTTGGGGCCCCTTTCACCTCGCACTACTTTGGCGGTTTATTCCTCAAATTCATATGTCATCGGGACAATCGTTGAGCGTGGTGTTTCGCCATCGTCTTCGAAAATCGGGACGCTAACTTCACAGTCAACTAGAACCGTATCTCTGCAATACTCTTGAATTCGGCTGCTTGTCTGAGCGCAGTAGGACCACTTAAAGTACCCTCTAATGTCTTCCTTACGATTGCACTGGTTTCTGTGACCCCTACAATCCACCATGGGTTCACGCTTGCACTTGCCCTTGATCTTTGCGTAGAATGTCCTGGTTTCAATTAGGCACATACTCCTTGGTTTGCAGGGCGTGGAAACTGTGACGAATTTGGAGTGTGTTTTTTCTTCCGTTGTGCTTTCCGAATATTGAAACGAGAATGTCGCGCTCCCTGAACCATGGTGCTGGTTAATCCCTCCCGAGACCGAGGCGCCGATACTCCAACCCGCTGTACGGGCAATTGTCAATGCATTCGATTTCATTGATGTCACCACAGTATCCGAGTTCGTAGGGTTGAATCCCCTTGCTTCAACGACACCCTTATATTCGACTGTAATGTTTTGTATCATCTTCATAATATCTTTGTAAAACATCCCAATACTTGGGCAGGCAGTCCATTGCATGAAACAGCTAGATTCGTAGATTATTTCAGTTAAACCAAATGGTGGTTTCTGGGTATCGAGTTTGAACGACTTTTGCAACCAGTCAACTTCCCGCTGGGCCATCTCCAGCTGCTTGGTCATGACAGGATCACTCTTGATGTGGGGTATAGAGCCATCGGGGCTGGTAGTGTTTGTAGCGTTTCGAGGAAGAGCATGTATCGAGGCAGCAAGGGTCAAAAGGAAAGCAGCTTTCGGAAACATTTTGGTATAACAATAAGATATTAGACTGAGAACGCCAGAAACCCGATGCTGGGAAGATCTAATCCCATGTTAACATGATTTAAGGAGCTTAGGTCGTTGGTCTATATGATCACTGGCAAAATTGCCTGCTCTTTTGGGAACGATCCTCCATCCTTCGAGAAAAATAGCGTAGTGAAGCATGATGAGCACCCAAGAAGTCCGTCAAGATAGTTTCAGAGTTGTCGACAATAACTCAACTATTACACTCTCTTGATATAAAAACCCAGTACTGACTGCATCCAAGCGTAAAGAAGCACCCCAGCCAGAGATCGTGGATGGTGTCTGTTCGCCGTATAGATGTTGCTTATGCTTCGGGGTATCCACGTGGAAAAGTCAGCCGGAATTATGAACAAGAATAATTAGTCGATAAATATGCTTCATCCTTTTAATTAGGTGGATGTGGAGTGCGGAGTAATTATCAAGTTTTTGGTCTGTGCTGTAGTGCTAACCGCTCAGTCATAAGAATGACCATCCGTAGGACGATAGCGTCGTAGTCACCGGCCGACAGTCCTTCAACGTAGAGGGAGGCCAAGCGTGACAGGAATATTCCAGAAATTGCCAAACTACATCAACGGTAGCTGCCCCATCGGCCGATTGACGAGGCTAATATAAACGGCGTGGGGAAGAGATTGACAATGTATTACACCCAATCTTGTAGTTTCAAAGGAAGGCATTTGGGGCCTTGGGGTTTCAGCATATGCTCACGTACAAGAACCAAGGAGCACAGAGACTCTAGTTCTGCCAGTGAGTCCAGCTCCTGAACCATAAAAAATAACAAAAAGCTTGCTGATCGTTGAATTTATAAAATCTGTATTGTCTATATCGCTTTGGAAAAACTAACCTCTACAAGCCGATCGACTGGGACGTTCAGCCTAGACAATTTTGTTTTCTCATGGCCCTTCAGATATGTAAATATGGCCAGGATAACCCTTCGAATTAGCCCAGAGTTCTTTCGTACATAAAGCTTGTCACGCCCGATAACGTAAGTGATGGGTTTAGTGACTGCATGGCCGGTTGAACCCGTTAGCGGGATTGAATCCGAATCAATACTTGTATTAGGGTGGGTGTGACGAGAAGAATCAACTTCTTCAGTGGGACAGCGAATTCCGAGCTCATCTGTCAGCATTTCCTCGAAAGAATCCCAAGATGGCGTGTCTCCATAGCCGTATCGAAGTGTTGCGCGATATAACCCGGTAACATTAGTAGCGGTCAGCGTGAACCGATCTTTAACAGCAACCTGGTAAAAATGTAGGTGAGTTGCTGTAGTGCAGGAGTCATATATCATAAATACTCACTGAGTACTTCATAAGGGGTCTAATTTGAAGAAGAATAGAAATTTCGTGTGTTGCTTCGAACTTTTTGATGAAATGATCAAAAACAGGGGGTGATCTCGAATTGGGCTCAATAAGGAATACGCCAATGCCTATTTGCTATTAGACACATCTATTAGCACGGACGATGGTGATCTCACCTCTGATAGTTTTGACTGAATATTCTGCTTTTCCATCTCGAAGCCATAATTGATCGTGGGAGGTAAATATCGTTGACTGGGAGGCGCTCTCATCTCGCTCTGCATGGAACTGGCACCCTTCACCATAGCTCCACATGAGCAAGGTGCTTGTGAGAATAGATGCCATAATGACCGTGAACCAACCGCCTGCTGGCACTTTAGCAAGAGCCGCACCAACAAATAGAACATCAAAGAAGCCAATAAAAAGGAATACGGGAAGGACTATTAAAATGTGGAGATTCCAAATAATAACAGCCACCAGGGTGACGAGCCAAGTGGTGATAAAGCTGACCCCGACCACGCATACACCATAGACATTGCCAATCCGAGTAGTCTAAATAAAACCACATTAGCATTAACCACGCACTGCGAGGGCTGATGCATACAGTTTTAAATACTGAAGTGACAGCCAATGAGCCAAGCATCATCAACCAGTTGGCCAGTGGAATATATATCTGGCTGGTAACACGTTTTGAAGTGTGAACACGTCTAATCCGGGGTAGATATGCCATACGGATGGCTTGTGAGATAAGCTGAAACGTCCCAGTGAGCATAGCCTGCGATGCTACGATAGATGCCAATATTGATAAAATCAGTGTTGGCCAGTACATTCCTGGAGGGACAGCCTTAAACAATGGGTTTACAATCGCATCTGGGTGACCACTTATGAAAGCCGCCTGGCCGCAGTAAGTCGTAAGTAAACACGGCAAGGCAAAACAAAGCCATGAAACCCGAATCGCCCTAACCAAAACATTCCTTTAGCGTTAAATATCTTCGGAATTATCCTAGAAAAACTTGCTTCACTGAGAACGCGCCAAGATCGGCAAACAATGCTTCAACCCCTTTTTATAGGGTTAGCGATGGTAATAAACAGGCGGGGATGGGATAAGGGGACTTACCAGTAAATGATAAGAGAATCCCGCCAAGTGAACGCCAGCCATTGAAGCGATGTCTAATCATGTAATCAACTGCAAGACGAGGAGAAAATGCCTGGAGAACGCTATGATCGAAAAAAACCAAATTCTTCGGAGGTTAGGGATTGTGATGTCAACAGCGATTGGTGTACGAACATAAATTCCAAAAGACATGTTGAATATTAACCAAACCATTACGATCGGAGCAAAAAAGTTGCTGAGTCGTGAGGTTCCGAATGGCTGTATAGTAAATAAAACGACTATTAGAATGCAAGTTACCACTACCACGACGTTTGTTGACATATCGGGAGCGGCAATCTTGATTCCTATGCTAGTGTAAGCACAGAAGGCAGATGCATGCGTGTTGTTTCAGATACCATACCCTGAACGGCTCCCAGGATTGACTGTGCAGGAGTAATAACGCCATCTGCATAGATGTATTAGTTGAAATTAATAACGACAATACTTCTACGGAATTGAACATTACCAGAAATAACCATACAAACACCCAACACAGCCAAAATAGTAACCGCACGTTTGGCCACATGGCTTTGTTGTATTGCATTTCTTACAAATGAATTTGGGCCCTTGAGCTCCTTTTCCTTGTAAGTCTGTAGGTCACTGTGATCTGATATTGAATCGCGCCAATCTAGTGGGATCTAGACATCTTGGCGATAAGCTTATTCCCCGGAAAACTTCGAACATGGGTATCACATACATGGCGTCGAATCAGAGAAAGGAGTGCAAAGGAACCGCCCTCGCCGTCGTTATTGGCGCATAGGACAATGCCCACATACTTAACAGTGGCAATAAGTATTAGTGCCCAAATTATTAGTGACAAAGCCCCCAGTAAGTCGATTGACTCTGGGGGGGTGGTGAACACTGCTGAGAAGACATAGAGAGGACTGGTCCCTATATCCCCATAAATTGCACCGATGGACTGGTATGCTAGCCTATAGTAGGTATTTTAGAACTTGATTAAATAAACGGGGAGTTGTCAAGACACTCACCACATCGAAGCCCATCCTTGGAGCTCCTGGAACTCGTTTCTTAAAATCAGATACCAGGGTACAGACTGACGGTAATGGAGAAACATTTGAGAAGCTCTTAACAAAACGTCTTACCTGTTTTGGATGATGGTCTTGCAGCGAGTCGAACGACGATGTATCTTGGTTCACAATCGTACCACTGCTCTCTGGATCGAACGCTGTTCTATCAAGCAAAGACGATCTGGCAGCTGTGCTGGCACATTCATCGCGTCGTATCGCGTCCCCGTCATCTTCATCGTCATCTACTGGGATGTAGCCTTCTGCCATAGCTTACAATTCGACTGCGCAGGAAAAACAAACGAGGCAAGGTCGAGAAACATGCAGCTTGACGGAGGACAAAAACCGAGGCGTAGTGAATGCTAGTCGAAGATCCGCCAGGAATCAGACGTATTTGAAGCATGGCGGCCCCTTCGCTAATAATAAATACGGGGGGCGCTAGTCGACTGCGAGCGCCAGCGCCAAGCATCGTGGGTCCCTGCTGAGTAGTTACGTCGTCGGCATGCAGGAGAGGTTCGAGGGGAATATCTGCTCCCCTGCCCTTTCTCAAAGAGCTAGCACGGAGTACGGTTGTAGGTCATAGCTAGTAATTAATATATTTGGCGCAATCAAATGCTCCCGATGCATCTATAAACTGGGAATTTGAGGAAACTCTCATATTTCTCCAAGCTCTGACGCTCGTGACCATCTCCAAAAGCTCTGAAAAGTGCTGGAAAGCATTGATTGCAGGTGTTTAAAGACTATCATTACACGTATTGGCCAAATTTCGAAACAGAGAATAGACAAAATCCTTTCACACATTTACTGGTCAAGGGGAATTAGAGTCGAGGAATTCTCAAAGCTAAAATGCAGCCATAGCACTCATAAAAGAAAATTGCAGCTCGAATATATAAATTATCGATAAAATGCAGCAGGATTTGAAGTTGGGCTATTTGACTGCGGTACTACAGGAGGCTTGTAACTTTGATAGGTGCCACTGGGAGAGCTTGGATACGGAGGTTGTGATGGCCCACTTGATGGAACAGGAGGTGGCTGGTGCATTGGGGCTGGTGGGGAGAATTGCTGCCTTGGAGGCTCTTGAGATGGCTGTACGGGGTAAGGAGGGTTGGATTGTAGTGGCTGTAAGTTCAAATTCTCTTGCGATGAGTAGCGTCGCTGTGTCCGATCTGGCAAAGCTTGGCCTGGCTGGACAGCTGGGTGGTAGGAATGTCGGATACTTGGAGGAACGTTTTCTTGCGGAGAGTCATATGCAGACGTGCCTAGTTCCTGTGGTGGATCAAAAACGGGTTTCGAACCATATTGAGCTGCTCCACTTTGAGGATAGGCGTCAGATGGCGGTTGTGATGGCTGGGCTTGCTGTTGTGGCAATGGCAGAGACCCCGAAGATGCATCCCTTCTAAATTCAGACGACTGAGAAGGCGGTGCGAAATGAGCTGGGTTCTGTTCAGAATTATAAAAGCCCGGGGCACTATGGGCAGTATTTTGCGCCTCTCCTGGGAAATATTAATCAGAAGAAGGGAGACGAGAGGTATAATCATCACAAACCTTGAGATGGCCTTGGAGAGTAGTATCGTTGCGGCTCTTGCTGCTGAGCTGGATACCCCGCATGGCTGCTTGGGGCAGGATAGCCATACGATGGATGTGCTGGTCTACCATAAGCAGGTTGGGTAGGGTGTGACATAGACGCTTCTAATAAGGCCTCATAACCCCTTCGAGCTTTGATAAACTTCTCGTTAAGCTGCGTGAAGTCATCTGCTTGGTGTTAGCAAGTATTTCGCCGGCCTAACCGTTCAAAAGTCTTACCCTTTTTCTTAGAATATTTACCAATCAACTCAATTAATTTTGGTCGAATCGCAAGGGTCGAGTGGTATAGTTTAGTAATTTCTTCATTTTCTTGAACATTCAACTCAGAGCTGTTTGTGCTTAACAGAGCCAAAAGCTTCTCGACGTTCTTTATTTCAGCAAAAACCTCGGCTTCCATTTGAGCTTCCCGCTGTAGCTCCTCCTGGGTAGGATCTGAAAGCTTCTCGACATAGTTCAAAGGAAAAATGCCCACTTGGCCACGGAGCGATCCCTTCCACCAATCCTTGTACGCGGACTCCAAAACAGCAATAATGTCACCCTTCTGGAACTGAAGTTCTCCAGGCTCAGAGGGTTGGAAATCATAAAGGGCGCGAACACGAGAGACCGTGGCAGCGGTGGTTCCGGAGGGAATGCCCTGTGAAGGTGGGGTCTGTGCTTGAGCGGACGGAGCCGCGGCAACTTGCTGTGAAGAAGTCTCTTGCTGGACTGGCACAACGGGCTGTTTTTCCTTGATGGATAGAGCGAGTGCCATCTGAAGCTCCTCTTCCTCCTTTTGCCGGTCTATATCTGTGATTTGCCGTTTTGTAGGTTTTGAAGGTGGCTGTATATTGGGGTCTAGAAAAAAGAAATCTATGAGCCTGGGCAAATACTGTAAAGCTTTGGAAATGTCGACGTACTCTGTGATTTTAGTTTCATATACGCTTGTTCCATGATGCCAAAATCCGCATTGCTAGAGAAAAGTTCTGTCCAGTGCTCCATGTGTTCTATTATTTTGGATTTCACTTGCTGGTGTGTAGTCTGTAAGGGTAAACGAATGTGAAATTAGCGAAGATGTCCAAGATATCACCAAATATGAAGAAACGTACTCGATCACCGGCTAGCCGCAAAAGGGCGTCCGTGAAACTTTTTGATGCTAGCTCGCGCTGAATTGTTGCACCACAATTCTCAGAAAGTGCGTTGGCAAGCTATAACATACACCAGGCGTATTAGTAGGTTCTTGTACAGAAATATTGTCGGGTAGACTGGGGGAGGAACAGTATATACCTCTAAGGTGTACAGCTGAACGTTTGCATTTCGATGAGCTAGCCGTTTGATCATGGCAGCTACGGCATCTTTCGCACTGCTTCCAAAATCAGCAGCGGTCCAAAGCAACACTGTCTGCCTGCTCCTAGGCAAGAAGAGCAACTAAATCCATTTCATACCCTGACTCATCTGTCGACACTTTATCACACACATCCTTAGTAGAAGTTAAGTTAGTCTGGGATTTGCAAGGAAACCCAAGAGAGCAGATAATCTAGTTTGCGAGCTGGAAAACCGTCGGAGGCGGCAAAACGTACAAGAATATACTCCCAATTCTCAGAGGTTAGGTTTTCATCGGTCGCCTTCGCTATTATCAGGATTAGCGTTAGAAAGAGAGGATAAACACAGGCGAACAGAAGTATTCAAGCCTATATATGCGGGGACAACGTACCGACGATGTCATCGTATGCATTCTGCTGCGTGCGAAACATGGTGGGGGGAACCTTGCGCTGCTTCTTCGGCAGCCTCGAAACAGCCAATAAAGAAAAGAAGCCCAAGCGAGCCCGCTATATCGCGTCCGTCGAGCGAGCAGTCAATGAATATAGAATGAATAGATCAGTACCAGCTTGGGCAGGTAGAAAGGCGATGTATCGGAGGATGGTGGGTATGGAAGGAATGCGGAAGCCTGGAATCTAGCTCGCGGAAAGTTCTGAGGTTGGGTCCGTGGCGCAACCAAAGTCAGGGTGTGGCGTACGTCACAGCAGCTCAATTCCCGCGGATGAAGACCCAAGCGGCGGGCAGGAGTAGCGAGGTGGTAAGTAACGAGAACGGAACTGTCTCAAGAACCGCTTTGGGTTTGGATGGCGGTGTTACTGCCCCTGTGACGAGGGGGATGACGTAAGCTGGCTGCGGTCGCTCGCCGAACCCTTCTGGAAACATTGAACCTTATAGTTGTCTTGGAGTGTATGTCTCTGCTTAGGAAGCTGGCATTTTGGCATTATTGCTGGCCATGACTTTTGCAATCTACCTGGTGGCGAACAGCAAGCTAGAAAATCCCCCTAATGGCTTGAAAAAACTAAACATACACCCATTGCCCAGTAACAAATACGGTTGTATCCCACACACTGCTAGAAAACGAAACTGGTAGATACGGTGCCTTCAATCCCAGAAGACATTAAAAAGCATCAGATAATGACATTAAAAAAGAAACATGAAGCGGAGATGCGGAAGAATGCAGAAGGGGTAGAGTGTTCGACATTGCGATACTTCGAAACAGGAAATGGAGAGGGCAAAAAGCAAGCGCATGAGAAAGAGAGGTGCATCGTAGCCCTTCCTCTCCTTAGGCCTTCCACTGTTTAACCGGGGGATATCCATTCCACCATCTTAAGATCCAGATGACGCCGTATAAACGCGTGATATAAGTACCCGAGAAAAGAATAATAAGCGAAAAGCAATAAAAGCACGCATCAGCCACGGTGGAGCGGCAATCCGTTCATGTTCTTTGTTTTTCGTTCTCTTTTCTGCATAGGCCCGACGAAAAGGAGTTAAAATCAAATGAAAGGTCGTAAATAGTCATTTAAAGCCAATAATAGCTTCTATTGCGGATATCGACGATTGTACTAGAAATAATCATGAACGTTGGGTCATTGGAATATTGCTGCCCTTTCAACGTCGTACATTGATAATTGAAATATAATCGTAATTTTTTTAAAGGGGAAAAGCTCGTCAGTTCGTTGTATAGCTGGAAGGTATAGAAATTGATTGGAGTTTGACAGGTCGAATGCAAGAATCACAGGCCACCTTTTTGGGCTTTTTCCTGTGCCCGGCTAATTCGCGCAGCTCTAACAAGAGGTGCAAGGCTGGAAAGCGGTTCGCAGCATGACATAAAGGTGTGCTAACAGTCAAATTAGTCTAGCTTTAAAGCGCAACGGGGAAATCCAACGAACCGTTAGTAGATCATGAGCCGACGCCCGCTTCTCAGGATCGACTCTTAAAGCGAGGTGGAGGAAATCTTTAAAGACAGGCGATAGATTATGCTCTTCTTTGATTGATGGAGTACCATTGGTGGCAATGAGGTAGAGAGCCCTTAGCGGAGATTCCGTTAGGTATGGAGGCTCTCCTTCGATCATCTCAATTGCCATAATTCCTAAGCTCCAAATATCCACTTTGCGGCCATATTCTTTGCGTGTCACAACTTCTGGGGCCATCCAATATGGGGTGCCAACCATTGTGTTGCGCTTGTTCTGTGACTCATTTATTTGGGCGCAGAATCCGAAATCAGCTGCAAGGGTGTTAGTGTATAACTTCTTGCAAAGAGTTGAGGGCATTAAGGAAGCATACTAAGCTTGATGTTTCCCTCTAGCGATAAAAGAATATTATCAGACTTAATATCACGATGAATAACACCTTTTGAGTGAAGGTGTTGAAGCCCGTGAAGAACCTAGCACAGATTAGTACGTCTCGTATGGTCATAATCAACATGAACATACTTCTCGGCAAACAGAAGCAATCTGCCCCTCAGTCATCATGTTAAACGTCACAACATCCGTCAAGCTTCCTCCTTCCATGTACTCCATGACAACCCACAGGTCACCACCATGCAGAAAGCTGTCCATGAAGTTGACAATATTCTTGTGTTTACTGTCTTTCATAACTAAGATTTCATTGATGATCAGGTCTTTCTTTGGCTGGAGTTCTAGATTCATTTGTTTGATTGCGACACATTTGTTCGTGCCATTTTCATATGCGGTGAACACGCCTCCAGAAGCACCCTGTCCAATTTTATTAAGGCTCCGATATTTCCGTGTCGGATCTCCGGGGGTACATATCGCGAGAAGACGCGCCCTGATGTCAATTCCGTTACTCTGTCGAACTCGCTGTCGAGGTCTGGCAGCAGAGGGAGCGCGTCCTTGCTGAGGGTATTGGCTTGAGTCTGGTGCGGCGCCATATTGCTGTTGTGCGACAGGACCGGGTTGTTCTGTTCGTGAGGTTTGATCGACCGAGCCTGGGGTCTGGGGTGGATGGCGTGGTGGATCTGCAAGCCTCGGGGGTTGCTGTTGGCGCTGACTACGGGTACGTTCCAGCTGTTTACTTGTAATAGCCTGGTGTGCCGCGCTGCTAGCCTGTTCTTGCAATTGTTGATACTGAGCAGCAGAAGTAACTGCAGGGGGTACTCTTGATCCTGCAGTAGCCATGTTCTGGTTCGAGTTGGAACGGCTACGCTGGGTTTGTGGAGGCAGTGGCTCCGAATCAGTAACCGGACGGGTACCAAACGAGTGTGGTGACATTTCCGAAACTGGTTTACCGTGTGCATCTTTGGGCGAGGACGACTGAGGTGGAGGGCGGCCAAGCATCAGATTACTGGTCGAACTGGTCGGCGCCTTGGGCGCGACACGGTTCGGGATCCAATTGGTGCCCGAAGGTGAGGGGCCGGGAGAGAGAGGACTTGTTGCCGGGATGGTTTTGGGTATCGGTGGCGGCGCGCGCGGATTCTCAAAACTGCCTTCATGGTTTTGCGGAAACCTTGGGCTTGTTGGAGGTGACGACAAAGCTGTTAATGGAGGATAGACCCCCATTCCCGGTCCGTTGGGTGACACCTTGGAGCTCAATGGATGCTCATGATGATCTGAAGGTTTGGCGTGATCGAATTTACGCCAGACGCCTTCGTCATCTTTTCCAGAAGCATTTTTCTCATAGAATTTCATGATCTCGACAAGTGTTTGGGGGTGTTCCTCCTGCTCTCGTTTCGAAATCCCGCTCTCTTGAAAAATGCGCTGCCATTCTTTGGGAAGACCCTGCATTGGTACGAATGAATTAGCCCAAACAAACCATACAAGGTGAAAGGAATGTTACTCACAGTGAACTGGCCAGTTTTGTTGTCATAACCAACATGCGTGACATGGACGGGGTTTTCAGGTGCTGAAATCTTGATATTTCGAGGTGACCCGAGCATACTATTCACAAAATTGGAAAATCCGGATTTTTTTCTTCCACCCAAGCCTGGTTTTACAGCTTCATCTGAGTGCCGCTTGGGGCCATTTGTCCCATCCGGACTGGAGGGATCCATGCGGCGCTCTTTGGAAGCGAACACTCCCGAGTTTCTCAGAGTCGGAGTCGATCGTGGATCAGGGCTAGTGTTAAAGCTCTGGAGAGGGGGTGGACGCTGCGGAGCCGGGGCGTTGATTGAATCGTCCAAAGAGCTGAACAAGTCACGGGTGTCAAAACGCGACCCAATCAACTCATCCGATTTCTGCAAACTGAGGGACGATCGAGCGGTATTTTCAGCCGTGGTGGACGAGGAATATGCCCCCAAATCGTTAAGCGGTGGAATTGGAGAGTTGGTATCGCTGTGATGATCGAATGACGAAGTTGAGGAGCCAAAGCCGCCGCCCGACTTGGTTCGAACGTGGTCCCGGCTCGAGACGACGTGCGATCGCGGGTGGATTGGGGCGGACGGGTGCCTGCGAAGGGAGGTATTGCTGGATTGCTTCTTGATGGACCAGGTGGAACTCGAAGAGAGCGGCGGTTGCTTGAGCAGCTTGGTGGATGGTCGTCGGTGCTGTTTGACAGAAGAGGTTTTTGTTGCCTCCATGTCCTTGGGCAGGGAGGCTCAAGCGTCACGAAAGGGACGGATGCGGCCGGCGACAAGGGAGCGACTGACGATAACGGACAATCCAGTTGGCTTTGGGAGCAAGGCGAGGCAAGGCGGCAACAAACGAGCAAAGGAGAGAGAGGGCGAGAGGGTGGGTTGTGAACAGCCGTCCAGCCACTGGGGGAGTGCGGCGTGGATTGGCGGGTAGCGTGGTGCCCTGGAGCGCGGTGCGTTTGTTTCTGGGAGGTGAGCTTTGCCTCTGAGAAGTTAAAACGCGGGCACAAAGCAGCTAAGTTGAGGTGATGGGATGTTGTTTGTGGTTCACTCGCTAGGTTGGAATGGAAACTTGGGACTGCCTGAAGGTGAACCACAACACGTGGTTGGGTGGTTCTGAGCGGTGCGGGGGAAGAGGCCGCGATACCGCCGTGGAACAGCAGCGCCCGCCACTTGCGGCTGCTGATTGGCCGGCGCGCGGTGCGTGGCCACAGCGCCGTATTGGTACGCCGTACGGCGCCCTGACCGTACTGCGCGGGTGGCCGCTGCCGCGCGCCCGTGTCACAATACCGCCGTCACGCAATTACGGCTCCGCGGTTTCACGCCCGCAACGGCCGCACTGGCCGCGGTTTGATCTTCCGCGCTCCACGGCCAAGCGCCCGCCTGCGAGCCCTTTCGCCCTGTCGTCGCCCCGTGTCGCGCCCTCGTTGAAACACTTGGGAGCGCGAAAAAAGCTTCTTGCACGCCCAAATCCCACGTCCTGTAACGCTAGCCTGCCTGGTAACTCCAGTACGGCCCGCGAGCGACAGTGACTGGAAGGGCCTCGAACCAAAATAGCCTCTACCTCTAAACTTGTTTCTCCTCCTCCTTCTCCTCCTGGCGGCGCGCTGATCAGACTAACTAACCTAACCGCCCAGCCTGTGCAGCCCATCGCTCTGGCAGACGACGCTGGTCAGCGGACGGCTTAGTATGTTGACTGGGGCCCGCATGAACCACCATAGCGACGTCAATCGCCGGCGCATCTCCTGATCAAGCAAGGAGCCAGGCGGAACTGCGATGTTGGCATTCCGGCTGCAGCAAAACCTTCCACCGGTCGGGTCGTGCTGGAACGAAACTCATGCTCTCCTTACGCTTATTATTATTATTAGAATACCGATGGTGTTATGGACAGGGACGCGCCCTTCGGTTATCTCTAGTGTTGTTGTTATTTTATAGGATGGAAACGCCATTGCCTGCATGAATGGCTAATTTACCACTCGGCTCTGCTAAGATTACCACTCTCAAATCGGGCGTTAGTACGGAGTATCAAGTCTGTTATTTTTATTATTTGTTATTATTATTATTATTACTACTACTTTTTTAATTGTTATTTTAGTTTCTTATTTTACGATAGGTGTGACGGCCTTCCGGCCTATACTTCCGTTTAGGCAAAGTAGGAGACGTGTCGCGCCAGGGGTGTTTCCAGCAGTCCTCATCGTGATGCTGCCTGGCGCCGCCCCTCGACACACACCTAACCCCACTGCGTGTTGTCCAGAATGCAGTATTATTGCTTTCTGAGACGGATTCCTGCCTCTGGCCTTCATCGCACTGTTGTTGCGACTTTGACGAGTCGCACAGCATCCCGGCCTCTCCGATGCAGCAAATATCCGCTCTCATACCTATTTAGCACTGTGGTTGGCCCCATCAGCGGAGCAATATGCATGCAGTGCCCGTTTCCTTTGTCTTCGTCGGAGGTAGTATGTGCTGAGCTTCTTGGCCCGGACCAGTCGTTCCGGAGTGCGCTGCCATTACTAGTTAGTCAAACAAAGTGCGTCTGTTATGGTTGTGGGTAGTGGAGGGAATACGCAGCGACTGTGGACAAGTAGCTAACTATGCAGCAGCGCTTGTGCCGCTTTCTAGACTGCCCAGATACGTAGATGCTGCTACAGACATCTTCTCCAATGCCAAAGGGCTGTGGGGTTGCGTCGATACCCATCGACCTCTGGCACAGTGGGCACTCCACACACCACGACAGCACTATACGTAGACACCAGCAAGCAGATCGTAGATCAACAATCAAGAAGCCAATGTGAGATGTGATCCTGAGAGAATCAAGTCCTGTTCTGTGGCCTGGAAGCTGTGACCTGTTACCAGCGCGCTAGCTGCTTTGGTGCTTCTCCGTGAGTTAGTTAACTTCGCTCGTGCTTCGGCCGGCTGAACTGCAACGTTGCCTCTCCTTCGCCCTCACCACCAAGCAAAAAAAGTTTCCCTTTCGCCGCACCGCACCTCAATTCCTAATCCACCTTGTGCGGAGCATTTTTCTGCTCTCTTCTATTCTTGTCTGCCCTTTTCTCTCTGCCTTTGTATGTACATTCCCTTCGCTACAATGGACTGAGTCCTGGACACTTTTCGATCCGTCCAATCCTCTGTGTCTCTCTAGTCCACGGGCTCGTCCATTGCCCAATTGTTTAATATATCTTACATTTGACCAAGGGAACAGCTTTGCCAATCCTACAATTGACTACTTTGGCCGCTTTAACGGGCTCTCCCTCAATCGACTAAGACTCGTACCTCTAGCGTAGTCCTCCCACATCGGCCTTCGATCAGTCTTCCTTCTGCACTTTACTCGTCTAATACGACCCATCCCATGAGCGGAATGGCTTCCGAACAGCCCGGCTTGGTCATGAACGGTGGTGCCTCGAATACAGCTTCCAAATCACCTGCCGAGTTGCTCCAGGAAAAACATGCACGTGATGAGGCTCACCAGCCCACTGTCGAGGAAGTCCAAGATGAAGAGGATGTGCTTCACCCTCCGCCCTCTTCAGAATTGACCCAGCAGGCCCAAGCCAGCGCGAAGGATACAACGGTAAGGGGGGAACCCGCCTCGGCACGAAAGCCAAGTACAATGCCTTTCGATGTGCAATCTGAAGAGCTTTTCCCATCCTTGGGTAGCGGAACAAAATCTCGCAAGCCAGTAGCAACGCCAATGGCGTGGGATGGCCGCAAAGCAGCGGCCCCGGCTGCCAATGTATCTAATGGTGGAGCGAGGAGCGGCGGACCGTCCCGTACGTCCACCCCGGCCTCGGGAATCTCTACTCCGGCGCCCTCGGCCGCTGCACATCCCTTCGGGGGCCCTAGATTGGCAATGCCGGGTAAACATGTCGAACAAATCAGATTTGCGCCTTCCCAGATGTTATCGCGAAGTGATCTCAACAAGCCATTGGCTGATATTGTAAGAGATATCAGCAAGAGATCTAAGGCAAGGCTCGATGTTCGCGAAGGACCCGGAGGCTCTTATATCTTTGAAGGCACAGGTACAGTTGATGCTGTTCGTCAAGCCCTAAAAGACGTGGCCCAGCAAGTGGGCTCAAAGGTCAGCTCTCTTTTCCGAGTTTTCTTTCTATAATAGCTCACAAACTTATTTAGCAATCCGTTCGCATTCCTGTCCCAGCGTCCTCTCGACCGCATATCATTGGCAGACAAGGAGCTGTAGTGCAAGGTATTCATGATCGAACGGGAGCTCGAATCCAGGTTCCGAAATTGAACGATTCTAATGGACAAGATGAGGATGACGATAGCAACACTATCGATGTTCTTATTGAGGGTGATGCCGTTTCTGCAGAAATGGCAAGACGTGAAATTGAAGCAATTGTGAAGGAGCGAACTTCCAACATCAATTTGAAGTTAAGAAATATACCTCCAGAGCTGTTCCCCTTTATCGCCGGCGCGCATAATTCCCACTTGCATGATTTAGAAGAGCGGACGAAAACTCAAATCCGGGTACCTTCATATGACACATGGTCCAAGAGGCCACCACCTCAGGAAGCTGCCGCGGGCCAGGTTCAATTTGCACCAGACCCAGACAAACACATCCACATTTTTGGTGATCGTACTGGTGCCCAAGAAGTCCGTGCCGAGATTGAAAGGCGTGCACAGGAACTCCAGCGCCAGATTGCTCTTCGACATCTAGCTATCAACCGCGGACAGCATCAATTCATCATTGGTGACAAGGGCCATTCGCTTCACGACTTTTTATCTGAGACGGGCTGCTCGGTTATTCTTCCCCCGCCATCTGATGAAACAGAGTTTTTGACAATTACCGGGCCTCCTGACCAAATTGATATTGGAGTTAATCGAGCAATGGATCTTGCTACCAGTATGCAAATGTCCAGTATTGATCTCTCACGCCAACACCCAAATGCTCCAGATGGCCCCCATTCCTACGCACGAGCCCTTACTACATACCTTAGGCAGCGCCAAATAATCAGGGAGCTTGAAAGAGCCCATGACGCCCATATAGTACTCCCGTTACTATCGTCTGATGGTCCTGTTATTTGGGAGGTCTACTCTAGGGATGGAAAAAATACCATCCGTGCGAGGTCCGATATTTTGAATCTCGTACAGGCTCATCCACCTTCAAAACTTGCAACTTTGGATATTGATCCCTGTTATCATGACTTTCTTCGTTCCCGTAGCGCCGCACAGATCAAGCAAAACTTCGGGGTTCATTTAGTTGTGCCGGACAACCCGGAAAGTTCCCACATTTTACTTGTTTCAGAGAGTGAATCTGCCGAAGTGCCAAGGCAGCGACCGTCAACAGCAGAGGTTGCCGCGTTCCAAAAAGCATTAAGCCAGGCACGAGAACATCTTCTCTCTTCTTTAGGAGATCGTAACGACATCGCGTCATCCTTGATTTCGGTCCCTCCTAAGTAAGTAAACCGTGAGTAAAGTCGAAATACGCTTGTCACTAAATGAAGTTAGGTTCCTTGACAAGACCCTCAAGTTCATTACACGCGAGCAAAGCGGAAAGGGAGAGGATTATATTCCCGTTCGAATGGCAGTTGCTGAGCAACAGATCTCGCTTCGTGGACGTTCACAGGATGTAAACGTTTTGGTACCTAAAATTCAAGCCTTTATTCAAGAGCAAGAGCAGGACGAAAAGGAACGCGATAACAGAATATCGTTTGAATTTCCTCAAAAATTTGCGAATGTGCTTATTGGGAAGAAGGGGGAGAACATCAATAAACTTAGGGATGAGTTCGATGTTGATATTAAAGTTGAAAACGGAAAGGTCGAGGTCAAAGGTCCTCCAGCAAAGGCTAATGCTGCAAAAACTCGAATTGTTGCCCTTGCAAAGAAGCTTGAGGATGAAGCCACCTACGTTCTCAAGATCGCGCCTCAATATCACCGAGATTTAATAGGGCAGAAAGGAAGTCAAGTCAATAGATTGCAAGACCGCTACAATGTCCGAGTGCAGTTTCCTAGGGCAGCTGTTTTGGAGGAGGTAACAAATGATGCCGTAAGTGAGGCAGGTAGCGTACGGAATGTTCGCAAAGCCCAGGCAGCCGACGAAGTGATCATTCGAGGACCGCGTAAGGGTGCTGATTCTGCGAGGGATGAGATCCTCAGCCTATACCAATGGGTTGCAGATCACTCCTTTTCGGGAACGGTTTCTGTTGCTCAAAGTCAGGTTCCATCCTTGATTGGCCAGCGCGGTCGTGAAATGGACAAACTCCGGACTGAGACAGGTGCCCAGATTGACGTCCCCTCAATAAATGATGCTACTGATGCGTCTGGACGGGTTGAAATAAAGATCAAGGGAACCAAAAAGCAAGTAGAAGATGCACGAAAGCTTCTACTACAGAGAGCTAAGGAATTTGATGAGACTGTTACGAAATCGATTTCTGTTGACAAGAAGCACCATAAAGCTCTCATTGGCGGTGGTGGTAGGTTCTCCATTTTTATTCCATCCCATTTTTCATTGTACTAATACGGCGTAGGCGCGAATATTCGCAAGATCATTATTGAATGCGGCGGCCCAGATGACGGGACCGCAGCTCGAATGGTCAAGTTTCCTCGCCCCGAAAGCGAGGATGCGAACATACGGCTAGAAGGCAAGGAAATGGTTATCGATAAAATCATTGCTGCCATTGAAGAGTTTGTGCGCCAAAAAGAGGATGAGGTTGTCGGATCTATTGATGTGCCGCAACCCCAACACCGATATTTGATCGGGCGTGGCGGTGACGTTAGACGCCAAATAGAGTCCGATTTTAATGTTGTTCTGGACGTCCCCAAACAAGGAAGTAATAGCACAGATGTCAAAATCAGAGGGCCGTCAAGCGCTGTCGATAATGCCAAAGCACATATACTGGCATTATTAAAGGAGCAGCAAGGTGAGACTGTACTGGTTCCTCGGCATCTTCACCATGCCGTGTCGGATAATGGCTCATTCTTCCGCCGGTTACGCAATGACCATCGGGTCACGGTTGACCATGCTGGAGAGCAAGTACCGGCGCGTCCTAGCCCCGCCGAGTCTCGGAACGCTGACGAGACTGACTCTCTGCCTCTTATCACTGACGACCCAGCGGCTTCAGCAGACAGTTTCTCTTGGAAGATTGCAGAGGCCGGTCCTACTGATGCGTCTACGGGAACCATTCCTTGGGTTCTTTCTGGAAAGCCCGAAAATGTCGCAAAAGCGAAAGCCGCATTGGAAAGGGCAATTTCTGCTGCCTCTCAGCCGTCGGCTACTGGATTCTTGATTCTTCCAGATCCCAGAACGTATCGCTTCGTGATTGGGCCCGCTGGTAGCCAAATCAACGCTATTCGGAAGCGTACTGGATGCCGCATCAACGTTCCTAAGGACCAGGCCAGAGGAGAAGCTATTGAAATTAAGGGCAGCAAGGAGAACTTGGACATTGCCAAGGATATGATATTGGATGCTGTCAAAGCAGGCCTTGGAGGAAATGGTAGAGCATGAAATAATAACCTGCCATAGGCGAAAGCTCATAGGATTTGGATAACATATGGATATACCTGGATGACCTCCAAAAAGTTCTACGGTCTGGGGTTTGATGGTCAATTTTTCATTTTATGCGGATGTTTGCTGTACTATATATACCAACATACATATATTGATGTGGACACAAGCCTAGAGCCCATAGGCGGCCTGGCTTTGTCAAAAAGAAATAGGGAAAGACAGACACTATATAACAATCTCCACTCCTTGGCTCCAAGAATCCGATGCAGTCGAAGCTTTCCGTTGCGAGAAGACGGTCAACCCAATTAAGGTTCAGATGAAATGTCACGTGCCGCGGCTCTGTCGGCCTTCGCGCGTCAACCATCGAGGCCGCTAACACGACATACAACTTGTCAGCGCGGCGTTGAGGGGCGAGCGCGCTTTCGATGGTCACTATTTATGCCGTAGAGATGGTATCCCGTTTTCTTCTTTGATAGTTCTAGTCTTCCGGGTTTTATATGTGTCACCCGAGGGTGTGACCAAGCAGACTCGCCATCCACTGATTCATGGAACAACCCAGCAACCTTGGATCCCAGATACGTTTGCAACTCCCGGAAATGGTTCTCCCGTGCGGTCCTTTCCCATACGGGTAGTGGCATCCGGACCGGAGTAAAAGAAATCGGCGTTGCCCAGACAAAGAAGCTCGAGTCCCGTTTTCGTTTCCTGTCCAACTCGTCGGTGCTGTCCCTCCTAAGTCCGCGAGAATCAGGACGGACGTTGATTATCGCTCGAGCGCCATGGAGGCGGACTGGGATGAAGTCTCCCAAATTACTGTCCCCGCCCCGGGACCACACGTTTTACCTACTATCGCCTCTACTATTGCCTTTGACGATGTACAAGAATTGCTCTGGGCCGGCAATGAATTTGTGAGTTTGGTCCCACTTTCGCCTCAACTCTACTTTCTCCTGCACCAAATAACCAACCGCATGTGTCGTTATTAACGTCTGGATGCTCTAGGGTCGTGTCTGTTCTTTTTACGGCCCCGAGTTGCAAAGGTATACCTCAGTCAAAGCGCACCCGACCCAAGAAGGCCCTGTCCGACAGTTACTTTTTCACCAAAGAGGAGTGCTATCTTTATCGTCGAAAAGCGTCCATCTATCCTCGCGTCGTGGCTTAACACAATGGCATATCTCCCATCCTGAGATGACGGAGCTGCGGTGCATGAGCTTCACCGCCCAGTCACACAAGATCCTAGTCGCGGGCTTACAATCGATCATGTTTATTATCGATGTTGAAAAGGGAACTATTGTGGACCAATTACCTACGGAGCATCATTACACCATTTTTAAGAAGAGTCGATATTTATGCGCAGCTACCGACTCTGGGTCCGTGAACGTGTTAAGTCTCAACGACTTTGCTGTGATCAAAAGCTGGAAGGCACATGGAGCTGTGATTAACGATATGGATTCACGGAATGATTTCCTCGTGACGTGTGGGTTTTCTGTTCGACATCCCGGATCACCGATTGTAGACCCTCTCGCAAATGTCTACGACCTTAAAACACTTATGCCATTACCACCTATTCCTTTCCATGCAGGTGCAGCCTTTGTTCGCATGCATCCTAGACTACAGACTACGAGCTTCATCGCATCTCAGACTGGTCAGCTGCAAGTTGTTGATCTCATGAACCCAAACACCATTAATCTCCGGCAAGCAAATGTGGCCTTTATGCTTGGCCTTGAGATCTCACTTTCTGGAGAGGCCCTTGCTATCAACGATGCCGAATGTTCAATTCATCTCTGGGGATCCCCGGCGAAAATCCACTTCAATGAGATAAGTCAAGAAACCGAGTTCGCTGATGTCTCTACACGCTCCTCGATACTTGATTGGTCCAATGATACACCTCTTAGCCTTGTTGGTATGCCATACTATCATGAACGTCTACTCTCCGCATGGCCCAGCCATTTAGTTTTTGAAGTTGGAAATGCGCCCTTTTCGATTGATCCCACTATCCTTCCATACCTACGCCCCAACGATCTTGGTCAACACGCCCCAAACCCGCGAAGGAAACGACGCTATCAAGTTGAAAATACCCGTTTGCCATCAACAACGGAAACTGCTTTAGCAGCACCAAAATTTCTGAGCGAGAGAGCGAGAGAGCTTCCAAAGTCCGTCTCTGAGGCCTCACAGGATGCCTCTAGCGCTTTAGACGGGCTAAATATCAATGGTCAAGCGAAAGAGGATCCTCTTTTGAAATATAGTAATGTGGAGATCAAATATAGCAAATTTGGAGTGGATGATTTCGATTTCAGGTATGCAGCTCTGAATTTTTGTTCTAGCAGGTTTATTTTGGATTTAACATGTTTTCTAGGTACTACAACAAGACCAACTTCTCAGGATTGGAAACCCATATTGCAAATTCATTCACAAATGCTCTACTCCAGCTTCTCAAGTTTGTCCCATTGATGAGAAATTTCGCCCTCCATCATGTTTCTGCTAACTGTCTCTCTGAGACATGCCTGCTTTGCGAAATGGGGTTTCTATTTGACATGCTTGACAAAGCGAATGGTCAAAATTGCCAAGCAACCAATCTTCTAAAAACTTTCAGCAATTTCAGAGAAGCTGCAAACTTAGGCTTACTGGAGGAGAGTTTGAGCAGTAAACCCCTGTCATCTGCAATCCAATCGGTGAACCGTTTTTTCCTGAACCAAATATCGCATGACTATCGAATGGTTTACCCAAATTCGGATGTTCTGGATAACACCTTGAGTACTGCGGCTGTCGAATCGATATGCTGCATGCTTTGTCGCAACGAAATCGTCCGTGCCGGAAATGCCTTTGTAACAGAGCTAACATATCCCCCCATTGATCCAAAACACGCAGCTCGCAACCCAACCTGCCAATTTTCGAATATCCTTCGCGCTAGTATTGAGCGCGAAACCCAGAATCGAGGATGGTGCAGCACCTGCCGCAGATATCAACAAGTTTCCATACGAAAAACAGTCCAACGACTGCCTCTTGTTCTAATTCTAAACGCTGCAATTAACAATCCAACCATCCGCCAGTTCTGGGCGATTCCGGGTTGGTTACCTGAGAAAATTGGAGTTATGGTGAAGAACAATCAACTCCAGTGCTACGAAGGAGAACAGCTTCGAGCTCTACAACTGGCAAATCTAGAAGGGTTAGTGATTTATGAGTTGGTCGGCTTAGTGGCCGAAATCGATATTGTGGAACAGAAGAAGCCACATCTAGTCTCTTTCATCGATACATCCATCTCGGCGCGTGAGCCCACTGAAAAGAGCTCATGGCATCTTTTCAATGATTTTCTAGTTACAGAAGTTAGCAAAGATGAGGTATTTTCCTTCAACCAAACATGGAAATCACCCTGCACACTTGCGTACCAAGTCTCGACGGGTCGACATGGACTGGACGACAGCTGGAAAAACGAATTAGATACCACTCTCCTATTCTACGAGTGGTCTCTGAAGTGAGTACTGTTCTCCCCCATCGATGTATTCGCAATGCTAACAAAATTACAATAGCAATCGCCGCCCAATCGACTCTTGCCACATCCTGAAACCAGAGGAGAGGCCTGTTGCTGGAACACCAGTTGCTCTAGATACTGAATTCGTTGATCTCGAGAAAGCAGAGATCGAAGTGAAGGCAGATGGTACTCAAGAAATGATTCGACCCAGCAAGAGTGGGCTCGCTCGAGTGTCTGTCATTCGAGGTTCTGGCAACGAAGAAGGCATTTCGTTTATTGACGACTATATAACAATCAAAGATCCCATTGTGGACTACGTAACCCAATATTCCGGTATCAAGCCCGGTGATCTCGACCCGCGTACAAGCCAACACAACCTTGTCGCTCTAAAGGTTGCGTATAAGAAGCTGTGGCTCCTTCTAAATCTTGGCTGTGTCTTTGTTGGCCATGGTTTGGCGTCCGATTTCCGAAAAATCAACATCCAAGTACCCAAATCTCAGACCATCGATACACAATATCTTTTTTTCCACCCCGGCAAAAACCGTCGACTCAGCCTACGATATCTTGCATGGGCGGTTTTTAAGGAATATATTCAGGAGGACACTACCCTTTCAACCACCACATCTACATCTACCACAACCAAAGACCCTAACGCCTCTGGTGAACCGAATACAAACACTACCATTATCACGGCCACGACTTCCGCCCTATCACCCTCTGAAGGCCATGATTCTATCGAAGATGCCCGCATGGCCCTCCGTCTTTGGAAGAAATTCAAAGAATACGAGGACGCAGGAATAGTTAACCAAATGCTCGAGGAAATCTTTCGCGAAGGATTAAAGGTCGGCTTTCGCCCACCGGCCCGCTACCCTCCAGTTTCGGGTATTCCTAGCCCCAACAGCAGCAATAACAATAACATTATTAACGGCAGTGCAACCATAAGTGGCACATCTACCCCAGTTGCCACGAATCCTGCATCTCGCCTCCCTCCTAGCGGGAGAAATACCCCGGACTTCATTCGTCCAGCATCTGCATCGGCTGCTCCATCCGTTGCTGGTCCAGCCGCAGGAAGCAGCTCAAACGGCAGTATGAGTGGTAGCACCCCGTCAACACCACGCCAGGCGTTCCGACGATCCGTTGCGTTGACACCAAGCACTGGCAGCTTTGGCGGTGTAAAAGGACTAACGTTTGGTGGAAGCCCGATGCATTAGCGGATTATGCTGCAGGCTCTCTTTTTACAATACTCTTTTACAGTATACTGGATTCAGATAGGCGATCTAGACTTGGATGTAAAGCTTATCAGCTCTCAGATGAAATTATATGAGTTAGTATATCAGGTAAAAATCGAAATAACATTCATTACCTTTTATTAATTTCAAGCTCCTTCGATAGGCTGATAGCCTCACTTTATTGCCAGAAAATATTCCTTTTATACGTATTATCTACTTACCTCCCACCATTAGAACCACTTCACTCTTCTCCAGCAGCACCATTCAATTCACTTGAAATTCAAAAATGAGTATCATGCACTTGCAGGTCAATCTATAAAACAGATAGTAGAAGTGAAAGGGGTAGGCAACCTGGAGTACTCTATAGCATCTAGTATGAATAGAGGTAGATGAAATGGTGAAATTGACATGTCAGGTCTTCAATTGTGCTCTACTTTTTGAAATGAAAATTCCGCTTTAGGCGCTGCTAAATATTCTAAAAGTCTAGACTACCCATCAAGTGACTGGTTCACTCTGTTGCACATGAAGGCTAGGAGAGGGTGCTGATGAGCGATATATAAATGCTGACCCGAAAGACAGACATGACATGGTTGCTTTTCAAATCTGAATATATAGTTTAAAAAAGCCATGCAATCAATGGTCTAAAATTCCATAGTTTCTTCGAAGAGTTTTCGTAACTCCTCCTTTTCTGCGCCCAGTTCCTTGCTCAAATTGGGTGCAAGGTCGAGCACTCTTTTCTGGGGTATCGTGCCCTCTACCAACATATCGATATGCGAACTATTGAAGCCCAGCTCCTTCAGACCTCGAGGCTGGTCTCCGAGCTTCAACAGAAACTCCGCAATCGCTTCACCAAGGACCTCCCCAGCGCTTTCGCGCTTCACATTCGAGATGTCCTTTCCGAAAATTTCCGCAGCGGCCAGATGACGATCGGGGTTGCTGGCAGCAGTGAACCGGAAAACGGCGGGCGCTGAGACTGCCACGGACACGCCGTGCGGGATGATGTCGTGATCAACCTCGTATCCTTTATGCTTGTACCCGGGATTCTGACCCGAGATCGGATAGCTCATGCCGTGGCAAAGGTGCACACCGGCGTTTCCGAACCCGACACCAGCCAGGGTGGCGGCGAGAAGCATTTGGCTTTGAGCTTCATGATCCTCTGGATCTTTAACGGCTCGTGGGAGGTATTTCACTGTGCTCTTTAAAGACTGCAGTGAAAAGATGTCCGAGATCGGATTGGCTCCTTGGTAGGCAGGACGATTAATGGGGTTAGTTGGGCGAGGAACACGCTCATTGAAAGGGATTGCGGTCCACGATTCAAGCGAATGACAGAGCACGTCGAGACCGGACGAGGCATGCACTGCTGAAGGCATGGTCCGCGTGTTCAGCGGGTCACATATACCCAGCGTCGGCTTCATGTTACGGTGAGCAACGCCTGTTTTCGCCTTCTTATCTACAAGGTCAAAAATTGCAGTTCCTGTAGTCTCGGCGCCTGTTCCAGCTGTAGTTGGGATCGCGATCAATGGCTTCAATTGTCGGGCGATAGGCAGTCCTTTGCCAAGTGGAGCATTGACGAAGTCAAGGAAATCGGCTTCGGGGTATACGCAGTAGAGATTCATGAGCTTGCATGTATCAATGACAGAGCCACCGCCTTCATAAGATTAGCATGCATTTGCACTACCTTCTGTAAGTTCTTACCAACAGCTAGAAATGCATCCGCATTGTATGGCTTAGCAAAGGCAATGGCATCTTTTACCCTATGCAAAATGTATCAGCCTTCTCTGCTCTAAAGCATCTATAAGAGATATAAAGCTGCAGTACTCACGAGTAATCTTTTGGCTCCACCCTCACTTTGTCATAGACCGAAAACTGAATGCCCTCCTTACTCAGTCCCTCAATGGCATTCTTCATCGCATCCAGCTTTGAAACATTGCGATCCGTAACCACCAACACCTTCTTTGCTCCCAAATTCTTAAAGTCCATACCTACTTCCTTGGTCGCCCCGGGTCCGAACCGAATGCTCGACGCCGCCATTTCAAAGGCATATTCCTTCTGCTGCGACGGGTCAATTGGAGTTGCCATGTGGCGGACATGCTTGGATATCGACGACGCAGACGGCTGGTGGTGATGGTGATGGGCGGGGTTGGAATGGCAGGGACAGCTTGGAGGGTGGGTGTATTGGACGGTGCGGAGGAGGTTGAACGCCCGGGTGGCCGCTGAGGGCGCGACTCGAATAGCGGGAAGAACCATGGCTGCAGGAGAGGAGATGGCGGCGACGGGGGTAGGGAGAGAGGAGAGGACGGTGCAAGGCGAGTGTCGAGATGAGATACGAGATATCAACAACGGCTCGGCTGACGACGAGGCGATGTCGGCCGGCTTCAGCTCTGCGGGGAAGCCGTTGGTGCGGAGGAGCGGGTGGGGGATAGCCGCGGGTGTTTCCCCACAGCTGGTGCTATCTATGACACACAAAACTACGGACAGCTCTGGATTCAATACAGTACATGTATTCTCTGCGAAGGCACAGGCCGTTCGGTGTGCTACTTCTTTCAGTGATGAGCTCTATTCCAGAATTAATTACTGGTAAGGTGTGTTGGGAGGCTACAAGAGGGTCGGACTCGCTGGCATAATACAATACAGGAGAAATCCCAAGGGTAAAAAAAAATTAAAAAAGTAAAAAATAAAATAAAGGAGAGGAAAAGAGGTAATTTTGTTAGAGATGTCAGAGACAGCACAGCTTCCACCTTTATTGTTATTCGCTCTTCTCTTAAATTTGGAGCACAATGGGCTCATGGCTGCGGCATCCTGAATATCGCATGGCGGCCCACTCGTTTACGAAATTCGGCCATTTCGCATGTCGCATGTCGCGTATCATGTCAATATGATAAAGCCCAGTTTAAATGAAATACACTGGTGATACAACCTTTGCAGTGAAGTTCGTTCCAAAGAAATAGTGGCGTAAGGGGTTTCAAAAATCTTCCGGGCTCTCTAAATCGGCCAGCTTATTACTTAAGAATCTCCCCAGGGCTGCAGATTTGGACTCCAAGGCAAGTAAAATCGTAGGTGGTGAGTTGAGATTCAAACTGGATAAGCGGTCCAGGTCACTCGTCCTATCGATTTCCCACTGCGCGCGTAAGGATTCGTCTGCTGCTTCGTTTGTAGTATTCGTACCGCTAACGCGAGCAAATACTGGGATAATGCCGGCCTGTGCGGGCGCCGATGAGGCGAGTTTCGCGGCTTGTTCAAGAGTAGAGCTTCTGAGCTGCTCTTGGGCAGTTGGGAAGAAGTCAACAGGCCGAAGGGCGTGTTCAACATCACTGGCTGTTGAGCTTGTCAGAGTAGGGATTCGGTGGTTGCCGTTGGAAAGGGGAGATTTGGGATTGTTGTCAGTGCGTGCTGGGCCAACCGTGGCAAGCAGGACCTTCTCCGCAATCTTTGTCACGACTGCGACGTGGTCGTCGAGCTCGAATATTATGCTGCTAACGTCGCGCAGCGGAATAGATGGTGCAGTCACGAATGATGATGGGTTGGTTGCAGGATTGACGCCCGTCAAGTTGCCATTCGAGTGACTTACTGCGTAGGATACGTAGGCGGTTCCATATGTGGCACAGAGACTCCTCACCTGTCGTTGAGGCAGGGGAGAGGCGTGGGCAAATATAGCGCCGTTCGTAGCAAAAATACTAGGCCGGAGAAAGCAATATTAGCGATACAGCCCAGGCTTAGCCTTCAAAGTGTCGGGCTTGCTGCCTAAACGAAGGGCAAATCGAGAGTGGACGTACAAGATGGAGGTGATCTCGGGCGGGGACAGGTTGTCTTCCAGCAAATCCGTCAGTGCTGCTGTGTCCAGCATGCGTATGCCAGAGAGCATCGAAGGGCCCATTTTGTCGATGCTACTTTCCAGGTCGGAGTCGGCCTCTGTAGCATCCGGGATGCTCGCCCAATCGCCCAGGAGCGACGGCTGGCCGGGCTGGGGTGGCGGCGGGTGATAGACGCAGTCTTCCGGGAAGAAGAAACAGTTATCTCGGTAGTCTATCTCGTCGTGGTCATATTCAATGGGTTCGCTGCTGGACTCCAGGAGGTTCTGCGCGTATTTCACGTGACTCCGCGCCCAGGCTGGGAGAAAGTGAGGATCGCGGTTGAGGAACCACGACGGCGAGGCGGCGCTGGACACGGCGGTGCCTGCTGCGGGAGGGCCAGCGGCGGGCAGAGAGACGTGGGGGAGTAGTGCTGCTGCAGAGACTGGAGCTGGTTCAGCCATCGACCATCTACGTTACGAAGCAAGTAAAGGTGGCAAGGAGGAAGCGCAACAACAGCCATCAATCAACGGTCGTCCAGAGACAAAACTGCAGAGAATCGGAGAATGCAAAAGGAAGAAAGCCTTGGGGCAGCGGGCCACGAGGTGCAGGATGCATGTATGTATATGTATGCCAGGGCGGGTAGGGGGGTTGGCAGGCCGATCTCCAGCAAGGCGGCCGCCGAAAAAGATGCGGGTATCGGGTGGGACGCTCGGGACGCCTTGGGGGAAGTCTCGAGAGCCCTGGAGAACGGCTGGCTATATATATAACAGACAGGAGACGGCCGCCCGCCAGAGAAAGACATCGACGCAACGGATAACAGAACGCAGAAAAAGCAACGCCGCGCTGCAGCCCGTCCGCAGTGCCGGCTGGCGGCGAATACGCGGCCATACAGAATCGGGTAGGAGCACACGTGCGCGCACGCAGAAAACAAGACGGCCCCAGGAAAAAGCAAAACACTCACCAGGGCGGGATTTGCGCGCGGCGGCGGCGGCGACGACGACACGACGACGACGACGACGACGGCGAGGCGGGCGCTGGACGTGCGCGCGGGCGTGGGCGTGTATCAAAGTTACGCCGGGCCCTGCACGCCCGGTCAGGTGGCCGCTGCTGAGTCAGCACCACCGGGCCAATCAGCGCGCGGGGCCGCCAACCTCGCGCGATCCCCCACTTTCCCGTTTTGGGCGTCGCGTTGCTGCGCGCCGCGGGAGGAACGCTCGGCCACGCGCCCCGAGCCGCACCACGGCCGTGGCGTGACGGGCCCGCGGTCGGTTGGTCGGTCTGCCTTGGGCTCATGGCCTGCACGGAGTAGTAGTTACGGAGTTCGCGGCTACGCTTGCTGGATGGGCTTGCCTGTTGCAGTGTTTTACAGCTTCTCTGAGACTCTAACACTGTCATCAAATGGGCTCGTATCGAGTGCAGAAATAGTTCAGCCTGCGCGCCACCATGTCTCACGAGCGCCTGCGTCGTCAACTGCGCTTCGATCCACGGCTCCTGTTTGTCGCGCAGTTCGCGCCATACTGCCCAACCCCTACCGGCTCGTTGGTTCCCTCAAAGAACATATATCTGCAACGGGTCCCCAGCACAAAGCAGATCTTCGTTGGACTCGCTGGGCCCTGTTGTGCACTGTCCAGCATCTCTGGTAGGAAGACTTACATACCGCCATACATACAAGCCAGCAATTGATCCGGTTTTGCGCCCTATCCACAAAGAAGTCTCTTAGGCTCATTATAAGGCTGAGACGCTGGACGCACCGCCGCCATGGAGACAGCAGACATCAAAAAACCAACAGCAATAGCAAGGAGCCTCGCCATTTAGGGTTGGATATCCAGCCAGAAAAGGTAACAGTAAACGTGCCCAGAAAATATCCAGTTCAACTCAGGGTATATATCGTATATTCCAAACCAGACACTGGAAAGTCATAGGCTCCCTCCTCCCAGCATAGTGAAGCCTGCAGGCGCCACCGACGCGTAGACATACCATGCTAGACCGATCAACTGCCATCTTGTTTTCCCTATTCCTCTGCGTGGGCACAACGGATCCTGCGCTGTGGCACTTTGCCCGCGGGGAGAGTCGACCACTGGAAGCCAAGACGCCGACATAAAAGCGTCTTGTCACCCAGTCGAAAGGATGACCGCCGTTTCGGCCTTGTGCGTGAAGACTACTATTTGAGTCCCACCGCAGCTATTATTTGACGGAGGCGCGCGCGTGTGCGGAGCTGAATGGAACAGCGCAAAAAAGAAGTTTCCCCCCCCGCGCGCCCGCCAGGTCGAACTAACGCTCCTAGCGCAGGAAAGCAACGGGCTCGGCCGCTCAGCAGTTCGCCTTGTCGGAATTGGCAGTTTGAGTCCGTGGACGGGAAAGCTGAATCGAGTAGCGATCGGACGCTTTACGGGTTTGCCTACCCGCATACCCTAGCTTTGTGGCTTGAGTTTTGCACAATACTGGGGAGAAAATATGTACGAAGTATGCAGGAGTGACATTCCCTTGGGATGAATAATAGAATGGACGCGTGTCCCAGAGAAACGGACTTCATGCGGAAACAATATGGGGGTGCCACTACGACCCTCCACGTCCTCATTGATATTCATTCATACTCGCTACAAACCCGTCAACTTTTTGTTCTGTGCTCCCTCAACCGAGACGACGGTAGTTGGACTCTCCAAAGCATCACGGATGGATTCCATCACCACTTGCTCCGGCTCTTCAGCCCTTCATTCTGAATCACCTCGATCCAGTACCCATCAGGATCGAGAACGAATGCCACATTTTTCATCCGGCCATCCGTCAGCCGCTTCTTCCAGTTCACATTCAGGCTCTCGAAACGAGCACAGGCCGCGTCTAGATCGTCGACAGAGATACCTAGAAAAATCATAATTCGTTAGACTGAGCCTAGCCAGGCTGTGGCGGCGCCGCCTGCTGCAGCTTACATATATGCCCAAAGCCTTGCGGCTCCGTATTGCCATCGTGATATACCTTCCCTTCCTGCTTCTCAGTCCCATAGTTCCAAGTGAGCTCCAGCAACCCTTCCCATTCCGCCACCGGATTCGACGCGTCCGCCTTGCGCGCCGGATTCGACTCGGAATACCCCAGGAAGTACAGATTAAAGCCCGCCGCCTCGTTCTCCAGCCTTCTGACCAGCTGCATGCCCATGACCTCCTGGTAGTACTTCAGGCTGACCTCCGGATTCTTCACCCGCAGCATGGTATGGTTGAACCGGTACGATTTCGGATTCGTCTGCGCGACCGCCCCAGACACCGTCTCGTCGCTCGTCCGCCGGATGATCTCCACCCAGTACCCGTCCGGGTCCTTCACGAACGCGATGTTCCGCATCTTCCCTTCCGTCAGCTTCTTCTGGAACGGGTATCCCGCGTCCTCGAGCCGCTGGCACGCCAGCTCGATGTTGTCCACGGCGATCGCGACGTGGCCGAAGCCGCGGTGAGGTTCCGTGTTGCCATTGGAGACGGCATAGTCGGCGTCGTTCTCCGTTCCGTAGTTGTGCGTGAGCTCGAGCACGCCGTTTCGGTCGGTCCAGTGGCGGGTGCCGGAGAGCGACTCGGGGCCGTCGTAGGCGAGGAAGTATAGCGAGAACTTGGCTTCTTCGAAGTCGAGCTTGTTTATTTGCGATAGGCCGAGGAATTGGTAGAATTGGACTGAAGAAAACAGAGCAAATCGTAAACAGGGGGGTTCTTCTTTATGAAAAACAGCAAGCCGGAAAATTATAACGTACGTGATTTTTTCGGGTCCTTCACCCGAAGCATAGTATCTAGGTTGGAGCTCTTTAGTATCAAAACTGCTAAAACGGTCAGGCGCCAACTCACGGTTCAGCTTATACGTGCTGGTGTCGGTGGCCATGGCTGCGGATGGAACGATGCTCTGCTAATCAAACACGACGAACAAATTAAGAATGCTGGCCCTCGAGTTCGCCGGCCCGTTCGCATTCTTTTTATTCTCGCCCGGGAGGGAGCGGGGATGCCTAAACGGGCTAGCAGCGTCAAGAGCCGAGTGCGGGGCATATGACGTAGCTCGGGCAAGCGGAGTGTTCTTTTTTTTTTTTTTTTTCGTCTACAAGAGAAAACAATCATGAAGAACATTCAAGACAGATAAATGTATGTATGGTATTACTATCGCATTTGGCATTCAGTCATAGCAATATTTCCGGAAACAACACAGCGCAAAAAAAAAAGAAAGCCAAAAAAAAAAGGTAATTATCTCAGGGTATAAACAAATTTCAAGGCCCGATATATATGTATATCTAATCAGCTGGAGAGCAGCAAATATTCAAAACGGCCGACTTGAGATCGCAAATCGGGGAGGATTAGGCGGCTTTTTCCACTGGAGGAGCAGCAGCGGCAGCAGCGGCGGCGGCAGCCGCGGCAGGGGCAGGGGCAGCAGCAGGGACAGGGGCGGCAGCAGGTGTGGTTGTAGGGGCGGCAGCAGAGGTGGCAGCGGGTGCAGTAGTAACAACGCCTTCTTCTTGCTTTGCGGCGACTGGGGACTCAACGGGAGTCGCCACCTTTGCGGCTACAGGTTTTTCAGTTATCGGAGAAATAGCTGGGGATTCTGTGGGAGCAGCTGCTGCTGTTGTTGTTGATGTAGCTGGAGCAGCCGCAGCAGAGTCAGTGGTAGTGGCGGCGGCACCTGTAGCAGCAGGGGTAGCAGCAGCAGCGGCGGCGGCCGGAGCAGGAGACGACGCCGCGCTTGGATTCTTCTGGACTATGGGGCTGGCAGGCTGGCTGCCGCTGCCGCTGCCGCCGACAAAGCTGGTCAGGGCAGCGGTCCACTCCTCGATCTGGTTCTTGCTGTGGGCCTTGAAGTGAAGCTCGGAGGACAGATGGAAAGCGTTGCCGACCTTCCCACCGGACACGTCCTTGCCCTTGATGGAGAACTTGAGGTCGTTGAAGTTGCCGATATTGCAGTCCGGCAGGTACAGCGACATGTCGGGCATGGGATCCTGGCGGAAATCGTCATTGTCCTTGAAGGCGTGCAGGAAGCCGGCGGGCGTGACGACGTAGTACCCGTCGCTGTAGCCCTTCAGCATGGCGCGCGACTTGCGCTGCAGGATGCCCTCGACCAGCGGCTTGGTCGAGCGGTGGTCCTGGTTGGGCCAGGTGATGGTGGACAGCGAGCGCGGCGGCGTGTTGGGGTTGATCAGGCTGGCGTGGTTGCGCTCGAAGAAGTTGTTCCACTCGAAGTCGGTGGGCACCTGCTGGCCCGTGCTGACCATGTCGGCGTACATGGCGCGCTGCCGGTCGGACTGCGCGCCCATGCACTGGAAGAAGCGGTTCAGGGCGTCCTGCACGCTCGCGAGGATGTGCGCCTCGAATTGCTGGAAGGAGGTCTGCACGGCGAGCAGCTCCTTGAAGTTCTCGTTCTCCTCGTTGATCTGCTTGTTCAGGCGGTAAGAGATACCGCGCGAGATGAGGTAGGGGTCGTTGAGCGCGTCGTGCTTCGATCGCGTCGTCGAGTCGAAGATGGCGGTATTTTGGCCCAGCAGCTCAATGTGCTTCTGGGTCGCGGTGCGGGCCTTGGAGACCAATTTCGCGGCCTTTTCAGCTCCATGACTGAGCTCCTTGGCTTTGGCCTTGATCTCGTTGTGAAGCTTTTCGAGAATCGGAAGGACAGTTGTTTTCAAGTTCTTCTCGGTTTCGAGATGCACATCCACGATTCCCTAATTATATTGCATCAGTACCAGCACAACCACCATGCAAGCAGACCACATACTTGGGTGTTCTGGCGCAAACTGTCAAAAAGGCCGGTAATACCGCCCTTCTCTTGAACGAAGTGATGCCCTTCTTTCAGGGGCTCCGAAACAGTCTACCAAAAAAAGATGCGCCTAGCGATTAGCACAGTCTGCCGGCGGGCGCTGGCATTTCTCTCCACCTAACGCCGAGAGGGGGGCACGACACCACCGCCAACCAACCTTTAAAATCTTCTCAAACTCCTTGGCCTGGGCCTTCTGCACCTTGTGGGTGGTATTCATATAGTTCTCGAGCGAGGCGACCATGTGTTTCCATGCTTGCAATCGTTCGACAAGGATTGAGGTAGTCTTCAGGGCGCGCCACCAAAAGTCATCCAGGCCGTGATAGTTAGTCAAGCGCATCCTGCAAAAATCGGGGAAGGTGAAGATCATGGAGGGAGTAGCAGAGAGCGGGGCCCGAGCGCGCGCTTAAACGCAATACACGGCGATCAAGAGGGTTTTTGCCAGCAGGGCTGTTGTAGAACGAGGGTAGGGATGTGATACAAGGACATACATAATAGCATAGCACAGCAGGATCTGGTCGGAATGCAAAGAGATCAAGCACAAGCGAAAAAACAAAAAACAAAAAGGAACTTGGAGAGGAATACCAGCGCACAGAATAGTAAAGCAGGGTATAAGTAGCCAAGCACACGGAGCAAGCAGAGTGAATAAGAATAAATGGGCAAACAGTCGGTCAAGCGCCCGACCTCAATCCCTGGCCGACCGCTCTGCGGCCCAATCGGGGGCTTATTCGCGAACCAGATCCAGCAAACACAAGCAGAGGAAAACTGACGAAAAAAGGAAAGAAGAGCAGAAAAGAGGAAGAAGAAGAAGAAGAAGAAGAAATTCACACTCACGCCGCCCAAGTCGGAGTCCGGGATGGCATCGTCGTCGCTCGAGCCGCCGGTTGCGGTCCTGACGGTGCTCGTGCGCAGCGGGAGAGTCATCGTGGGAAGGTTAGGGAGGTAGTTACGCGCAATTGCTAACTGAGATGATTCGGGCCGGCCCGTGGGATGCTGGCGGGCAGAGAGAGCGAAGGTCGGGAGAGTATCGAAGGGGAGAATATTAATGAGAAGGATTGGTAGAGGAAGAGAGAGGTGAAGAAGTCGAGGGGGGTTTGGGTGGTGGTGGTGGTGGTGGTGGTGGTGGTGGCGGGCGAATGCAAGGAAAGGCTTGGGAGGCGAGAGTTAGGGTACCTAGACTCCCCGCAGCGCCGAGAGCCGCGCCAGAAGAAACCTCCGAGAATAATAATAATAATGGTCGAGGGGCCCAGGCAGCTGCACGGCGAGAGAGACTGGTGAGACTGGTTCGGGGGAAATGAGGGAGCGGTGGGCGGCGATGAGATCATGGGGGGGCGGCCGGAGCGTGAGCAGGCTGGTGAGTTACTGTAGGTAACTGGAACGCCGTGAAGTCGCCGCCAGCCAAACTTCGCCGGCTCGCACGCCACGGATCGTCGCGTTGGCAGCGCCGGGCGGGGCCTTGGAGCGGGTGAAAGTAGAAGCGTGGTTGCATGGACGGAGTAGTTAAGATCGAATTATGTATGTACAGATGTTCCGGAGTATATGCAGGCAGACAAGACAGCTCGATCGCCAGTCTATCACCAGTAAAGGACAAAAAAGAAGAACGCCCAGCGACATCCAAAGAATCAGCAGCGCTCACATTATCCTCCCTCCCAGAACCCGATATTTGCCCCCCTTCGCTACCGTGGAAGCACCAACAGGACAAAAAAAAAAAAGGAAAACGGAAAAAAGACAAAACGCCCTCCCAATGCAAAGCTCTAAAAACCATGGAACAAGTGATATATGTAGCTCAAAATCACATCTCTCATCCATCGCCGCCTCGAGGTGACTGGTTAACCGCCCGCGCGCGCCTGCATGATGCGCAGCTGCCGCTCACTATCCATCGACGGATCCGCACTCGACCCACGCTGATGCAGCGAGAAGTGCGGGCGCGCGGGCGCCTCGAGGATGCCAAACAGGCGGCTGGTGCGGCGCGAATGGGCGCGGCGCACACCCACGCGCGCCACCGCCGCGGCAGCAGCAGCAGCAGCAGCAACGGCCGTCGGCGACGTCGGGTCGGACGCCGTGGCGGCCTGGTAGTTGGGCAGCGAGCGGTCGTAGTGCGTCTTCGCGCTGGAGCGCAGCGCCGTGGAGTAGCTGGGCACGCGGCACAGGTCTTCGACCTCGCTGAAGTGCGGGTTGGGCGTGGCCAGGCCCGACAGCGCCGCGGCGTCTTCTGACGAGCGCCGCGAGCCGCCGTCCGTCGTGGCGAGCTCGAGTTCGCCCATGATCGAGGGCAAGGCGTCGGTGGGGAGCGAGCGGCGTCGTCGCTGCTGTGGGTGCTGCTGGTGTGGGTGATGGGGGTCGTCTGCAGGGGCGGTGGAAAGGGGCTCGGGGGGCGGTGTGGCGGGGGGCCCTGAGGAGCGGCGGCGGCGGAGGAGGTGCAGGTCGGTGAGCCGGTTGTGCAGGGCGTGCGCGCAGATGTCGCCGCCCCGCCGCCCGGCCGGCGCCATCGTAAGGTTTTCGGTGGACAGGTTCCTGCTGTGCGACTCCAGCGGCGACGCCACGCCACTGTGCGTGCCCGGCGTGAAGTAGCCGTTGGGGTCCATGTCGCCGTACAGCTGGTCGAACCGGTGCTCGCCGTACAGCGGCGGCGCCTGCTGCGCCAGGTAGAAGTCGACCGTGTGCACGGAGTTGTGGCTCTGGTCGATGATGTTGTTGTTCTCGTCGATTGGTAGGTTGGGCGAGATGAAGATGTGCACGGGAAGAGACGCGCGCAGCTACCAGGCGGGAGTGTGGTTAGTGCAGGCACAAGGGGGGGAGGGGAGAGGAGCTGGTCAATGGTACCTCAGAAGTATGGCCGTCGGAGTTGTGAAGCTGAACCCTAAATTTCAGCTTGTGTTTAATCTTGATGCCCTGTGTATCCGTGTCTTGTAGACATTTGCGTAACGTCGTAGGAAGACTCCAGGTCTTGGAGAACCGGTATCCTTCAGCATCGGCATTAGGAACAAAAAAGTCTCGCTGCTCCTCGATCTCGAATGAGTGCGAGAATATCATCTTGGAGGTCCGGGTGACCTTCCGCTGTTGTGAAACCTCGTCAGGGGGGAGCGAAAGTTCGTAACTCTCCACCAACTGTGCCAGAATGTTCCCAATCTTCAGGCCCTTGACGAGAGGCAGCAGGCGGAAGTTGACGGTGATGGAGGTGCCAAAGATAACGGCTTTGTTAGCCAGCGAGATGGAATATTCGAGCTTGTTGGGCCAGATATTCTCAACGGCCTGAACCTACACGGTCAGTCTCACGCCGCCCACTCACTCACAGCTTCCCAGACGTACCATCAGATGCGCAAACTCCAGCGCGGTGGGATCCAGCGTGCGGATGATCCTCAGCGGCTTGCGGGCGTGGATGTCTTTGGCGTACTTGCGGCCAATCTCGGCCTTGAGGCGGTACGTGACCCACGAGTCGGCCAGGCCCTCGACGCTCTCGGGCAGCGAGCCCGGCAGGACGACGTCGAACGGGAACTCATAGTTGTCGGCGGGCATGATCTCCGTCTTGCCCTTGCCGGCGTCGCGGAACTTCCACGTCTTTTCGAACACGATGTGCTCCTTGATCTGCTTCTTGGATCCGCCGAGCGGGCCGGCAATGAGCGTCCATCTTGCGGTTGTCAGTAAGTTGGGATTGAGTGCAAGATGGGAGACTAAAAATAAGGCTCACCCGATACGAGAGACGCCGACGAGGCGCAGTTTCAGGTGTTTGATGGTGAAGGGCTCGGACAGACAGAGCACCAGCGTGCCTTTCAGATGGGCGCTGGCGGCTTCTTCGGGGCTGCCGCGGAACACGATGTAGTCGTCGTCCAGCCTGCGCGTCGGCGAACAGCCAGTCAGCAAACGACATACGGGGGAGTATTGGCACGTCCAGGCCGGGGAGTCCTACCTGATATCGAAGTACTTGGGGTTGTTGGCATGACCGAAAATGCTGAGCGCCATGTCTGCCAGCCGCAGTGCATGGCATGCAGGGAGGGAGAGAAGAGCGAAAGGGGGAAAAGAAAGGCTCTTTTGGGGAAAGATTCTGTGACGAAGTGGCGGACACGGGAAATTTGGAATCAAAGGAAGCGGGCGAAGGATTAAAATAGAGAAGAATCAAAAAGACGAGCTTAAATGAGTCAGGCAGGGCAGGGCAGGGCAGGGCAGAGGGCACGCCAGGGCAGCCCGGCGCAGGGGAGGGGGGCCGGACAGGGAGCGCGGAGGATATATAGCGAGCAAGTATGGCGGGCGTCTCGGGGGGTTGACAGTGCGGGCGGACGATGAAGCTGCTGGGGGGGTCAGTCATCTAGTTAGTTAGTTAGTAGTAACTAGAGTTGAGGAGAATCGGTCTGGGCACACGGAGCTCAAGACAAGACGTTCCCCTCACTTCGACAGCAAAGAAGAAGAAAATAAAAGAAAACGAACAGATAAAGAAAAAAAAAAAAAAAAAAGGCTCGGCGAAAAATGACGAAACGGCGAGCGCAGCGATCCGAGCTAGCCGTGGGAGCGCGCGCTGAGCGGGCGGGCGGCGGCGACAGGGAACAGACGAGTCGCGGCATCGGCGGATTGGGGGCGACTAGTTAACTAGTTAGTTGATCAAGTATTTGTCTCCAACGTGCTCGCCGTGCGCGGAGCAATGATAATCATCATGAGTCCCTGCATGCAGACTTCCATCCTGCAGCCGACTCTTGTAACTAGTTTCTGTGAGCTAATGCTGTGCCCATCCACCCGCCTGGAGCCCTCACACACCCCTGCAGCGCCGGTCTGGACGCACCACACCACACCACACCCCCATCGCCATTATTATTATTATTGCAATACCGCCTGCGCTCCGGAGTACATCTCCGTAACGATGTCTCTACCGGCTATCGACGCTCGCTGGCCGCATCGCTTATCGATGGCGCGGTTATCCTTTCGAACGGCCGCTGCCGTTGCTCTCTCTACTCTCCCCCTCACGCGCGCCAGCATGTGAAACGCGCAGAAAGAGTCGTTTAACTACGGAGTAGCTAGAGCTCGGCCGGCCAGCCCAGCCAGCGCCCGCCCTCGTCACATGGCGCGCCGTGAGGCGATCGCCCGCCTGCGCGTCTTTCGCTGGTGCCGCGGCGGCCCATCGGAAGCCCCGCCCCGCTGCCCTAACTAACTAGTTAACTCACAGGTAACTTTTCGCCGGGTCCACGGCCCAGCCTGGCTTGAGCCTGGATATCACGGCCTCTTATCATATTGTGCTAGCAGTACCCGTACCTATGTACAGCAGCCAGTTGTGGGAACACTTCTCTAGCATATTAGCTGGTCGTTAATTAACTATTAACTACAATATCAATACGAGGCCTGCCCCTTTTCCCCTCAACGCAAAACTTCTACAGCCCGAAAACGTCCCCGTCTCTGCCGTCATACAGCATGCTCTTACCACGCGCGCGCCGTCGCACAACGTCCGCGAAGCGCCAGCCGCTGCTCGCCCGCCGCGCCTAGCGCCGCCCGCGTGCCCAAACGCGCTTAAACTACCCGCCTCCGCCTGCCTGATTCGGCGCGCCGGAGCCCGACGAGCCCGCGCGGTCGCTGTCGCGCTCCTGCGGCCGGTCCCACGTCCGGATGTGCCCTGCCTGTCGTTAGCCGTGGCTCTGCACGGATGTCCATGCAGCTTATATGTATGTATGTACTCACCTTCCAGCGATGAGGTCATGATGCTGTCCTCCAGGAACCCGATCCAGGTGATCGGGTCGTCGCCGATGACCTTGGACTGCGCCCAGACACGCCCGCGTTAGCACATAGTTATACAGGGGAGGAGGAAGCAGGGAACAAGATATACGGGACTAGATACGCACCAGGATGGGCGGCAGCTGGGCCGTCGTGGCTTTGGGGTCGACCGCGTGGAACACCGCCGGGCCATCCTCTCGCTCCGCCGCTGTCTTCTCCGTGCGCGACGAGTCCGAACGCAGGCGTCCCGTCCACGAGCGGTCCGTCTTCCGGCCGCGGACCGCCTGCGCCAGCCCCGCCACGATGCTGTTGTTGCGGTGCTGCCGCGTCGTGCCCTGCGCCGCCTTGGGCCGATGCAGCATCGCGCTGCTGAAGTCCCACAGCAGCAGCCGGCAGTCGTCCCCGACGCTGCCGAACCGGTACGTGCCCTCGTCGCAGCGCCACGGGTCGAACGCCACGCACGACACCCACGAGTTGTGCCCGTGGCACCGCGCCACCAGGTTCCGCTCGTGGAAGGACCAGATCGATACCAGGTCGTCTTGCCCGCCCGTCACGATGTATTTGCCGTCCGGGGACCAGCACACGCAGAGAAGACCCCCATAGTAGCTTGGAAAGACGTCTAACAACCTGCGCAAAGTTAGCCCCATACAAAAACCACCGTGCACCAGAGACAGTAGATAATACCGTTGTTCCAAGTAGTCCATCAACTTTAGTGTTCCATCCTCAATGGCAATCGCAACATGACGCCGGTCAGGCGAGAAGGCAAAGTTGTTAACCTGGTGGTTCGAGACATTCCAGCACCCGACAGGGTTAAATTTTTGATTCGGTGAGTTGATCGATTTCAGAATCTTGATCATAGGCTCGGGAAATCCACCTGATTCTTCCGCTTGGCCTATGTTATCCACCAATCCCTCAGCGACAAATTGCGTCTCTTCCCTCTCCTTGTCATAAATCACCAGACATCCATTGGCATGCGCCGCCATAAACATATTCTCGGAGCCCGGGATCCATTTTATATGCGTCACGGGCGTAGGATTGATGCAGGAGTTCTTATTCAATCGCGCATATCTCTGCGACAGCGGATCATACCACAGAATGTCACCCGTGGAGAACCCAACGATCACATCCAGATGCGAAACGCTCTTCGTCAGTTCGTTCACATCGTGGCACATAATCTGCGCCTTTGTAAAGAGGATTTTTGCGATGGGGTCCTGTTTGTGTTTGGCGCTGAAATCCAGCCACTGGAAAGCGCGATTGATATTCGCAAACACAAAAAGGCCCTCGGGGTTCCTATCCGTCAGCTTCTTGAGCGCATAGTCGTTGGTGATCGCGCGCGAGACAAACGTCGACGTGCTCTTGACGATGCTGTTCTTCGGCTTCCGCCGCTTCAACCCAGACGTGTCCTTGGAATCGCCGAAGTTCGCGCCCCCATTTTCCGATGCCTTCTCTTTCGAGCGTCGCATGCGACGACCCGAGCCCGAACTCTCCCGCGTACTGGTCCTAGCGAGGGCGGGGGGATCGTTGACCGTTTTAAGTATCACAGGCGTCACTTTGACGCCAGATGTGGGCGGCGTCGGCGCGGTCGACAGTGGATTGGGGTTCATCTGGATCGGTTCGGAGGGGTGCGGCGGAGGCGTCGCAAGATGGACATCGTCGCGAAGCTCGTAGATGCCTGGCCATGACACAGCAATTCTCGTTCATTAGCGAAAGCCAGATCTGGGTCATTGTAGTCGCAAAAACCAGATCGTAGGGGGTCGTACCTTCACCCAGTTGCAAGGGGCATCCGCCCTCGGGATGCTTGACGACATTGGTCGTCTCCGTCAAGACCACAGGAAGCCCGTTCTCGGTGCCCGCCGCATACGCAAGGGGAGTCGAATAGCGCGGAGGAGGCGGAGGGAGGAAACTATACATTTGGTGTTACAAACGGTGAGCTCGAAGAACAGTCGCTGTCTGGCCTTGAAGGAACAGAATAGTGGGCCAGAACGAAACCTGCCGCCGAGAGCGATGCGCTGGGGGGGCTGTAGGGATGGTAGGTCTTACAACATCACGGCCGTTTGCCCCTCGGCGAATCCAGCTCCAACGAACCAAGATTAATAATTCCGAAATGATGGTAGGAATTCTTGTTCTTTTCGGGGGACAGGGGAGTGGTACGCAGTATAGTCAACTATCAAATTCCTCGTTCAGCCGCAGGCGGGAGTGCGAAATGCCGTTAAGAGCGTGCGCTCCGGTCGGCCATCATCGCGGGAGAAAGAGCAGGGAAGACGCGCGATGGCAAACAGACGATTGAGACGAAAGCCGCGACGGTGTGCAGACCCGCGGCAGGCGTGGGTGAGCCCGCGGGACGTTGGAGCTCGAACTCCGTGGGCGGTGCAACCCCACAGGCCGTGCGGCGCGGGCGGAACTTTGTCGTCGAGCTAATCACCAGCCCGTCGATTGGCGGTCGCTACAATCAAGCGGAGACAAAAAACGAACCGCAATTAATGTACATACATACAGATGAAATGGGTATCTAAGCGGCCTTTTCGGTCGCGCGCATGCTACTCCACCATAATAATCCTACACGCTCGAGGGACCCCTAATCGGCGCTGCCCGTCGCGCGGCGCCAGATAACCACAGCCGCAGCCCCGGCACATACAATGGCCCCGATCGCGATCCCCCATGCCATCCATTTTCCTTCCAGATCCTCTTCTGTTCGGGGGAACGCGGTGCTGGGCTCCATCGCGGCTTCGGCGATGTGTACGAACAGCTCCTGGATCGAATTCCAGGTCACGCTGACATGCAAGGGCGGGCTGGAGATGTTCAGCCGGCCGATGTACTCGTCGGGCTGGAGCTCAGCCCGCTGCGTCGTGCGGTCCAGATCGGCTTTCAGGGCAATGAACACACTGGGGAGCTCCTCGAGATGCGGGTATTTGGCCCGGAGATCGGGGATATAAGCAAAGGAGTCGGGATCGGATGAATCGTACGTGTATGCGACGACGTCGCATTGGTCGAGGAGTTTTGCTTTGTTTTCCAGTATGGCTGGCTCTAGCTCCCCAAGCTCATTGAGGATCAAGTAGCATTGCCGCCCGCCGGGGAGCTCGACGGTGTTGACCGCTGTCCGCGGCTGGATTGTAGGGTGGTAGGTGCGGCTAAAGCCGCGCGACAGGAATGCATCCAGTAACGCAGACTTGCCAGACCCTGGTGGCCCCAGTACGTGGCACAGGACGACATTGCGGCCGACTCGCCCTGGCCGCTTGCGGCGTTTTCGCGCTGTGGTGATTTTCAGCGCGGCTGTTGTCAGCGGGTTACTACGGTCCGTAGACTCGAAGCCCAAGTACGCAAGGTATTCGAGCGTGGTCTTTGGCGATGTGAATGTGGTCATACTCCATTGTGCCAGCCATCCTTGAAGCGTAACGTGGCCGGCTTCGTTGCGCACCGTCGACGATGGAAAAGAGCCATCGGCCCATGAGCTAGGAAGGCCAGGGGTTGGCGCAAAGACGGAAGCAAGCTCTGCGTCATTCAGGCCTCCATCATTGTCTTTGTCGCAGAGCAAAAACAAATCGACGAAGAATCGGTAGCCCTCTGGGGAAAGCTCCGCTGATGCGAATGGGGGAACGTCCAGTCGAGGGTGTAAAAAGCTCTCCTGCAGCGATAAGTTATCTGTGTATTGGAAAGCCCTGAGTATGATCCAGACTGTCTCATGGCGTCCCTTCTCCACGTAAAGCTTGTTTAAATGTAAGAAACCCCGGGAGTCTATACCTGATGCAGTGACAGATGGCGGGTGCGCCTGTCGAATTGTATCTTTTATATGCGCGAGATCATCATCATTCAACGGCTTCGCAAAGCATTTCATCTGAAAAGCTTCAATCTCCCTATCACTTAGATAGCCGTCGTGGTCTTTATCACATAAATAAAATATACGCTGGAGGGCATTAACGGCGGCCGGCTTCAACACAGACTCTTTTGAGTCGAACAACGGTGCGATTGGATACGAGACGGCCTTTTGGCACAGAAAAAACGCCTCGTTCACGTTCTGATGCTCTCGAGCACTACTCCGAATGCACGAGTCGATCTCTTTGAACTCCGCCATCACCGGCAGCATTTCATCCTCCACCGTTTGTTGGTCGGCACCGTCTAGTGACAAATCTGATTTGTTGGCGCAGAGCACGACTGGCACATTCACCCCCAAGGACCGAAAGTACGGCAGCCAGAACAAAGCCACCCTTTCATAGCTGTAGTGGTCAGAGTATACCAGCAGTATGACGTTGGATTTACGAAGCTCCTTTGCGAGGTTGGTTCGTTCCTGCGGCAGCGCCGAAGTGTCGACGACGGTCGTGGTGGTTATGCTCTCGGGCGTGCCGATCGTTGGGGGGATGGTAACCTGAGGGAGGACAGGCTGGATTTTGTTCGTTACAAAGACCCCCTTGACAAGAGACGTAATCAGACTGGACTTCCCCGTACCCTCGTCCCCGCACACACATATTCGCACTAGCAATAACACACTGGTAAGCTCCATGTCGTAGAAGTCTGGACATCTCTACTCACCCGTGCCCATTTGACCGCTAAGCAACGGTAACCGGAGATTCCTGTTGCGGTGCAGATACGCCCTGGCAGGCAGCGGTGGCCGGCGTCTAATCAATGAGCCGCCCCGGCAGGTACCCAAACAGCAGACGACAATCTGTTCCTGATCTGGAGCTCCGGCAACAGCCCAGCGGAATGCGGGGAATATAATAATCCGCTCGCTTTACTGAGACGTGGCGCTTATAACAGCAAGCGAGCTAAGTGACATTATTGGCACGCTAACCGCTTCAAAGCGACTGGCGCCCGCTATTGGCAGGGATGGATGTTACATAAGCAGACTCAGCCACGCTGTTTATGCATGCCCCACAGCCGCACCCGTCATATCCAGCGGGCGGCAATTGTGGTCCCATCTCGTGCATTTGTTTCATGACGGAGCTTGGTATTTTTGATCTTTCTTTTAGTCCTGCGCGGCTGGAGTCGAATGTATCTTCGTTGCTCCGTGCTCGCTCTTCTCCCTCCTGAGTCGTAGTACCACGAATCCCACAGTCCTTTGTTTGATAAGAACCCAACTAGGAGCCCAGGCTCCTTCCGACAACGATGCCGATGGGAATCCATAACCCATTGCCCTCTTCCATGAGGAGTATGTCGCCTCCTTGATGATCAGCGCATTCAACATTGCTTATACTCTGATGATAGGCGAATGTAGGAAAGCCGGGAAGATCCTAGCTTCCTTCGTCGACCCGCGCCAGGCCTTTGGTCCAGACAAGATCATCCCGCCACAAATTTTGGCCAATGCGAAGGTATGAAAACTCGATTGGGTCTCCCTGCTTGGTGCCTACCATTCCTATGAGATTGACAATTTCCGCTTTTAAATAGGGCCTCGCCGTCATCACCGTTTTGAAAGCCGGTTTCATCGGCTCAGGCCGATTCGGCTCGGGTATCGTGGTTGCACGCCTCGCTGACGGCACCTGGTCCGCGCCTTCGGCTATTGCGACTGCGGGCGCTGGAGTTGGCGGTCAGATTGGATTTGAATTGACCGACTTCGTCTTCATCCTCAACGACTATGCTGCCGTCCGGACCTTCTCACAAGCGGGCACGCTTACTCTGGGAGGCAATGTCTCGGTAGCCGCCGGCCCTATTGGCAGAAATGCAGAAGCCGCCGGCGTAGCGAGTATGAAGGGTGTTGCGGCTATCTTCTCCTATTCGAAAACCAAAGGGCTGTTTGCCGGTGTGAGCCTAGAAGGAAGTGTCCTGGTCGAGCGGAGGGATGCAAATTCCAGACTATACAATTCAAAGGTCACTGCGAGTCAACTACTGGGAGGTGCTATTCCGCCTCCACCGGGTGCAGAGCCCCTTATGCGCGTTCTTCAATCAAGAGCGTTTTCTGGTGCCCGTGCGTACGATGCCACAATGTATAACGATATTCCCATCTATGATGATCGTCATGACAATGTGATTTGGGAAGGGAGAAGAGGAGATGCCCTTGGTGAGGGTGTTCCACGGAGTCGATCCGGATCAGTAAATGATGGCTTTGCATATCAAGACAGATCGAAAAGATCCAGCACATGGGCGGATGAAACGTACGACCGCTCGCCTGCTAATAGATACAGGGCACCCAGTAGCCAGAACGGCCAGAATGACTTTGAAAATCTCTCGAGTCGCGGTCGCAGTTTTACAGCTGGTGCTTACGGCAGTGACTATGTATACCGCGATCAGAAACCCGCCCGCCCAACGGCTCCGAAGCCGATATTTGGGCAAAAGCCGCCTCCAGTTGCCTTGCAGAAAAACCAGGCTATTGCTCTCTTTACATTTGACGCTGATCAAGATGGGGACCTGGGATTCAAAAAAGGAGAGATCATCACAATTCTGAAGCGAACGGACAAGAAAGAAGACTGGTGGACGGGGCGAGTGGGAGATCGAACTGGTATCTTCCCAAGGTGAGTGACCTGTATCTTAGTGTACTGTTTATAAATGCTAACATCTCCCTTTCCCTCAGCAACTACGTTGAAGTCGTGGAGTAAGCGCCGAATACTACCATAGCCTGTTACTTTCATCCCATCATTCACAAATATTTAAGAGCACATATTTTGAGATTTGTGTTTCGGGCATATCCAATACTATTTGGCGATTTCAGCGCATCCCTCATCATCCATGGCGCCTGGTGTTTGATCTTTTCTACTATGCATCCGCTCCCTCTTTTTTTTTTTTTTTTTTTTTTTGATTTTGTCGAAAGCTCATTCCCCATGTCAAATTGTACGTACATACATACTTCCATTCGTCCTATGTCACTCGAATACCGTATTCAACGAAAAGGTGCTCCTATAGCAAGAGGGGGTTACGAGGCTATTTTTAGGCTTCACACTGTGAAAGTGCTGGTCATGAGGCGCCAATGATGCGTCTGCTGGTCGCGACTAGACAAAGGGTGAGAAAGCTAAATCGACCAGGAGTCAGCCTTTTGAAGGTCACAGGCTGTGGTCTCCCGCGCTTTCTTGTCAGCTGGAGCAACAACGGGACGCCAAGTCACCTAGTGAACCCAGCGACAGCCGCTCACGCAACTTGAACCAGCCAAAATATGTATCTATCGGGTGTGTAGCCTGGTTCCATGCTTGTTCGTCTACCAACCAGGCAACTAGAAAGTACATATATCAGCATTGCATATCAACTAGACTCAGACCGAAACACCACCTGAGCGTGGGTGGCCATATACCCGCGAGCATTGAGCAGCACTGGGGCTATGCAGGATGGAACCAGCTCTGCACAACCATAGCAGGTTTTGGGGTGGGTTTTGTAACGGGCAAATTGCGGTGGAGTTGGACATGAAGCCGTTCTTAGGCCACGCTCGGCAAAGCAGAATGGCGCCGCTGGCTGCTCTTTGGCGCCTGCAAGACAAGAGCAGCTGCCAAGGGAGCTATGTACTGTTGTACGTAGCTCAAGTGTGTATGTAAGTTGTCCGTATGGATCTGCGTCGTAGTTGTAGGATGGAGGGCGGCGTGTAGGCTGCATTTGGGCGTCAGCCGTCGCGAAGCTTTTGTGGCCAAGGGGTGCGCGAAGCCCAACAAGTCATGCTTTGGCGACTCTCACCCTCCCAGCAGCTGCGAGAGAATAAGTCAACCGACACTCGCGATTCTCGTGGTGATTTGACTCTCGTGTGCGCAGTCCGTGCGTGCGCTCTAAAGCTGCGCCAGCCATCGCTTCTCTCCCCTGTGGTCGATGCGCCCTACTGCCACCATCAAGCCGAAACGCCCAAGTCCCTTGATCTCTGGCCCGCGAACGCCTCGATCGCCTTTCGTTGACCGCGACTCGCAGACTCGCTCGTTGAACGCCGAGCAGACCGGCTCGATTTCGACTCTCCACCGTCGCTGGCTGCCTGGTCCTCCTCCCGACGATGCTGATGGGCCCGCGCCGCCCCCTTCCCTAACCGTCCCTCCTTCGATATCGCTGAGCGCTTCGATGTTACGCCGTTTTCATGCTACGAATCTCCGGCGGTACATCCTTAGAAGGACTTCGCTGCCGGCCCGCTGTCTCTCCACTCGCCCCGGAATAGTGGGCTTTGACGCTACAGATCCCCAGCGATGCAGGTACGTTGACCCCGGCTCCAGTTGGCTTCGTTTCGAAACACCACCGCTGTGCGCCCAGGGCAGTGCGTTGAGAAGGCTCAGAGGACTGGGGGTGGGATGGCGCTGGTGGAGTGAAGCCGGCCCATAGCTGTCCCCTAATTTGGCGTTGAGGTGTTACATATTTGGCAAGGATGCTGATGCGTGTTTGTTGAATAGGCGTCAATAGGCTCATATGCCCGAGAAAATGGAAGAGACAAACCACGGCGGAGACATCTTCCACAGCTCTCCATCAGCGACGAAAACCACCACGTCACGGAGGCCATTGGCCACATGTACGACGATGACTATGATCGAAGAGACCCCAAGCGACTCAGCTTCGTGGCTTCCCAGATGGATGAGACCATCTCTACCGCTCCGATCAGTACCGCTGGCGCCTCCAGGTCTTCTCCAAGCCAACTACAATCCCTTCCCCTTAGAACGAGCTCCATCGACAAGAATAGAACAAATGGGCAATTACGCGAAGATGGCGCACTTCGAGACATCAGCGTCCCGCTTAACAATGGAGAACTATCGCCGGGCCTGAGTCGTGCCGCATCTATGGAGACAGTCACCACAAATTTCGAAGTCAATGATCTTGACTATGAATCAGACCCCGCGGTGGTCGCTCAAGAACTGAGTAACTTGGCAGCGCTGAGAAGAATGTCAATGGATATTGGGTCGCTTGACCCAGATTTACCCTCGTTTGGTTCCAATTTCAACATGCCATCGATCGCTCCCTCTTCCTCTGCGGATGAAGATGATACCTCCAGGCTGTTTTGGGTGCCAGCACGCCTCCACCCCGGGATAGCGCCAAAGGAATTCAAAACCTTTCTTGAGAGCAAGTCGGAGCAGATACAGAGACGCTCCGGGGAACTATCTTTCATAGATGGCTCTGGTCCGCAGCGACAGAACTCGGCTGGTGGGCTGCGAAGGAAGAAATCAATGCTGTCCAGACAAGTAGATTCCTCCAGCGTTGGTGGTAGATCTGACAGCGTCAGATCAGCACCTCCATCAACATTAACGGCACTAGTCGAAGAGCCACCCTCAGGTTCGCTTTCCAACACTTTCGCTGACGATAAACCTATTCTCCCTCCTGCTCCTCCTGGCCACAGTTTACGAAGGTCAACCCGGACGACATATCGGAAGGGTAGCCTAAAAGCCGGAGAAAGAGTTACAAGGCGCTTTCCAAGACGTTCAGACTCCAATTCAGAAGCTGCATCAAGCCGAACTCCGTTTGGAGCTGATGATGTCCCGATTCTTGGACTGACCAGGGTCTCGACAGATCCAATTCCATCCGCTAATAGTTCAACAAATTATTCTAGACCCGAACCCCGCACAAGAACACCTCCGAGCGAGAGTTCTGATATCAATCGTGGATCACGGCAAGAACGCCCTGGCTTGGGTATGCGTACCACGTCAACGAACCAATTACAAGAATCACAATCCCAGAAATTACCTACCTCGCGTTCAGGTTCCAAGTATCAACTTCCAGCACAACTTGATTTACAGCGAGTGGAGCCATCCGTGCCAGAAGAACCTCGAACCCTTGTTATTCCAGAACGGAAGTCATCCCATGACCCCCCGCCTTCTCTTCCACCGAAATCACCTTTACCCCAGGAGCCTACCGCAAGCAAATCTAAAAAATCGACACAGAAACCAGGTAAAGAAACTCTTCAAGCACCCAATGAAATTACCGCCCCGCCCTCCCCAGTTCCCAGCCACCCCAATACATCAGATAGCTCAATAGCTCATACTCGCTCAGCAGAAGACAAAAAGTCAGATAGAAAATCCAAAGAAAAGAAGGACTCGGATGGACGAAAGTCAAGTTGGCATTGGCGGAGAAGCACGGAGGATAAAGAGAAAGATAAGAAAAAGGACGAGGATGGAAAGAAACAAAAGTCAAAGTCAAGCAAGTCGGCGGATAAGATGCACGATAGCACCCGCTTAGATGTCCTGCAGGCGTCTATTGATGGAGGCGCCAAGGGACGAGAGGGCCTGGTTCTCGATCGCTCAGAAGTGAAAATTGGCGACGACGATCGACGAAAAGATAAAAAGTCTGAGGGTGGAGATGTGAAAAAGGAGAAGGAATCAAGTCTATTTTCATCGATATTTGGGGGTAGTAAAAAGAAAAGTGGTCATGATAGCCACAAAAAGTATTCCAGAAACCTATCCCCGGATACTCGCATACGTGAACTCAGACCCGACATCGACTACAGTTGGACTCGCTTTTCTCTGATACAAGAACGAGCAATATACCGAATGGCTCATCTTAAGCTTGCGAATCCTCGACGGGAATTATACTCACAGGTCCTTCTAAGCAACTTCATGTACTCTTATCTTGCGAAAGTCCAGCAAATGCACCCGCACATGAGCTTGCCGACTTCAGCCGCTCAAAACCAACAACGCAAGAAGGAACAGCAGCAACAGCAACAACAAGACCAGCAACAGCTTGATGAATTTTCTCAGTATCAGGAGTACGCACAAGTAAGTATCATCGGTAGTCTTCGTATTTTCGGGCCTGGTTTTCTAATTCTGATTTAGGCTGAATCGGATCGATATGATGATGGGCAGGCGTACGCCGACGACGACCGAGTGTATTACGATACGGAAGAAAATGAAAATTCCGGTCGAAGCAATGATCCAGGAATTTCCCGGGGAGCTGGACAACGCGCTCATGCGCCCTCGAATGGAAATGCTTCGCAACGAGACGAAAACGAAATGTGGTGATGTTGGCCTTGGTCGGGGTTAATCATCTTCAGTGTGCCCTTCAAGAACCCGCTTTATCGAAGCCTGGTTGCTGCTGTTTCTATTCTCAAAAATCATTTTGGTTTTTAACCAATCGATGAATGACGATGTTCTTCATGCGGATACGTTTTCCCCCGCCCGCCAGTACCCACGTATATTTCGGCGAGCCACAGCCGTAACTGTGTTTTGCTGTCAATTTGGATTCTAGATCACAAAGGGATCCTATGCACATATATTTATTTTGGACACGTCTATCTTCTCTTTTCTTTTTTTTTTCCTTTGTGGCATAGCGGGTTATTCATGACGTTTTGCTTCTGCCATTTTCCTGTACCTCCACTTCAAAACCTTCATGGTGTTCTCTCTTCATCTATTGACAATTTATTATATCTCTTAAGTCAAATGATCATCTTGCATGTCGGCCTTCTCAGTTTATAACAATTCAGCCTTTGCACAATCAATAGGCCAAAAAGGTGTTCACCTCTCTGCCTTATATAGAGTAAATTTCCCTAATCAAATAAGCTACTGTTCTGTACCTGTTAACAACTTATTGAAAAGAACTGAAGATTGATCGCGTGCACACTATGTACTTAGTCCAAATAGAGTTAGCTTTGTCCCGTGAATTGCCCCGCGACCGTTCCTTTGGTAACTAGTCTTGGCAGTTAGCCTAATATGGCTTAGCATGAGCTTTATTTTGACATCACCTTATTCTGCGCCAAGACTTGACTTTATACGCTATAATCTCCTTCAACTTGCAAGAAGTAAATATCTAATTACGCAACTTCTTGATTCGCCGTGTGCATACACGCTATCATGATGTGAGATACTGGACGCGATTCTAAAGATATTCGCTCTGTTTGCTACCCGACTTAGAACGCTGTCGCCATGTTACTTTTTGACCAGGCTTTTGCAATATCTCTGAAAAGGTTTCTTCGTCGGACTTGACTACGTCGCACGGTTAATGAAATCCAGTCATTTTACTTTAGCAAGGGGGTCCGACACTTATGATGGCGAGGGTGCGGATAAAAAATTTGACCCCAAAGAGGGCATGGCAAGCATTATACCTGGACATGAACACGCTTCTAATGATACTCAAAGGAGCGATGCCCCCAACCATTGTAATATGCATGTGCGTATAGACTATATTCTCTCACTCCCTTATTTTTCGTATAGCTTTATGAGACTAACCCGCCAATGCCGGAAATCCTAGGTTTCAATCTAATGCCATTGCAAACATAACCCATAATTTCGGGTTTCTTACTGCAATAATGGCTGTTATTGCCCAGTGCTTACTACCTCGGGCTAAATTCATGAGGATTATGCTTTTCACTGTGCTGGCATCTTGCCTATCAGCATCACTTAGTTGCCTTGGTATTTATTGCACTATAAAGGCAAGGGAGCATACTAGTCCTCCTGGAGCTTCTGGGAATGAATACAACAGTAGTGCTAGCGCTGTCGCAGCTATTTGGTTCTTATTTGATATCTGGTAGGGCCCTATTTGCACCCCATTGCTCCCTATTCCGTTTCTACTTCAGTATTGATTTAATGTAGGATTGGCAATTCATTGCGTGCCTGGCGTCCGAATGAGCTGCAGAGTCCCATGTCGTCGTTTTCTGTCTTTGTTGCGGTTACAATGACCAGTGCCCCTAAGTTACCAACGCTATCTTACGGGCTTCATTACGTCAGGCAGCTTCTCGTCGCATTTCTCCTTGGCTTCGCGATAGCAGCGGCTGTTTCCCTATTTATATTTCCAACAACTAGCCGAAGCATGATTTTCCATCAACTTAGGGGCTATCCCGCTGCGGTGAAGTCCTTGCTTGATGCACAGACCGCATATATTAAATCTACTGAGCACGGGGGACCTTGGAAAATAACCCGAATGGCAACAATTACAAGCCAGGCTAGTCGTCGCCTTCAAAGCTCTGATAGTGGTCCAGAGAAGCAGTCAAAGGAAGAGGCAAAGACTTTCAAATCGCTAGCGCTAGAAGCTGCTATTGGAAAGTTGGGAATAATCCATTCTCTCATCCACTCGGAAATACACTATGCGAGACAAGAGATAGCATGGGGAAACTTGACTGCGGAGGATATTGACGCCTTCATTGCATTACTACGATTGCTTTTCCTCCCATTAGCCGGAGTATCCATGCTTCCTCGCATCTTCAGAAAATTAACCAAAGCGGTTCCTCCGCAGCGTACCGGTATGGACGCTGCTGATATTGATAACTCAGCACAAAATATGTACCGCCCAATAGTGGATGATTCTCCATATGAATTACCTGGCAACGACCAGGAACATTTTATTCAACCCCTCTGTGAAAGGCTCGAAACCGCGAAAGTCCTTGCTAATGCTGGACTTCAACATGCTTTCCTTGTCTTACGACTTTCAAAGTCTAAAGATTTTGCTACTACTTTCAAAGGGAGGAAGTTCTCTTTTGTCTCCAGGGACGAGGAGAATGGAGGAGATACCATCCCAGGAGGTGAAGGCTTCACAGCTGATTTTGAGGCCAAGCTCCACGACTTTTACTTGGAACGGAAAAATTTACCTCAACATTGGGCTTCCCTAAATGCGTTTATACCTATGGAAGACAGTGATAATGATCACTCCGCTGAATCCCGTGAAGTTCGCAAAGAATTTTTTGTCATCTTGTTCATTGGTCATTTGCAAGATACTCTTCTTCAAGCTGTCTTTGATCTCGTCAAATTTGCCGATAGCAAAATTGCAGATGGTACTTTAAATCACAAGCGTGTGATATTTCCAAAAGCAGAAAATATTAAGCGATGGATTTTTGGTGGTGGACCCGACGAGGAGCAAAAGGTGGAGAATGAAGTTCCTATCATAGGGGAGCAAACCAATTATGCTCCTCAAAAATGCGGAACTGACCCATTGAAGTCCCGTTTTGCAGATCCCGAGCATCTTCCTCCCACAAACAGGTGGCAGCGGCTTGGGAATTGGATCCGCCACTTATCTCATTTACTCAGTTCCAAGGAGAGTTCGTTTGGCCTCAGAGTTGCCGTTGCGGCTTTTTGCGTGGCCATTTTAGCATACTTGAGACCAACACAGGATTTCTTTTATAGGAACCGGATTAATTGGGCCGTTATCGTAATTGTGATAGGTATGAGTCCGATTAGTGGGAAATCGCTATTTGGATTGATGGGCCGGGTTATTGGAACTGTACTTTCGACAGCTTTGGCCTTTGCAGTTTGGTATATCGTTGCTGGAAAGACTGCTGGAGTATTGGTATTTCTTTATGTCGGGAATTGCCTTCAAGTAAGAACTGGTAGCATTCAATTTGTATCGATACTAACACGTATCGGCCAATAGTATTACTTTTATGTGAGGTTTCCACGGTTTATTCCAGCATGCATTATTGCATTGATTACTTTCAACTTAACTATTGCGTACGAACTTCAGGTATGCCTTGATCCCTTCAGAGTGGCTGCCGCAATCACTAACCATATGTGAAAGGTCCGAAAACTCGGCTATGAGAAGTCTGCCTCCAGCGGCCTAACTGTCTTCCCCATTTATCTCTTTGGCCCGTATCGACTGGTAGCTGTCATGGTCGGATGCGCTATATCCTTCATATGGGTCGTATTCCCAAGCCCAACTACAGCAGGCTCCCAAGTTCGAAAGACGCTGGGCCGTGGGCTTTTTATTCTTGCAACATTTTATAACTGTATGCATACCTCGATTGAAGTTTGGATCAACCAGGAACAAGGTGACTTGAACGATTCCCAATCTCCAGCACGGCTATTAGAGGATGCCAGGAATAAACTATTCGCTGAGGAAATGGCATTGCTTACGGAAATTCGGGGGCATAACGAGTTTACTAAATACGATTTGCCTATTGGTGGTCGATTTCCCAAAGAGACATATGATAATATCGTCTCTGAAATACAAACTATTCTCATTAGTATGGCTCTTATGGCCCGTGTCACTCGCGACTTGGAAAGTCTGGTTGCCGAAGAGCCTAACGGTACCCATCGCAGGTGGAGTACAAGTACCCGGAGCGGCGGCCTTGCGGATGAAGAACGATGGATTAAACACCTTGCACGAGCCGCGAACTCTCCCGACTTTCACTCTCATATAATCACATCTGCAATTTACCATCTATCTGCTGCAGTATCAAATGGCCTTTCGCTGCCTCCATACCTGGCTCCACCTCATGCATTTCCTTTGGCCAGAAACTTGAGGCAAATGGACGAGAATTTGTTAGACATTCGCAATATAGAAGATCCATCATTCTCAGCTTTTGTCGCTGTAGAGGTTCTCAGCTCGATGGTGAATTCAAATTTAAAAACCCTTGTTAAGTACGTTTCATTACTTCAGTGATCAATCTAGACAGTTGCTAAATGTTCTTTTAGTAACGTAAAATTGCTGGTTGGTGAGCTAAACTTCGACGTTTATATCCGGCGTTGGAAAGATGAACGGCACGAAGAAAGTGACGGAGAGCAACGAGGGCAAGGACATGAACGTCGCCGCAAGAAGATAGAATAATACAAATTCAAACTTCAAAGTCCTCGTATGATTGGAAAAGAAGTTATTACAAGAGACGTACGGCCGATTTTTCTCATATCTTTGCACTTCTTTAGAATGTATCTCTCCGTGCAGCTAAGTATACAAGAGCCTGCTCAATTACGTTTATCTTCACTTATCCAAACCAATTCTTTCCCCAATAGACTGGACCGTGTACTACATTTTGTGACTCGCACCGCATTTATCTCGCCAATGACCCAGCTTTTTTTTAACTATATTCACCGATGGCAAGCTATTGAAGTCGACCCTATCGACCCTGAGTGCTCAAAAAATCCTATTTTCAGCATCTTCGCAAGTCAATAAACACGCCAGGACACAAGGTATTCAGTATTTACGGTGTATGTGCGGAGATGTAAGAGCTTTTCTCATTCACATTAAAAACGAAAACAAACAAGATTTTCATGTACAGCCTCTAGAAACTAATCTTTGGAGGCTTGCTATTCTGCTTGATCCAGTCAACATATGTTCCTACTCGGACATATATTCCTCCAATTCCATTCTTTGAACACTCACGACCCCAAGACACAATTCCAATCAACTCATTGGCTACCCGATCAAACAATGGCCCTCCACTATCCCCATTGCATGAGCCTTCTCCATCCTTAAATGCACAGATCATGTCATCGAAGATCTTTGCATCATCGTGATTTATTGAATAAAGTTTCCTGCAAGTCTTGCGATCTACAACAGGGACTGTTGTATATTTCAAAAAAGCAGAGTCAGTGTTGTTATTGTCTGCTATTTTGCCCCTATTTCAAGAGTGAGTTTGGCTTAATATAGATGAGCTAACAAAAGATGCATACCAGCCTGCTACAATCAGTTTTGTGTTACCCTTAGGATCACTGCCTTGTTTTGGTAGCTTGATGTAACTAACAAGTCCTGGTTGCTCAGGAATAGGGTCTTTCAAGTACAGTAGGGCAAGGTCGGCAACAAGAGTATCATTATCGTACTCTGGGTGTATCTTAAAAGATTCTACTGAGACCCGGGTCCCCCCGGAAAAAATATACTACTAGTTAGTGAGCATGGGTTTCAACAATTTCTTAGTAGCCATGGACGATATCATACCACAGATCCCGCACGAACAGTTATTTTTGATTCAACAATGCAATGAGCTGCAGTGATTGCAACTTTTTCACTCAACAATGAAGCTCCGCAACCTTGGGTGTCATTGTACTGCATTCCCACAATATGAGTGATATCACCCGGCTTTGCATAGGTTCCGCCAATAATTCTAGAAGTATCCGTAGGCATTGGCATAACTGGCATTGCCAGCATAGCCAGAAATACGAGGGATTGGACCATTTTCATGAAAATTGGAGCAAGTATCAAACAAATGCACGATATAGACTGTGGGTGAAAGTGATTAGACCTGGGGTGACTGGCGGCTTTAAATAATAAGACCAATGATGGTCAGTGGTCTTATGCCCAGCCTCCCAGCTACAAGCTGTCATGGATTCTGCATTGGGAGGAGATCATGTATGTAACCTACCCCATGGGAGCTCCGACCAGCATTGCAAAATCAAGCTATGGGTGACGAATACTTCTCAGGCAGCACATGCAGGTGTTAGATTCCAATATTTCAATACTGGCTAGGTGATAAAATGACCGCCGCTAGCAGGATGCACAAGCTGGCGAGGAGAATCACACCAGGACCCACAATTGGGGATTTCTCCAGCTTCAAGAAATTCCCAACAAGCTTTTTATGGGGCTTTGCAATCCATACACAATATGTTCTCTTTTCATCTTGATTGGATCACCGCGGAGAGGAAAAGGAAAGATTGTGCCGGACTGCAATGCAGTGATGGGACTGAAGGGTTGGAATTTGCAGGCAGGTCTGCGGAGCACAGAAGCTCCAAAAGCATCGTTTATTGTTTCACTGGATCATGGTCACGGCTAAGGCACATACAGAACATCCTGGGTGTCGAAAGATGTTGCTCATGCATGCGCCAGCAAGGGTTATAGGGATGTGGGCAGGTTGGCAGGTAGTCAACACTACCCTGGACAGATGTAACTGCGGAGCATGTAGATCGACTGTAGTTAATCGCCGCTGTTTGCACTGTTTGGCGGCTGGCGGCACGTGATGGTCATCCAAGGGCAGCGACGACGCTACGGCGAATGGTTTCAAGCCGCCTGCTCCCCTGCAACACCGGGCGACGTTTGTACGCACTCACCAGGGACCTGTCAACCACCAGCTACTTCTATTTCTTGCAAATTCGCCTTCTCGCTGGCGGACTGTCGTAAGCTAGCTTCGTCCCCGTCGCAACACTGGAATCTGAACGGCAACCAAGACAACTTGGCAACATCCTATTGTTACCATGAGTGATGCTTATGAACGTGAGCGGTAAGCCGGCACCCTATTCTACTCTTTGTCTGCCTACATAGTACAAGATCATGGCTAATGCATGCCTGCAGACAGAATAATGCTCTCCTTGAGTCCCTCTCCCAGAAGACCAATGCCTTAAGATCTGTCACGATAGATATCTATGACCATGCCCGAAATCAAGAAACAATAGATAGCACTGTGAGTCCTTTCCTCTCCCCATCACCCACCTCAAAGCTGCCGTTTTCAAATATGTACCTAAGGGGCTGACTTGCAAATCTCCCTAGAGCGAAGTGTTTTCTTCCTTGTCTACAAACTTACGAGGTAGCGCAGGGCGCCTGACCCGTGCCGCAAAACAAGGCGACAAGGTTGCGGTCTTGAAAATTGCTGGCATCGTAGTGGGTGCCGGCGTCGGTGCATGGGTTGTGTTGGGCTGGATCTTTTGAAGCTTATGCTCCCATTATAATTTTTGATGATCTTTAGCGTTGACATCGGCGTCTTTGTGGGGCGGGATTTGCGATGCCGGTGCCGGAGTTATATGTGCTTCATACCGGACGGAAAAATATCCGTGATTCTAAATTATCATGTTAGCTAACTTGGGCCATGTTGACGTACGCCTTGTGGGGAAGACATGCTGATCTTTTTTTGGTGGCGTTACTCAAATGCAGTGTACATTATTTCCCTGTTTATGTAATGTATGTACGGAGTATGTACATACATGTATCAAGCTGCCAAATACTTTATCTAATACTACTCCTTTGGAAGTTTCGAGTAGCATCCCCCAGGGTCGATGCCCTTTGTTTCACCTTGGCCGACGTGGTACGAAAATCCTAAATCTGATGATTAGGCGTACTATTCCAAAAGACAGTTAAAAGCCTAAGTACGGAGTACAACCCCTTGCATCGTGAGACTATTTAAATAAGAAGCAAGATACTCTGTACACATATTGGAACTAAAGGTATTCTACTTTATTGCATACCATATAGCTAAAACAACTTGGCCCCTAGATACAATATTGGAACAGGGTGCTGGGTCCTTGCAGCTTTACTCCCAAACGTTCGAAAACAAGTCTTCGTTTCCTCCAAATCCCCCGGCGGGTTTAGGTTTCGCTGCAGAAGTTGGGGGATCGTTTGGAACAGCACTCGTCCAACCACCAAAGTCCTCGTCTGAAGTGACAGCGGGTGTTGGCTTGGGGGCAGTGGTTTGACCAAAACCAGATAGGTTGCCCCACCCACCACCGATGTCGTTCGCCGTCAAGGTATCAGGAACTTTCATGGTCGATGTGGGTTGAGTCTTTGGTGGTGACGGTTCAGCGGACCAGGCATTGCCACCCCATGGATCCAAGCTGGTAGCTGGGATCATACTCGCTGCTGCTGCGGTACTAGTTGAAGGAGCTTGCGCTGCAGGCTGTGGTTTGGGAGATGAAAGATTGAAAACAGAGTTCATAGAGTTTGAAGCCGGAGGTGACGTAGCTGGGGGGGAAGATTTAGGTGGCGGTGAGGAGAAAATATCAAGCATGTCATTTTTAGAGGTGGTGGGAGGGGCCTTGGCCGATCCCATTGTTGCGTCAATCAAATTAAAACCAGTCCCAGTGTTTCCCGAAGAGATAGATGGAGACTTGGATTGAGGTGTCTTATTTTCTGGCTTGGAAGCCATAGTGTCAAGCAGTCCGCCGCCACCCAAAGGAGAAGAAGAGGAGGTGGTTGGTTGGACGGAAGGAGATGAAACGGCGCCTAAAGAATCAAATGCAGAAAACGATGGTTCTCTTTTGGTAGTTGAGGATACAGACGGAAAGCTTAGTCCACTAAAAGCATCCGTCAGGCCTCCGAAAGCATTACTCTGTGACTTGGGCTGAGATTGGAAAGAAGCCGAAGAACCAAAAGAAGCAGTTCGATCATGTTCAGGAGTCGGTTGTGACTTTGGCGCAGATGCATATAAAGACAAGATAGATTGCTTCAGATCAGGTCTAGAAGAACCTGTACTAGCTGGACCAGACGGTGTGCTCGATGGTCTGCTTGCTGGGACTGGCTGAGAACTGCCAAAGAAGTCCAAGCCCAGCAAGGAGTCACCGGACTTGATAGGCTTGGAAGAAGCTACCGGGGAAGATGGCTTTGCTGTCGCATGTGGGCCAGGTATGTCGGTCGTCTTGGGTCTCATAGGAGGTTCCGGCGTATCGTCATCGAAGAAATTCACAGACTGCCGTTGGGTAGTCGCTGAAGGGCGAGGGGCTGTAGAGGCGGCTCGCTGTGACACTGATCTTTCGAGTTTCGCCTTTTCTTGAACTACAGCTAGCGGCTGGAGTAATTGTCAGAAGAAATTCATGAGGGAGATATTTAATAAGGCTCACTAAGTCATCATCTCCATCAGCCTCAATTGTAGATGGATCAGGCATGGGTCCGTCCATTACCCATCGCTTTGACTCATACTTCGTTCTTATAAAATTCTCTATTTTTCTAAAGAGTCCATCAGCATTTTTCCTATAGATTTTGTCAGCTATAAGGCATATTTTCAACTCACGCTTCGGAGGGAACGTGGCCAGGAGCAAGCTTTGCCTCCCAATATCTAATCCCCATTAGTTAGCAAATAGCTTCCCTCATCTGCTGCTCGAAAATGGCTAAATAATTGTATGTTCGGTATTCAGGTATACGAACTTATTAGCTCTTGCGTTACCCCATTTCACCACGCTCTGCAATTGTTCATCGGTCCAGGAATCCAGGTCAACGGATTTAACACGGCTAACATGGGTTCCCATGCCTCGATGAATTCCAGAGCAACGGATACATATAAAAATGCCAATGTTCCAACTAGCCCATCTTGGATCTACAGGAATGCACACAATGTTAGTGATCGTGGAACAGAGAATAATTGTATGCTTTGAGGGTTACTGCCTGGTCTTGATAACCATGACTTAAAAACATACGTTTATTCCGTTTGCAATCTGCGCATGTCTTGTTGCAAGTCAACTTCAATAAGCCCTTTATGATCTGTTGGTTCTGAGCAGCTTTGGCTGCAGAAGCGTTGGACCGTTGTGACATGGCAAAGGGGTCGAACGGCAACCAGCACAGGGCTGTCAGAGGCGTGAGAGTATTTGGCAATTGACTCGGCCCCTAAATCTTACTCCGAATCAAAAGCCTTGCCAATCCCAATTCAATCTTTCCGTTCGTTTGTTGTAACTCGCTTCAGGCAGAGGAGCAGTTCGGGTTGTCTCCTTTGGGGCCCAATTCATGTCACGTGCTCCATGATTCAGCCACCTGCGTCGTGAACTATAAACTGACAAAGCCAAGAGGCTGGTAAAAATGAACCTGGCTCAGGAGTCAGCATTAACACGGCAATTATCCAATACCCATAAAAACGGCCTGAAGATTTATATTTAATAATTTCAATTATACATAGAACCAGTCTATGAGTTCTATAATGCGAAAAGTTGCCCGAGAAGCCTATATGCTGCCACCCAAATACTACATAACTAGCCTATGCGGCCGGGTCATCATTCGAGAACTTCAAGCTAACACTATTCACACAGTGCCGCTCATCCGTCGGGGTTGAATACCCTTCCCCCTTGAACACATGCCCCAAATGGCCTCCACAATTCGCACATACAATTTCCGTCCTTGTCATACCAAGCGAGTGATCCTCGTGCCGCTTCACGGCACCCGGAATACAATCAAAATAGGCGGGCCAGCCGCATCCCGAAGTAAACTTGTGCTCTGCCTTGTACAGGGGCGTGTTACAGCCGGCGCAATTGTAGACTCCTGATGTAGGACGATGTTTATTGTATTCGCCGGAGAAAGCGGCCTCGGTCCCCTTCCCACGTAAGATACGGAACTGCTCTATAGATGAGGTTTAAATCGTCAAGATCGGTGATATGCTGTTAAAGGGGTGTAGCTCTGAGCATGTATATACCTGGGCTTAAAACGGCGCGCCATTCGCTGTCTGTTCTTTTATCGGGATATTCCATCTTATCCGAAGCTGACGGCGAATTTGAAAAGCCGCTCAGCAGAGCAGTGACGAAGGGCATGGATGGAAAAGCCCGGGGAATAGCTGGTGGTGCTGCTGGTCTCCTGCGGACCAGGAACGTGGAAAAACCAGAATGGTTGAATATCGAGCGGAGACCAGAATTGTTCAGGGTTGATTTTACGGGGTGAAGAAGGCTACAATAGCGAGAACCCATGCGGTTGGGGGAAAATGAAACCAGAAAGGGATGAAACCCCGAGAAGAGACAGAATCCAAATCTCATGTCAGCTGCAAAGCTTTTTTACGCGATTCCCCGCATTTCAAACACGACGTATGCCAAGCTCGCCTCGGACTCGTCTCGCGCTGCTTTAACGAACTAAATACTCCGTAGATAACATCCAATAATGATATGATATGCTGGTCGGAGATTCACACAAGATAACACCGGCGGCCCAACTCCAATATGTACTCAGTCAAGTCCAACACCTGCAGATGCCCCAAATAGAGATCAAAATAAATGTGCAGCCGGCTATGAGTGCCGCACCAGTCCAGTTACCGTCAACTGTCCCTCCCCAACTTCCACTTTCCAGCCTTGACTTGCTAGTTTCCGAGCTACAGCAGGGCCAAGCCGGGCCATGCCGTTCTTGCTGTGTCTGCCTAGCCCAGTGATGATCCGGTAGCCCTCCTGAGCAGGCCTGCCTCCACTTGTGACATACTTCGCATCCCCAAGAGATTCCCACCATATTTCTACTCGGTCAGATGCAATGCGAACACCATCCTGCACACTAACTCCGTGTAAGTCCAATGTCTTTCTGGTTGACTGCGAGTCCACAAGGGCGTCAGCTGCAGCAGATGCTTCTCGTTTGGCGAGCGCGATGTGCTCACGGCCAATACCGGAATAGTAGCTCGCAGCTGCACCCATAAGGTGGTCTGATTTCCCACGACGATATGCAGCCTGCGCTTTATCAAATGCTGTCTCTCCAATGCGTCGATGGTGATCTGCAAGAGCATGACTAACAGCAAAACTCGTGTGAGAATTAGAAGTCGAGGGCAAGGGCCGGATAGACCCGGAAGCTCTTTTCACTTCGAGATACTTAGAATCCTTAGTAGTTGGAAGTCCCGGCTTGGCAGGCTCTATATTAGTCGAAGGTGTTTCTGGCTCCATCACCATTACTTCTAAAAGCTCTTTTGCTGCAGAAATCGAGTTTCTTGTCAACTTGAGTAATCCCGCCAATCTCGGCGTATCGCTCGTAGAAAAATCTTCCAAAAGCTCAGCAATTTGTTGCACAGTGACAGGGTTATTCATAAGTTTCTCCGGATGCTTTTCAGCTTCTTTCAGCGCTAGATACCTGATTGTCGTCGGAAGGTGGCCACCATTGGAATAGTAAGCAGAGCCCACGGCCTGGGATGACAGGAGAGTCCTGGAGCAAATAAAATCCACATCTTTCTTTCCATTGTCCCATCTGTTGACTTTCGAGTTGCCAGTTGGCCCGTTTTCGGTATAAGTAGCAGAATATTGTTCCAGGAATCCATTCGTCTTTCCTTGCTTCCTTTTCCCCTTTCCTTTCCTGCGGCCCTTTGTTGAGCCACTTCCTTCTCCAAACCCTTCGATTCCTTTTGGAATTGAGATGGATTCAAAATTCATTTGTGAGTTGTCGCCTTCGCGGTAATCGTCGAAAAACGCCAGGTTGAGCAGAACATCCATCGACTTGTCAATGTCGTAGTTAAATTTTCCGAGAGTATGAGCAATCGTGTAGGGCTTTATAGAAGGGAACATTTCTTGTAAATATTCCTGCCTCCCATCTGGACCCAGATTCGAGAATGCGCCTCCTGGATGGATTGAACTCGGTATTGCAAACATTCTCTGGCTCTTGGCTTGCGACGAATGCCCTCCTGTTGATTCATCTCGTCCCAGGCTTGACGCTGAAAAGGTGGACCCAAGACTTGAAATGGCGGACTCGAGAGATTGTAAGGTTTTTTGGGACGAGTGAATGCTTGCCGAGGGAGCGCCGTCCCCGTCACAAAAACCCTGGCCACTTGTTCCCGATGGATCAAACGTGCAGTCATCTTGAGCTTCAGCAAACGCCTTGAGTTCATTTAGTGTAGTACGCAACTCGTTGATATTGTCGAAGTTTTCGTCACAGTCATAATCATGCGCGATAGCCGCGAAAAGAGCGGGGTCGAGTGGAGGACAGTATTCACTCTCCAATACCTATCCACAAACGAGAGCAAGCAATTAGTATGTCCTACAAAGCCCCTACTAACAATATGAGTAACGGCTGCGACTTTTCCCTACCTTGAAAACATCGAGAGTCGCGTGTTCGGTCATTTTTGAGTGAAGTGCACAGTGCGGCATTCGGAATTTTGTTGACAGCTCCTGGGTTGTATAAAAAATGCATTTTATTCTTTCACTGAAAATCTGTCGAAAAGCTTTAAATCAAATCTATGTATGTTTTCACGGGCTGGATGGTGTAGTGGAACACTGTTGGATATGACTCGGGGGCATCTTGAATCTTGATCCTGCGCTTCCCGCTTCCTTGGCCCAACCTTAACTACCGAGCACCAGCCGCATCACGTGTTGAAACCATTTCCACCTCGCGACATCAATCAATGAGCCGTGGGCAGGGTTGATGTAAGAAGCGGCAGTATTAAGGCTTCCCTTAGCACTACATCTCGCCTGAAGAGTACCGATCTTTCTCACTGTGCCCTATGTACACTATAAGAGGCTCGGATGTTCAAGAAAGTGTCTCTTTAACTGGATTGTGGAACTGTTGGAGTATCCCCAGTGTTTCATAGCCTTACGACTTGGCAGATAACGCATAGATTCAGGTCCCCTATTCTTTTGGAGAAGCATCACATCAGAAGTCCAGCATATCGAATATTTATCAGAATTCATTACAGGCTTTGTTCCCCCTTGCTGTTTGCGGCAATTCGCAAGTTCTTGAATTCTGATAGAAAGGTGCTTTGGAGCAAGCCGGTATGTTAGTCAAATGTGGATATAACGGCCACTAAAGCACTCTAAGGTGGATGGAGTATGCCACTTTTTAGTTCCTCTCTACAATGTAGGGCTTTCATGTCCATTTACTTGAATTGACTGCCCCCTATCCACTGCAATAGGTACCAAATGTACTGTTCTGTCTTATTTGATTATTCGTTCTGCCTAGGATGTGATCTTTATTCTAGCAAAATAGTGTCTAAAACACAGCAACAAAGTCAGACAGAAAACCAAGTCTTCTCACCACTGCTATGAAGCTATTCATGCGTGCGCGATGTGTTTCTTTCCTTCTTGTGCAGTGAAGTCCAATTCACAGCATCACGTGGGCCCCTGCTTGATAACAGATCGGGATGGAATTACTGCAGATGCCGCCTTACCCCTCAATATCTCTGGTCGGTATAGGGAGTAGCGCTTCAGCGACATTCCAAGTTGCTCCACCGACCCTACGTCGCGTCTATCTAGTCCGTTAAGAAGCTGATATTGCTTTCTCTTGCCGGCGTCTATCAGTCGCGTGTTTGGATACCCCTTCTCCCACTTGATCATCACCTACTTGGAGCTAACCTTGAAAATAGGGTAATGCAGTTGGTTCTCATTGTTCCGATGTGTGGCCATGGTGGCTGCCACATCATCGACCTTTCCAGTGCCAGAGTGTACAGGCCACTAGGCGACAAGATTGACTTTACCTTCTACTTCAACAAAAAGCCATGTTTCCAGTGCATATATTCAAGGAGATATGTGTTGAATGCCAGGCACAAGTGGATTAAAGCTACATGTAGGTGAAGCTCGAAAATAAAATGAGACGTACAAAGGAACTAATATCAACACCCCAATTCTAGCACCGGGTGTAGCAAGTGTGAATAATTCTCGAATAACAGATGAAGACGCCGCACCTGATGTTACCCAAGAACAAGGCAGCACACATGATCGAAGTACTGCAAGGCCATTCAAAACAGTAGTTGGTGCTTTACAAGTGGCTATGAAAAGCCTATCGACTTTTCCCGGAAACACAAAACAAGGATAAATCAAAAGGTTTTTTGATGCCGTCGCATGGCCCTACTTTCCCTGGGCATTGAAGCTCTTCGTAATAAAATATGTGCCTTCAATCCGAGGAAATCTAGCGCGCTTCAAGCATGTGTGGGAGGATCCAACTGTGAACCATATACCCCTTTTTTTAATATACATAATTCATAAATTTTATTTTACAGGCAAGGTGCTAGAGTCAATTTATTTCTTCATTTGGTCGCGAAGATTCCTGAAGAAATCTCCACCCGTTAGCTGCCCTTTCTGCTCTACAGATGTTGCTTTCCTCACCCGCGAAAGGTCTTTCTTTCCCGAGCATCTTGGCTCGTGCCTTCTTTTCTCTCTTTCATGTTTGTTTTGATTTTCTTTTTATTCCTCATAATCTCAGTAACATTTTCCTACTGTTATACTCCATCTGCACATCGGCTTAATTTGCATCGTACGTTGCAGGCCTTCAGTACCACTTTTATCAAAATAACAGCTATCCATCGCTACTCTCAGGTGTTATATATCAGCCGGTGCCTTTTTAACGATGTACTTCAACATTATTGCTCCCGTTCTGGCCCTCGCCGCCTCAGTTTGTGGTACAGTTCTCGCTTTACCTCTCCTACAGTAGAAGACCAAATGTCGCTAATAGAGATCTCTCAACAGCACTGCAAGTAACGAGCCCAAAGGCATCTGCCACTTGGAACTTATCCAAAAAACATAGTATTGAGTGGAATGCAGTCTCGTAAGCCTACATCTAGACCCGAATATCGAGATCTAACTAACCCATGAGAATAGCACTGACCCATTGACCTTTGCCATTGAACTGGTGAACATGAGTGTGCATCCCCCTTTTAGCATGAAGCTTGCACGGGGTATTAAATCCAATGCGGGCTCATACATTACTGAGCCTATTCGTGGGGTTCCACCAGGGTATGCGATCGCGGCTTCTTTCCTCGAGGCCGATGGTAGCTAACAGGCATCTAGCTCGGCATATCAATTCAATCTTGTATCCGACAACCCTGCAAGCCCAGGAATTCTTGCCCAGTCCCAACAATTCACTGTGGTCCAACATACGGTTTCTATTGATTCAGAGTCCAGCGCTTCAGGCGTTGTTTCGGAACCACTTTTCCAGTCCAATAGTAGTGAGTCTCCTGATGTCTCAATTAGTATGTAGCTACTAAAAGGTGGCTATAGCCTCATTTCCTACAGGTACCATCTCCCGTACTTCTCGTACATTCAGCACACCAACCAGCACCCGCCGCTCGTCAACATCAGCGGCATTTGCGACCCCAACGACAGCGAAGGTGCCGCAACGCACCAGCAACGCGGCTCCCGCCATCGAAACTTTTAGCTTTGCTAACAGCCTCATATTTGCCTTGCTTGCTCTGATCGCATAAATCGACCATGGTATTCGGATCCTATACGAGGTGCGTGGTCAGAAAACACGGTCATTATTGGTAGTTTGTGTCTCAACGTACGACGTTTGGCTTACGATATGGGTCTGCCAGTTCAAGGAAACATTGTATTACTAGTGTGCCATCGAGTTTACATAGCGTAGAGCCCGCCACTAAGGGGGCGATTGTAGATATAGTCTGGCTCAAGTCTCTCAGTCATTTATGCCTTACTCCTTTGCTGAATTGAGACATTAGTTAGGGGTTCAGAATAAACAGTATTTATTGCTTTCATGCCGGATCATTAGATGTAATATCAATTTAACTAATCGTACAGGAGTATTTAAAGAGAACATGATCCGGATTCAAATCAAGAACAAACTAAAAATCCACCATAGTCGTTAAGTAGTCAATGAGACAAGACCACCATTTCATGAACTCCCCGCTATTTTTAACAGTTTCCTTTATTGAAGAACATTAGAAAACACTCGAAAGAAATGAAAAGGAAAAAGAACCATTTTTAGATATTAAACCAGCGCTCAAGTCTAATGAAGACATGTATGCAACGATAGACAAGTGCCGGGAGCGAAACTTCACTAGAGATCACTCGGAAATATTTTGAGGTGGGCCAGTTACACACCATGAGAAGATCTGGCAAATGCACAAGTACGCGCTGTTGAGATGGCTTTTTTAAAGTAAAAAGAAATGCCAAATTCGGCTCGGGAGATTGAGAGGATGTGAGAGGATGTTGTGACATGTAGGTAAGAAACTGTAGGTGGGCCAGGTACACACCGATTCGAGACTGGCAAAAGGCACGGAAAACACGTGCAGAAATGATATCGGATTTCGTAGTTGAAGATGGCGAAGGTGGATGAAGAATTCGTAAGAAAGTCGCAAGAGGGAGTGATGGTAGGTGGGCCAGGTACACACCAATAAGAGACTGGCAAAATGGGTGGAAAGCAACGACCAACGAATTTGAAAAACACACAAGTCAAAGGGAAGCATAAATATCACCACAAGTTATCAGTATTAGTGGTCGATTTCTGCCAATAGGCATTTAAAGCTCGAAGACAAAACCCCATCGAGAATTGTCGATATCATTCACAAAGTCGAAAATTTCTTTGCGAAGGGTGGGGTTAAGGTCTGCCAATTCGAGCAGCCTCGCACGCTGAGAGTAAAACAATGCCACGCCCCATGATTGGCTTCCTTCAAAACGACCGGTTGGTTTGCCTTGGGGAGCATTCTGTAAGATGTTGCGCAAGATAAGAAGTGCCTTGTACGCAATCCCATAAGGCTCTTTATTTTCATCACAAGGGGTGACAAAATAGTCCCAAGCAATAAAACGTTTCGGATAGTAGAAGGATCGGTTCCATTCAAGTTCAGTGTCATTCATGTCTCTCAATGGGGGGAGATGGGTAGAGACATGCGTAGCAGCATGGTTAAGGTCCCAGGTAGGGGTTTTGAGGGCCTCACAATTGTCCCACCGACAAACCGGATTGGGGGTTTTCTTAAAACGAGAAAACGGATACCAGTTGCCATCAGTAGCGTTACGAATGCCCATATGAACACAAAGTACATGTCTCCGAAAAACTTGTGGGTCTGTGAACACGCGATTGCAATATTCGAGATCAGGGTCATTCAGCGTGTGGCCCGTGAAGGTAAGGGTATCGAGGTCAAGGGATTGTGGAATGGCGGCCGGTGTTTCCTCTGAACGCTGTTTTTCAAGCTCTGGATCTCGTGCCTTCTTTTCGTACGCAGGAAGATGAGTTGTCACGATACTCCTGTCATAAGACAAGTATGGAACCGCGTCAGCCTCATCTTCAACGGTTGGTGGTTTATAATTATTAACTAAGCCATTACCCGTTGTTGCATTGGCGTCAGGGTTTGCTGGCGAAGTCGAGGGCGACGCTGGTTGTTTTGCAACTCTCCAGTTGCAGTAAAGATAAGGAAAGCCGCTCATATTGCGGCAAGTCGCTCGAGGGCGAATTCCCTGGATGACAAACTTCTGGCCTTGTTCGCCATCGCTTATAACCCGAGCGCGAGCAATCTTAAAAGCGTGGGTGACAGTATTGATGAACTCTGGGGCGGCAAGAAGTGGAGAGTCGTTTGGCTTTAGATGCCCAGTGAAAGTCTGCTGGTACGCAAGCCATACGGCACGTTGCGCAATTTCTCCTTGCGAATCCTCGATAAAGAGACACTGAGCCCACCGCGAGGTGCGATCAGGCTCTTTAAACTCAAGAAAATCCTGGATGCAGTTTAGAGGGGGAATCGAGATTTTGTTCGAGAGCTGATGCTGTTGTTGGGCTTGGTAAACCCTAAGATCTTGCTGGCGCTCAGCTCCGTAGAGTAGCAACTTGACAAGACGCGGAATCAAAGTTGTCGGAAGGTCAATATTATTGACCAGGAACTCAACATTATCCGGCTCACAGACGTACTGATAGACGAAGTCGAGAGTCGACGACATCAGTTCTGGATCGTTCTCCAGAAGAAGATAATTCATTACGTCCAAGACAGTGCATTTTGCAAGGCCGAACTTTTTAACCCCTTCCAACTCGTAAGAAAACATAACAAGCGCCCGCAAAGCGCAAAGAAGTTGAAAACGATCTTTGGAGCCCAGGTACTCCAGAAGGGTAATAAAAAGGGGATCGACAGGCCAGAGACCCCACCACGGACACGCCTCGATCACCATTTCCAAGATATTGTTCTTAAGCTCTTGAAAGATACCTCTGTTGGGAAGCTTGAGAACAATGGTCGCGCAATCTCTTGCCATGCAGACTACATCCATGAAGTTTGCGTTGGCAGCGACTTGGCACATGTTTCTGAGAACTAATGATGCGTTCGTGACTGCATCAAGTCTTGCTCTGGTTTCGTCATCAAATAAATTGTCACTTGGCAAGATGACGCGAAGTCTGCGAATTCTATGCAGCAAGTCGAAAGTTCCCTCTGTGCAGAGGTCGTCAAAGCGAGCATTCTTTTTGTATTCCTCGTCGAAATACGCGTAATCATAATTCGGCTCCCACTCGACGCCGTAAACAATGTTCCCGATTTTTAAAACTTGTCGGAGTAATGCCTCCATGAGAAACGGGTAATTCTCAAAGAGCATCGCGTCTTGATGCACGTCCGACGCCCTCAGCATTACTTGAAGGCCGAACTGGACCTCCTGAGGGAGTTCTGACCGGATGCCCATATAGGCCCGGTGATAAATATCCCCACCTAGTGGCGCGTCAGCCGGGCCTCAAAAGTTTTATTTGGCGCGTTTATGGGGTTAATCAGCTTACCAGTGTAGTCGAGAACGACCGATGGTTCCCCTGGGGTGGGGATCTCAGCAGGCGCATCTTGCGCTGCAGCATTAACAGCTCCAGCCATAGGAGTTGCCATCTCTTCAGATGGCCGAGAAGGCTGGGAGGATTGGGGTGGTTCGGACGGCGGAGTTGAGGGAAGAGGAGTGGATGAGAGGGCGGGAGGGACGGAAGTAGGAGTCGACGGAAGAGGGGTTTGTTGTGGCGGAGGGGGAGGCGGAACCGTCGACGGTTGTTGTGGTGTAGTGGGAGGAGGAGGAGGGAGAGAGAGAGGAGGGCCAGAAATACTCGCAGGCGCGTTGCCAGCTGACAAAGACTCGTTAGTGCTGTTGTGGTGAGGAACACATAGCAACCGGAATTCACATCCCAAACAGGCAATGGGGGAGCACAAGTGACGTAAGAAACAGGAACTCACCGGCAGAAACAGAGCCAGCAGCGGCAGTTGCCTGGAGTTCCAGGTCTCTAGAAGATTCCAGCACAGGTTAGTTATATTCTCGTAGCAAGGAGCACCCTCGAGAAGCAGCGTGGAGGCCAGGCGGCGGGGAGCTCACAGCAATCGCTCTCGGTAGAGCTGCCTTATGTGAAAGGACAGGGTTCCAGCCAGCCCCGGCTTGATCCCTAGGTCCTGGGCAACGGCCCACCAGTGTCTCTTGTTCGAAGAGACCTGGTGGTAGCCCCCACGGTCAAGCACCGCGCAGAAGAGCCTCTGGGGGTTGATCCTCTTGGAGGTAACAGACCAACCTGTAGTCGGGTTTAAGGGCCAATTAAAGGTCCGGCTAAGGGGGAAACATCAGCAAATGCAAGGGCTAACAGCAGGGTATTCGAGTTGAGCTCATGACAAGCTTACCCAGCTTGCGCGTAGACTTGCTGAAGGCCGCGTCGAAAATGTTCCGCATTCTCGCGGAGGAGTTGGATATCAAGCTGCATTGTCACGTGCTTTGTATTGTAATTTTTGAAAGAAAACGAAACCGCCAGCGCCTGTAAACACGTGAGCCCACGTGAAAAGAAGTGAAGGAAGGAAAGCACGTGAGCGCCTTTTAACTGCTGCGTGGGATTTAGTGGATGATCTAAGCCTATATAGGAATGGCGTTTCGTATTAATAAGCAAATTCGCTAGGAAGATCTATTATTCCGAGTAATTCCTGATTATATAATCACTACGGCCAGCGAGACCAGCCAGGATGGCTGGGATGAGAGGAGTGGGATAACTGTTGCGTCAGGCCCCGGTATGGCGGTTGGGCTGCTCTGTCGCTTATAAAACGATGCCATTTACGGTTTAATATGTCTCTGTACTTAGCAAGATGTCATGAAGTCCCAGAAAAGGGTGAAATGCTGTGTGCTTCCTATTTAGGCAGTCGTTGGCTAAGACCTCAAAATGTCCCAAATCGTAACCATGCGAGACTGCCTACTGCTTCGCTTATCTTCTGTTGATGAGATATTTTCTCATCGAGACGCGAAGATTACTGCTGATATTCTGCTCTGACCATCATGGAACATCAAGGCGTGTTCCCCCTGGCGCTACCCATCTTGAAATTCTCCTATGTTACTACTACGGCCGGGCGTACCTCGCCTCTGAGCTGGACACATATATCAGGAGGCTCTGATCTTGTAGCACTCTTTGACCAGGCGTCAATTCCAGATGGCGACTCCACGTGGATACGAGAGAACCGAGTACTAAAAGTTCTACGCGGTCGTGACATATTGGTTTGTTGATATATGTTAATGCTGCTACAATCTAGCTGATCGACTATTTGTGCATTATTAGGAGGAATTAGATCTTGATGCCCTTGCTAGAGAAGCTGTAACCAGCTCATCAAGCCAGATACAGATATCAAATGCAAAAGCACCTATCGCAGTCCTTGTGAAATCCCCTTGTCTTGCTGTCCGGTATCCTACGCGTCTGAACCAGGTACGAAACTTACAGAAGGAGTATAGCACAGGAACTGGACGACATGGATACTGATGGTGGTTATAGATACGCAGGTTTCAGCTGAAATTTTCATCTGACGCTGATTATCGGAAAGCTGTTTCGATATTATCTGAAATTGGCTGTCCTATCACCGAATCAGCTGTGGGGGGGTATAATCCTCCCCAGGCATCGCGGGCGAGTCTTGACGCGTCGAACTGGCCTCAAAATGCTGGCTCGTCTTCACTAGGACAGGCTGTATCTCATGTCGAGAATCAGACCTTACTTCCAGCTGTACTTCCCACTCCGGAACCACGCCAGTCCACGGTTGTAAGTAGTCTTCTGTCGAAATTATTTGTGATTTCATTATCACATTTCATAATTTGAAGCATATTTCATTTGTGTTTAGCATGGTTAATTTGCTGCAAATTTATACACAATCGAAGGCTAATTTTTTATTTATTTATACAACAATGGGCAGGGGCCATCTCAGACACCATACTCACCCTTTCCATTCAAAGGCTCTGCTATGGTCCATGAAAACAATAATATGGCTCTGCAAGGTTCAGGATCAAGTATTTCCAAAGAAAGACCATCTACAGCCCCTATTTTTCCAGATCCAGAATCGTTGAGTCAGCTACTTCCTCCAAAACGAGAGCTACCATTTGCACCTCAGCGTAAACCGCAGCGCCGTGCAACAAAAGCAGGCAAATCAGTTAGACCTCCAAAAACGGCGGAGCTGAGGCCACAGACGCATACCGGAGAAATACCCGTAGCAGGAATAGCTCAGTCTGCAATGCCTAGTCTCAACCCAAATCGAGTTACCGTGCCCGTTATTCCAGTTCCCGAAATACACGCTTTGACTACGAATCAATCTGCGGCTTTGATATCTCCTAGCCACTCTTCTCATGGTACACATACCGTCACGCCCGCCCTATCACCCTGCAGACCAACCCCTTATCATACACCAGGACAAAATGGGACTTCGCAAAACTATGGTAAGTGGTGACCCGATATATAAACCGCCTGAGTTCTACCATAACTAAGAGCTCTGAAGCCGACCGCGCTAATATCAACCCCCTCCCCGTACTGAATCCAACTGATCTTCATTACGGCACCACTCCCCTAAGCTATCACCAGCCTACAACTCAGCAGATTCCCGTCCAGCCAACTCAAGAAGGGAATTTTACCAATACAGTCAGAAGCACAATCAATCCTGGCTCGCAACTGACGGTCACCACGGCCGATCTATCCTCGTACCTTTCGTCGCCGCCCTCAGAGCGCTCGAAGCTTGTTGAGTCCTGGGTATGCCAGCAATTGGAGAGTGATGAGTTTCTGGCTCTTTGCCAGGATGTGGAGGGTGTATGGAAGCGAATTGCTTTTGGAATTTGATCAGAATCATGGGTTATGTGTGGAATATGATGCAATATAGGCATGTTGACTGCGAAGTGCGAAGGGAAATCCGAAATTGTCAGGATTTATAGATATTTTTACATCAATTATCCTAGTATTTATACATGTATAAGAGAAGAGAAGACCCAAAATACCTATCAACACCGGAACTATGCCTATGAGCTGTTACTCTGTTCGCACACTCTCCACTATACTATATCAAATGGCCACAGCCTTTCCGCCCGAGCCACCGTCATATCGCCCCCTTTCGCCTCCGATTCCCTTGCAGTCTCCATCCACTCATCATACGCAGCCTTATTGGCCTCTCTTGCTGCCTCCCACACGTCATTTGGAACCCATCCATCTCCTGTCGTCCCCATGGAGACCTTCAGCCACATCTTCAACTTCTGCATGGACTCAAAGTCCTCAAAATGGCGCGCATGCTCAGCAAGCTCCTTCTCGGTGGGGGAATACGGGCACTCGGAGCCTGGAAGATTGAGCTTGGGCCAGAGGGCGGCGAGGTCGATGAGTTCCTGGCGGAGAGCGGGTGCGCCGTCCCGCCAGGACGTGAAGCAGTAGTGGAAGAGGCGGAAAAGGGACGGGTCGAGTTGTCGTGCAGGACGGAGTTTGGGGCATTTGTAGGTGGCGATAACGTCATAGGTTTGGTGGCAGATTGAGAGGTCTTTTAGAAGTTTTTCTTCATCACGGCTCTTTGGGCTAGAATCTCCTTCTTCTTCCGAAGGGTCGATGTCTGGGAGAGCAGCGAAATCGGGGGTATTTTGAGCGTAGATGAATGCGGGTTCGATGCATGTTAATTGCCAATCAATGAAACTGGTGATTGTTGTTGGGTCATCAGGGGATACAAATATATTTCTCTTATTATAATCTGCATGTAGAAGAGTAGGAATCGAAGCATCTTGAACACGCCTATCCTCAATCAATAGTTTCATGGTTTCATGGCATATCTTCAATAAGCGTCTGTGTTCCCCAACCGAGCCTCGAAAATGGCGGCGGTCCTGCGCAGCAACCTGTTCAGTAGGTAAACGGGAATAGGCAGTATCTATCAAACCAGACGCATATCCACTTAGCTTTGTCCCTAGCCAGAACTTTGTCAGCTCAAGCTTTTGGAGAATTCGGGTACATATGGGGCAAAACGGGAGGATCTCCCAGACTTACAAGGACCACGATTGGGACTCGACTCCCCATACAACTCCGGCTCGCCCGCTCCAAGGTTCCAAAAAAGAGGACTGCAATATGGACCAATACAACAGCCATCTTCCAGCGGAATCTTCAAGCTCGCGTCGTCAATCGGCGCATCGGCAAAGTATATACTCCCATACGCTGGGAAGTCCAAGCTTGCCAACTCAGATAGTTTGAAGGAGAGGGCTTTTGTACACAGCATATGCTGGTGCGTGTTCATCTGCGACCAGTGCTCATCCAACTGCACGCCCTCCGCATGTTCCTGGATGATATACTCACACCCAACGGGGTTCGCAGGGTCATCGCTCCATGCCAGAATCGCCGGCACAGGTAGCGATATCTTCGACTGCACTACATATCAACACACCGGAAGTAGACGTTAGCCTCCCATCAAGCTTGACAGAGACACAGAACCCCTTCACACAACAACAACAACAAACATACAATATCTCACCGTCGCCACCTCCGAATTAGTCGCCAGCCGCGGCGCCCCCGCAACCCGCGTCGGGATCCTCGCCACCACGCGCCGGCCGTTGTCCAGCGCCAGCACAAACGCCCGGTTGTACCCGCCTTCTTTCTTCTCGTAGCTGGCCACGCGCGACGCGCCCTCGCTCAGTCCCACGGCGATCGCGCACAGCTGCGCAAAGTCGAACTGCACATGGCGCGCTTGTCGCTGCTGCGCGTCGCGGAGTAGCCAGCGGCCGGCGCTGTAGCGATACGGGTCTTGGGCGGGAGGGAGGTTGGCGGTGGTGGGTAGTGGTGGTGCTGGAGGTGGAGGTGGAGGTGGAGATGAGAAGAGTCGACGAGGGAAGATCAATGCTGAGGGCGAGATGCGGCCGAGAGATCTCGTCCACCGCCCGAGTCTGCTGCTGAGCATTACGTGGGCGTCTCGAGGATTCTCGCTCGAGAGAATGTGGAGGAAGAGTATGTAACTAGCTAAGAATCGGGCATTGGAGTCTGGCAGGATTGGTGTGTGCCTGGCGAGCGGAGGTTGACTCGCAGAATCACTTCTGCATCATCCCAAGCATTATTGTGCCTACACTTTACATACTCACTACATTTCTCGACAATTGAAGCGGATTCTCCCTTTTGACCTATACTCCTGCTCAATTGTCGCTTCATGAGCCACCTCGTCACAATCATCAGGAGCTGGAGTTATAATAGCAAGGGGCTCAAGCCCTCGTCGACGGGCGGCTCTTCGACCAAGCCAGGCGGCCCAGGCCCATGCCCCAATAATAATGATGCCCAATACTAAGGCACCGTCTATCCTGGTCCCTGCCTTTGCCATCGGAAATCCGCCGAAGGGTAGTTGACTTGATAGCGGGCCCCTGCAGTCCAGACACGGAAAAGTTCAGCGCTCATCCATATTTATTATTTCCAAATATTGATTGCACGTTGCAAGCAGAAAAGATTTTCACCTTTGACACAAGGACTAGGGAAGTAAAAATTTGAAGTAACCTGCCATTCGAGAATTCCGGGAGGAAAAAGAAAACAGTAAGAGCTGCAGCATAGATACACACATATAAGGAAGTTCACAAGCCCATGGTATTATATACTCCGTAAATCAGTAGAACGTAGAGGTTCGATATCATAGACCATAAAAGAAAGCCTAACAGGAAGGTCCAGTAAATAAGCACTGATAAAAAATGCATATGGCTACTCCGTAATATTGTACTGTAAATTCATCATGTTGGACCGGAACAATGTGTTTGCCCACTGGCCAGTCTGTCTGGCTGTTTTTTTCCCTCTCCTTAATTTACCCCCTTGTTCATTGTAGTGCCTGCTTTCTTTGGCCGCATGGCGATCAGACCAGTTAATGGGTAGGTTCCCGTGCGCGGGTGGTACGGTCTCAAAAGACAGCCGGCATTCGACCGAGAGCGGATTTTGGCCGTTCACGACGTAAAGATATTGAGGAAATCAACGACGATAAGGGTGACCATGCTGTACAACAAAAACGGGATGTTAGTTCGGCTAACAGTGGGCCGGAAGCCGGTGATGATTCTTGGGCGGACAAAAGGATATCGGGGGATCCACTTACGCATGGGGCGCGATCCGCACATAATAGGTCCCGAACCCGCGATAGAACCTCATCCACCCCTCGTCCCGCACAACTTTTCTAGCGCAGTCAAACACGCCCTTGTACGGCAAGTTTCCGGTTTTTGGGTCCCTCTGTTGTTTTTGCAGACGCGTCTTGATAAAGTCAAAAGGCAAGGACAAGAAACTGGCAAAGAATCCGGCAATTGCCGACGCAGCGAACGTCCTGTTCTGTGGGGAAAGATTGGTGTGGGCTTGCAATTGAGACTTGCTCTCGGAAAAGAAGGTCAATTGACCAAAGTTCAGCGCCATTGCCCGGATCACCGTCGGGAAAGCCCCTGCCCACAGGGCTGTAACTCCTTCGGCCTTGGAAATACGAACCAGTGCATCAACGACGGAACGATAATTGGCCCTGGCTTCTTTAGGCTTTAACCCATCAGACTGCATTCGAATGAGTGCTAGATCTGCAGGATTCCCAATCATTGCCGCGATTCCACCTGCCGTTAGCCCGGCCGCAGCACGCTCGCCAAAGGTCACTTTGGAACCTGAGGCTGCCGCACGAGTGTTCAAAGTAGACATGAATGTGTCAAAAAAGCCCAGGCGCGCAGTGGTGTAAACCGCCTGGCGCAAAAGGCCAGCAGATAACCCTGTGTATAGGTCAAGCACCCTGCCAGCAGCAATAATTTCTTTTGTGATCCCTATTGCCGAGGGTTTTGGGCCAACGCGGGCACCCTCGCCTGCTAACTGCAATCGAACTTTGACCATGTCGATGGGCTGGATGCACGTGGTGGCCGTCATTCCTGCCAGACCGCCGTTAAGGAAAGGTAATGCAGCGCGCATGAAGGGGGTGTGAAAGAACGAGGAAGCATCTTGGGGAGGCTTCTCCATCATTGCTTTTGCTTCTCCAGAGACCTTGGAAGCTGCTGCAGTTGCGCTATCTTTGAGAGATGTAGCAGCCATCAAAGAAGGACATACGTTCAAATGGTACAAATGAGAGGAAGGAACTGGATGGAAGTCAGGAAATCTAGCGATTGAGCTCTGACACGTTAGACTATATGGAAAAGGTTGTCAGCAGTCGGTACAGAAGTCTATACGGAGATTTCTAGCAAATATGACGAGGTCTTAACTCCACAGGCCATGTAGAACTAGATAAGAGACATAGGGGGAATTGAAAGACCCGAATCAGATGAAAAGAGCTTACAGACGACAGTACTTTACACTCAGTCTTGCAGTGACTCCAGGAGAGGAGTAGAGAGCGAACTATAAGGGAGACGATGATGGTGATTGACAACAGAGAGCTTCGGAGATGCTTATAGATCGACAAAGGACTAAAGCAAGGGTAAAATGACTGATTCGAGGGCAATAGGATGGCAGTGGAAGGTCGAGGTATCACCAAGCGGGGAAGCAAGTCTGGGGAACGGAGCTGGCAACACAACGGGAGACGCGACGAGAGCTCAGACGACAAGCTGCAAGAGAGCACGTACAGACAAGAGAAGGGCGGGCGGCCAATTGCCAGTGGCGAAGCCGACGGGACGGCAGCAGAGACGGAGGAAGAGGATGAGGATTGAGGTTGAGGTTGAGCGACGATGGGGAGGTTGAAGGAGGAGAAGCGGAGAGAAAGCACGGGGGGGCGCGAGAGGGCAAGACAGTGCGACGAGGAAGTAGTTTCAGGTAGAGATACCTCCGGCAGGCGCGGGCGAGCTGGCGGGCGCACCGTACTTGGTACGCGGGGAGTACATCCGTGGGATTAGGAGACCAGCCATGCCGAGAAGGGCAGGGCGGAGAAGATACCTGTTGGGTAAGTATATATACCTGCTCTACGACCTGCCTGTCGAGGGTTGGTGGTCGCGGGCTAGCCTTCCGCACTACTAGTTAGAGCCCCCCAGCAGCCGGGGGGTGGGGGTGGGGGGTGGGCAGCACGCATCAAGGGTCCAGGCAGCGCCGGGCGAAAGGCACCACGACGTGGGCCAGCTGTCACGCCGGGCATCGTGCCAGCGCGTACGTGCGTGCATGCGTGTGTTGTGTGTGGTGGTTAGCTATGGCTATGAAGTCGCGGTACCTGCGGACAAGTACCGGCAGCCCTCGTGACGTGCGGGGTCGCGCCTTGCCGGGCCCGTTTGGGGGGGAAGAACAGCAGGCGTCACGCGCAGGCGGCCGGCGTGCGAGGTGCGCTGCTCGGGTGCAGTTTGTCGATACGCCTCTCCAGCTACAGCCCTCTCTGTGCGTGTCTGGCCTAGTTAACTATTCAGAGCAGCAGACTCGCAGGTCGATATCGACTCTCACAACGACGATGCTTCGGCGCACCCCTGCCGCCGCAACGTCATGGCGTAGTTACCGCCCCCCACACGCCCGCCCGCCCAATGCGCGCCCACCCAATGCGCGCCCACCCAATCGTCAGCCCGCAGCGCAGCCAACCCCAACTCGCTGCCGACGCTTTCGTTCGTTCGTTTGTTCTTTTTTTTTTTTCTCCGCCCGAGAAATCTCCCGCCCTGTCGTTCGTCTCACCCCCTGGGCGACTCAACGCGCTTGCGATAAGATATCGGGTAGGCTCCACTTGGCTTCCAGCACCGTCTTGGCTGACGGAGCCCGTGTTTGTGTTTGTCGATGTTCATAACGCTGTTTCTTTTCATTGAATAGTTACCTGTTAGTTATAACAGTCCGAATACTAGGACTTTCGACTGTGCTGGGTGGCTCTCCAGGCCCATCCGTATCCAGCGCTTCCATCCCCGTAGATAATAATAATCAACTAACTATTTCACGGCTCTCTGCCGAAATCCTGGCCCTTGCGATCCCTCGCCAAACAAAAAAAAAAAGTCTTCCCGCTTCCAAACTGCACGGGCTGGGCTGGCATGATTTTGATTGGATTAGATACCATCGACACTGTACTCCGTAGACTGAAAGTTTTCCACTGTTTCTAGGCCATCCCGTCGGGGAAGACCTTGATGGGTACTGCAAGTCGTGCGAGAGGGCAATCATCTGTTGGGGAAAACGCCCACCTCCACCACGGGCTTCTCCATTCCCCAATAAATACTACTCACCATTCCATAGTTTGGGCAGAGAAGTCGGCAATTTGGTGTCTTGCCCCAACAGCTCCAGACTTGCGCTTTGTCTCGGAGATTTTCAGCCAAGTTGATTAAAGTTCGCTTTCATCCAGTTCACTATCGTCAACTTAAGACGCCGATTTTTCCGATCGTGGCCATCCACCAGGAGTAAGTTGATCACGTCTTAATGCCCCTCCGCTTGTAGCCGCACACCATGTTTTGATGGTCATGGTAGCTGATAACGCAATAAATGATTTGGATTCCAAAGCGATACTGGACAGGAAAAGCATGCCAAAAGTTTGACTGTTTTTTTTAATTAATGTCTCCCTAAAAATATTCTATTCCTTCTCAATTTTCTACCTAAAGATAAGGAAAATAGACGGAGAGCCAAAAGCATATAGCCAAAGTTATTACCAAACTCTTTGCCATTTTCATAGAGGCTGTAGGGTGGCCGACTTCGTATCCAAGTATAACATATTAGGAAATCAACTTGAGGCCGCGCAGATAGACAATTAAGGCTATCTGGCACAAAAAACGCAAATGGGGCATATTGACACATAAAAAAAGGAAATATCTTGGACATCAAAGCGTTAGAAAAAAGGGATCTGCGGAGTCGTGGATCAGGTATATGAGGGTTCGCGGGTAGAAGTTTGATCGACGGGGGGGGGAAATTTTTGAGACAAAGGAAATATTAAAAAAAAAAAGGAAAAGGGGACCTTTCACTTTAAATGACCCGGGGCCCATGCAGAACAAGACCATATAATAAAACCGTTTCGCATCCAAAAAAGAGGACGATCAATGCGCGCAAAGTTTCCAAAAGTTTGCAAAGACGGTAAGCAAAATGCAACCAAGAAAAAACACAACAAAGTTTTTTGTCAATCATCGTTTAGTAGACAACATTCTTCGCAGACTCGAGTACCAATGTTTTTTGGGCTTTTCTTCCGACTCCGATTCTTTGGACGGCAGCACTGTCGAGCTCTTCTCAGCTAGTCAAATCGACGAGCCGCCATTGGCCTGGGGCTGTTCGCCGTTGACCGCGACGGGCTCAGCCGGCTCGGGAATGGCGGCAGCGGGGACGGCGGGGACGACTTTGGTCGCTAAGGGATCCTCCGTAGCGGCAGCGGCGACGCTGACCAGGGGAGCGGCGGCGAGGACCTCGGGGGTGGCTTCAGCGCTGTATTTGGTGAAGTTCTGGTTGAAGAGGTCGGCGAGCTTGTTGACTTCGTCCTTGAAGCTGGCGGAGCCGGTCCAGCTGCGCTGGGGGTTGAGCAGCTCGCTGGGCACGTTGGGGCAGGTCTTGGGGATGTGGAGGTTGAAGGTGTCGTAGGTCTCGTATTCGACCTGCGCGAGCTCGCCGGAGTGGATGGCGTCGAGGATCGCACGGGTGTACTTGAGCGGGCAGCGCTTGCCGCCGGTGGTGCAGCCGGCGCCGACCCAGCCGGTGTTCAACAGCCAGGCGTTGGCCTTGTGTTCGGAGATCTTGTCGGCAAGCATGCGGGCGTAGCGCATGGGGTGGAGAGCCAAGAAAGGTTGAGCGAAGCAAGACGAGAAAGTGGCCTGGGGCTCGGTGACGCCGTCCTCAGTGCCGGCCATCTTGGAGGTGTAGCCCGAGATGAAGTGGAACATGGTCTGCTCGCTGGTGAGCTTGGAGATCGGTGGGAGAACACCGCGGGCATCGCAGGTGAGAAGAATGATGTTCGATGGGTGTTGTTCGGCCATGCAGGGAATCTTGGCGTTTTCGATGTACTCAATGGGGTAGGCGCTGCAGATTATGTGAGCAAAAGAACAGGGTTCAGGTAATCCGGGGTAGATGCAGGTACATACCAGCGAGTGTTCTCGGTCAAGGTGGAATCATCATAGTCGACGACACGTGTGTTGGGGTTGAAGACAACATTCTCCAAAACGGAGCCGAATCTGATAGCATTGAAGATATCGGGTTCTTTCTCAGCAGACAAGCCAATGCACTTGGCGTAGCACTATCACATGTTCAGTCAGACTAATTCACCGTAACAGCAGAGGGACAACAAAACATACTCCGCCTTCGATGTTGAAGACACCGCGATCGCTCCAGCAGTGCTCGTCATCTCCAATCAAGGCACGCTTAGGGTCAGCAGAGAGCGTGGTCTTGCCGGTACCCGACAGACCGAAGAAGAGCGTGACATCGCCATCGGTGCCCTGGTTAGCGGAGGAGTGGAGGGTAAGGACGTTGTGCTTGATGGGCATCTCGTAGAAGAGAACGGTGAAAACACCCTTCTTCATTTCGCCGGCATACTCGGTGCCAAGAATAACCATCTCCTTCTCGGCAAAGTTAATAGCTACCGAAGTGGCGGAGGTCATACCCTCGGTCCAGCGGTTGGCAGGGAAAGAACCGGCATTGTAGATAACATAGTCGGGATGGAAATGCTCGAGCTCCTCGGGCTTGGGCCGGATGAGCATGTTGCGCATGAACAGGGCATGGTAGGCACGGGCACAGACGACACGGACGTTGATCCGGTATCTCTCGTCCCAGCCGGCGTAGCCGTCAATTACGTAGATGCGGTTTCGTGTGTTCAGGTAGTCGACGGCGCGCTCTCGGTTGATTCTCCAGACCTGCCAATCGGGTGTCCTCGGTCAGCCAAAATGCCATGTCACGTGCGAGGGCCCAGCCGCCACAAGAAGAAATGCGGGGAAGACCGCGCGCCAAGCAACCCGGGGAGGAGAAGGGGGAGCCAGCGAGGGGCAAGCGCAGCAGTCACACGATCTGCCGGGCGAAGGAATTGCAACACCAGCGGACCAAAATCCAAGGGGAAACTCACATCGGGGCTCATGGGCTTGTTGACGGGGCCCCACCAGATCTCATTTTCTGACGATTCCTCCTTGACGATTCGTTTGTCCATAGGGGATCGGCCGGTTTTGGCTCCGGAGTATGCTGTTAGGGCGCCGCTGGATGTGATGGCCGTACCGGTTTCGTAGACCAGAGCATCTTCGTAGAGAGCCGCTACGGAAGGGTTGGCAATCTAGGCAGGGACCAAAAATCAGCGGGTGGTTGCACCAGGGGAGGGGGGTTGCGCAAGGTCAACTGTTAGGGGTACGTACAATTGCGACTCTTTCATAGTCAATGTGGGCGTGCTCGTGGAGCTCTTCCTCGAGCTCGGTGTGGCCCTGGCCCGGTCTGGCAACGCAGTTAGCAATCATGATGGAGGGTGTCTGGGGGACAATAGCTGGCGGTCCTGTTGTCAAAGGGCCTAAAGTGGCCGCTGCGCCGGCTTGATATACCCGGCGACGGGCAACGGCCGCAGCGAATTCACGAACAATTGACAACAGCACCCGCCCAGAGACCGGGGGGGGGGAGCAAGCAGAGACGACGGGGTAGGGGACAGGGAGCAGACGTACTGGACACCGGTGGGGTGCAGGGCAGTGCGGTTGACAGATGTCGACACCATGGTTCTGAGGGAGGTGGAGTGGTAGTTGGAGTGCTGCTGTTTGGCAACCTGCTGTCGAGCAAAATCTGAGCAGAAATATTCGAGGGGAAGTGGGTGATTGGGGGGTATATGAACGGTGGCACGAGGAGCTGAAGGCGCGGGGGCGGAATCCATGATCTGGCTATAATTTCGACTATCCTGCCTTGTCGACACTGGTTAGCCCTCCCGTTGGCATGCGTCTTCCCCACAGGTGACGGGAGATACCGGGACAGCAGGCTGTGGCGTAGTATTCGCAAAGAGTTTTCGCGGGCGAAATTAAATTTGGCAGCAAGAGGGCAAAACAAGGCGCCCGAAATAACCCGAGGTGCCGTCAGGGTGGAAGAAGACCGACGGGCGATGATGGAGTCAGAAAACGAAGCCTGGCCGGGGGGGAAATGAAACGTGAAACAGGCCTGGAGCAGCGGGGATTACCTCAGCTAGGCAAGCTTGTTCCGTCGTAGTGGCAGTTGTCGTCGTCGGGGAGATCTCCGGGAGCAGTGGTCAGCTGGCAGTCACAGCAGAGCAGACAACAGTACAGAGTAGAGTAGAGTAGTTTGCAGCGAACAACAACAGCAGCCCGCAGGCTTTTGAGCGCAGGCTCGCCGTCTGACCGCCACTCGGGCGTCCGACAGCGGCGCACAGCCCAGCAGGCCGGCGGACGGCGAATCACAGGCGACGACGGGCTCATTATGTCAGCCAGGCGCTTTCGGCTGGCCCAGCTGCGACGCGGTGGCTGCTGGGCACATGACGACGGACGGGCGACGCCCCAAACACGGCCGGAACCAGAGAACGAAAAAAAAAAAAACTCTGAGGGCAGCGCATCCTGCCGGGGCGAGAATCCTGGCGCGCGCCCGCCTGCCCGCATTACCGCGCGGAGTTGCGTGCTGAGTCACCCGGCCCTGCGCCACAGCGCTTCCACCCCCCCCCTCCCGGCGTTGGCCCGAACGGGCAGCCTGCAGTCGCGGCAGACTCGGCTCGTCGTGGCCAGCGTCGGGCCCTGCCCGCCAATCACCGCCCGCGGAAAGTATGACGTTCCGCGTCGTCATTGGCCGCACTCCGACAGCCGCTCGATCTTTCCACCGGGCTGCCCGAAGAAGCCTCTCTAGCGTGACGTCATCCTCGTTACGCTGCACCGCCAGCACAACAACAACAACAACAACAACAACAACAACAATATCGACAGCAACACGCAGCATCACATCGCACGCGGCTGTCCAGCACTGCCGGCCGGGAACGCGGAAGGCGCGAGCGGCCCTTGCGCTGGCCAGGCGGGCGCGCTGCCGGCTCTGGAGGCAGCGAAGGCACTACCACTACTACGCAGCCTGCCCGGGTGGAGTGGCTCCGTTCTTCGGGAAAACCCGCGGGTCTGCCTCCTTAGCTAGCTGAACACCCCTGCAGTCCATAGGGATGCAGTTCGAAGGAGGAAAATTTGAAAAACTAAAAAATAATAATACGCGGAAAGAAAAGAAAAAAAAATATTAGTCTAATAATACTGTTGCTATTGAAATCTGGAACATTGCTCCGTCATCAGTCATTATTATTATTATTATTGGGCTACCGTCATCATCATCCGAATGATAATCGATCATCCCAGGGGGAAAGCAAAAGCAAGTCCCCAGGCGCATTCTCCATTTTCTCTCATTATTATTCTCCGGCCTGTTGATGCCCAACCCGGGCCCGGGGTTGCTCCGCTCAGCGTCAATCCCCCACTTTCTGCCGAATCACAAAATTCGCGCATCGCCGTCTGTGTGCCTGAGGGACGGTCCAACCTTTTACGTGAAGCAGAAGGGGAGGGGGATTTGCGGCTAGCTGTCCCTAGCGCCCGTCTTGTGCCACGAGCTAACTGTGATACTCCTTCTGGAGAGATCCTACAAAGATTTTGCAGGTTTTTGCTGCGCTCTTTTTTTTCTTCTTCTAGAGGCTGTCAGAGCCTGCCGTGTTTCATCTGGCGTTGCATGACCCGGACTCGCTCTTTTTTTGAACGGTGCGCGAAGAAAAAGTCTATTCGTGCGATCTAGTTCTTTCCCTCACCCCCCTTGAAGAGGGTGGTATTCTGGTCTGCGTCACTCATCTTTTTTGAGCCTTTTTCTCCCCCCAAAAAAAGGGAGACCATCGTCAAGTGCTCCGTAAATGATCATCAACCCCGTCCGTCCCAGCCCATGTCTCGGCTAGTTAGTTACGTCTCCGTAGTAATACCCGGAGGTGATGTTCATGCGCGGTGGTGGCATTGTGGGTTAACATTCTGTGGGCGGCGCGCGCATGTGGTTGCCTTCCTATCTCGATCCCAGCGACACACGCTGCAGAAAGCTTAGCGCCGCCGCTCCATCAACCGGGCCTGTCGTCGTACCTTGGTGGGCGTCCATCCACGTCACCCCTCTCCCCCAGGGCCGCTGCGTCGTCGTACATACTCCGTAGTAGTAGCATGACAGGATCGGCCGTGGACGTCCGCGCGCAAGGTCACGATCGCAGTGCTCCGTACGTCAGTGGTATTATTATTATTATTACTAAATTTTATTTTCCCCGAAATACGTCGAAGGGCCACTGGTCATGCAGGCGGTCTCGCCCAGTCCGGCCTGCAACGCCGGCTCTTGCGCGGGCGCTTCGGGCAGCTTCTAGCTCGCCCGCCCGCCCGCTCCGGCCAGGCGACGCCGCCGGCTATCGCAGGCCCAACACGAAAACACAGCCTGTTTTTCCGGGCCCCAAAAATAGATAATCCGGCCGCGCCCTGTTCAAGCCGGGATCTTCCGATCCATGTGATTGGCACCCGGAGCATGACTCTCCGTGAGACAGCGCACTCCCGAGAAAGGATGAACCACCAATGTCTACTATCCGGTGTCATATGTAACCAATCTAGCATCGCTTGCAAAATGCTGGGCCTGAACAAGATACCCAAAAGATGATCGCTAGTAGATACAAAAGGCGGAACAAGATGTTCATATGTCGTCGCTACCAAATGCAAGAATGATCCAACTCTCCTACCAATATCACCGGAATTCATCCATGAATCCTTTGTGAAAATCCACAATTCGGCTCACCCACTCAGTGCCAGGAGCCAGGAACGTTGTACGGAAATGAAATGTCCCGGGTTTCTGCCCGAACCCGGAGCCCGGAACAATGCAGACGCCAGTAGCATCAAGGAGCCTGAGAGCATAGAACTCGTCGGCCTGGCGATTGGCAGCTTTAGCCGCCGCCAATGCCTTGGGCGGCAGCGTGATAGATGGAAACAGATACATCGAGCCCTGGGACACAGTCAGCAAAAATAATTCGAAGACAACAGTGGATGGCCATACCTGTGGCTCTTGGCACTCAACGCCTTCCATCAACTTGAAGGCCTCGTACAGGGCAAAGGCACGCTGGCGCAAGCCTACCGAGATGGCATTGTACTCCTTCTGGTACACCTCATAGCTTGGGTCTCCGGTCTTCGGCGGATTGACCATGAGTTCCACAAGGCACTGCCCAATGACGGGCGGACACAGCATCACACTGATGAATTTGTAGATCTGCTCTTCGACGTCGGCATGGAAGCCAACAAGCTCAAAGTAGCCGCCGCGGTGGCCGCATTCGCCGACCATGCCCTTGGATACGCTGTGCAGGGAAGCCAGTTCCACGTGGCTGTACCGTTCCGACTCCCGTTGCAGCTGCCGGAGCCGCTTTTTGAAGGAGACAAAGTCTCCTTGGAACACGTTGGTCTGATAGACTTCGTCGGCCATGATGACGAGCTTCTCTTCAACAGCCAGGTCAATCACCTGTTTGATGACGTCTGCACCAAGGCAAGCTCCCGTAGGGTTTCCTGGGTTGATTATAACAATAGCACGGACATCAGTGCCTTCTGCTTTGGCTTTAGCCACAGAGGCTCTAATACCATCCACATCCAAACCCCAGCCTTTCCCCTCATCTAAGTAGTAAGGGACACATCTTGCGTTGAGCAAAGACAGAGTAGCTGTGTATAGAGGGTACTGAGGAATGGGAACTAGGACACCACTGTTGCGATCAGCACAAAGAATACTGAGAAGTGTATTTACTCCTGAAGAAGCTCCAGCAGATAGATAGATGTGAGATGGGTCTGCAGGGAAGCCATCGCGTTTCTCAATAAAAGCAGAGATGCTTTGCCGTACGGCCGGGGAGCCTTGGCTCTGAGTGTAGGCGCCAATGCTGCGTACATCCTTCAGTAGATGTCTGGCGCGATCAATGGCATCCTGCTTGAACCCAAGTGCTGATCTCAGAATGTCTTCCTTCCGTAGCAAGTCGGGGTATTCGAGAATACTCAGAACTTGTCGGAAGAAGGTAATAGGTTTCTGATCCAATTGCTGTGGGTTACCGATATTGGCAAAAATAACATTGTCGAATGGTAGCTGAGCTCCTTGTTCCAATTTGACTCGATACTCTTCCGCTTTGACGGCAAGTTCGCCGCGAACCGCGTATTGAGCGGCTAGAACATTGGGGTTGATGTTGCCCTTGTGTAGACGACCGGCTGGGGGAGAGCTGGTCTTGCCATGCGAGTAGTTGCGCAGCGCACGAGCATCGAGAGGGGTGGATCGAGCGGTATCTAGGAGCAATTCAAGCTATCGTTAGTTCATAGACATGGTTCAACGGGCGCATCGAACAAGGAGATGCATTGCTCGTATTTCAACCGGGCCAACGGGGGATAGAGGGAAAGCGCCTACCTACCTGCAGCTGTGACTGGTGCACCAAAGGAGGTCCGCAGCCATCGAGCGCCGGCCCCACGCCGGAGAGACGAGTAAGGAGCGGAGGAGGCAAAAATGCGAGAAGAACAAGCTATGGGGAACATCGCTGAATCAAACCAGGGGACGAATGGGTAGTTAGTTCTGCACCCTGGCACCTTGCTGTGTAGTCTGGTTGCGGATAAGATTTTATAGCTTCAGTTTCACCCGTGCGTCTCGACAATCGACTCTTTGGTGAAAAACGTCTTTTCTTATTTCGACGCTCTTTAATGCCAAAGTGATGCTATGATTCACAGTACTTATTCTGAAAGGTGGCGAGCTGGCCAGGTATTTTCGAAGGTTTACATAGCAAAGAGTTTTTATGGGACTAGATTTCGCCCAGATGGCTTTTGCATACATATTACTGCCTTCTATATCTAATTATCTAACAGAAGATAATATGTATTGCTAGCAATATGAACACGGGTCTTTTGTTCCAGAGTACTTGTTATTAGTAGTACAGACAAACCTCTAGCTACCTATTTGGCTGTAGAACCACGTCAATTGGGGTCGTAAATCGTCTAACCCCGCTCACTGCCCCGTAGTCTCACAGCCTGGCCGTATTTCTGAAGTTTCGTGATCAGTGCATCGCCTTGTTTGACCACATCGGCGTACTGCTTGTTCTTGTCATCTGGGCGGTTCGTCTCGATTACACCATTCACTCTGTCAATCGTGCAGGATATTCTGTCACCAGCAATGAATTTGGCAAGATCCCTATAGAATTATCGTCAGTATCAAAGGAGATATGCGAATCCACGCGCCAACACATACTTATCAAGGAAATCAACGGTCACACCAAATTCCTTGGCCATGCTGGCAAGGCCCACGATGCGGTAGCTCTGCAAGAGCTGTTGATACCCTCGCAGCCGCATCTCCCTAACAAACCGCGATCTATGCTCATGTAGATATCGATCCTGTGTCACAAAGTTGTCCTCCACTGCTGCAAGTGCCGTGAAAAACGTGCGGTAAATTCCACTGTAAAGGCTGCTAACAAGGTTTGCAAGAGGAGAAAAATCAACTGGTACCTCATTCTCTGTCTCAATCCCAGTTCCAGTGCCTAAAGTGGTAAGGTTGACAACTGTCGCTGTTTGGCCTGAAGCTCCGGTAGATATATCCTTCATCTCTTCATCTCCAGCGCCGGGACCAGAGGATATGGCTCCGGAAAGTGCAGACAATCTCTCTTCTCCCTCACCTAGAATTGCCTTTATCTCTGGGGCGTCAACAACCTTCGCTTTAAAATCAACTCTTTTCAACGATAGCGATCCCGCAATAACGGCGTATATAACTAAGGACGAGTAGCTGCATAATTCGTAGCTGGTAAAAGTAGACAAGCTATCGAGCAAGAGAGGGGCTGCCAGTTTGTAGCTGCGAGTTGTGAGTAAATGGAGGCCTTTATAAGCCTTCAAACGATTTCTTCGATCCCAATCACCGCCGCCTTCGACAAGCGAATTCGCTCTTTCAATGTGCTTCTTGACAAATATTTTATCCCCAAAGAATAGCCCAATTCGTATCATCGCTAAAACGATATCGATTTTCGTTCCTAATACGCCGGTATTTTCGAAAACGGCCTCATAAGCGGTGATGGCTTTCTCCTAGGTAATTGTCATTCGTTAGCCCTCACAAGATAGCTGTCAGATATATGCAATTCTTTGATACCTTATCGCCAACTCGAGCCCAAAATTCTGCGCGCTTCCCTCGCGCGGCTTGGACTTCGGTGTCTCCAGCGGCTTCGGCAGCGTCATCTTCCTCCTTCTGCAAAGCATCAAGCTCCTTCTTGTTTTCGGCCAGAAGTTTTTCGTATAATCTCTCGTCCCAAGGAAATCCAACAGACACGTTATTGCGCGCATGGGGTAGCATGTCACACACTATTTGCTGTTTGTTCTGGTTTGTTGAGTGCTGCGGCGAAGTTTCGCCGCTTGAATTGAAAATGCCATCGACGGGGTGAGCTAAATGTCGATATAACGGGGCCATATGGTTCTTTTCGATGACAGATTGAAGGCGTTTCAGGGAGCTTTCTCGTACAGCTGCAGGGCATGCTGAGTTGGCGAGGTTGAAAACATCTTGCGAGAGCGTGAGGTCAGGGTATTTGGCATATTGAGGATCGGAACCCATATCTGCAGTACGGGAGGGTAGAATGAGGGGGGCGACGAGTATATACGGGAAAGAAGGTAGGTAGTAATGCGGTATGATAGCTTTGCTCTCGCCGTGCCTGGTCAGCATGTCCATTGACTTAGAGCTGTTTGCCCAGCGCGCTAGTCCCATTGCGCACTAGCGCCAGACACTTCCATTGAGAATTTAAAATGCAGAATGAATATAATTTCGGTATATTTCATGTGGAATTTTATGGCTCAAGTGCTACCATGCGCTGAAGCTCCTCATAATGAGATCTCAAAATGGAGAAGTTTGATTAGCCATCATCATTTGACTGTATATATAATCAGAGAAAGTTGTCTTGATCAACATCTTATTTAGAGGAGTATTTGCTACAAGGCCCTCTTCTGTTTATAGAACATCTTGACTCTTGTGTCAGTTATTTTGGACTCCAGGAAAATTTGCAAATCCAACACTGACCATCTGGTAGTGGCTTGCATACTTCTCAAATAAAACAAGCACATTATTAATAGAATGTCTATGTTCTTCTTTTTGGCATCAAGAGATGTTCTCTGCTCCTTGCAACCTGTTCTACAGTTTATCCTGGCGTGGATGATTGCTAGAACTTTTCTACAGATCCACAGCCTAGAAGTATGATTTCCAGTGTCATTTTTCATGGCACATTAAACCAGAGATGGTCCTGTTACTTAGATTCTTGTGTCCTATGTTTCTGCTCTCACCTACCTAGTTACCCTAGATAGTACATACTCCCCATTTCCTACTAATCCTAATAGCATGACAATAGAAAGAAGGCCTTCTGATATGAAGGCAACTCCCCCAAGAGGAAGCCAGAGCAGCCCTGTAGTTGAAACTTGAAACTAAGTCGGTAGAATTTCCTTGAGGATTTTACTCAGCATATGATAATACCTCCAAGCAAGGAAATCTCCACATCAACATGCAAAGGGGCAGCAAGGATAATAGTCGGTACACCCTTATTACCATAATGCACAGAGGAAGCATTTCTAGCCAGCGTAACAATCAGGGACCCTTTGTTTCTTTTTAGGAGTAATATCGTTATGTTGCTTTGTGTACCGCGAGGCAATCCGGTTCCTTGAGAAGCATGACGCGTAGAAAAGCTCGACGGTCGATGGAAGGCTACAAAAATCCCCATACCTCATAAATTCTTGTACCACTTCCTCGTCACCTGCCTAATAGAATGCTCTCTTCCAGACTGACAATCTCTTTACGGCTGTATATCAGTGTGAGTTTAAAAGATAGTCAATGAGACCTTCTGGTGCCTGTCCATATTATATAGAATTTGTGTAGCACAATCAACTAGTCCACCAGTTTTGCAAAACCAAGGACATTGCGGATATTGGAGGAGGGGCAAGTGCATTGTATGAGGAGAGGAAGATAAAAGAGGAGCCGGTTGTTGGGGCAGAAAAGACCTGCCCGCGAGTGAAGCAATTAGATGACATCACCATTCGAAGTCCTTGTGGCGGTTGAGGCCTGCCTCGCCGAGTCTTCAGGAGTTGGAGTGGCTGCCCCGAGGCCCCTGGCAAGCCGAGATACCACCATGAAGATAGTCATCACCAGCAGTCATAAGCGCCTTGTCGCCGTTTGCAGCTGTTGTGGTTCAACGCTGCGATTTCTTGGGGGGCCAATAAGCGGAGTGCCGAGGTTAGCCATCACGTGCATCTTCTCCCCCGTGTGGCTTTCCCATCTCCTGTAAAGAAAGCGCATCAGGTTTTAGAGGTAGCAGAATAGTAAACTGTTTTCGTATCTCGTGTGAATTTCTTCGGGAGTTATTGGGAGACAAGTCATTATTGTTCGTCGTTGCGGACTCCTGAATTCGGCCCGCCGTGACGATCATCTTCGCCGTGTATCACAAGCTCGTGCTTAGACGTTATTTCGCGAATTAATCCCGAAGCACTCATTCTCTTTGTATTCTGTCCCTTCATCTACTCCTGGACATTTCCAGAAAAAAACACCCAAGAAAAAATCAGAATCAGTCGCTACAATGGTTGCCGACGCTCTTGCTTATCATCCTTCCGTTGCTCACTACCTGAGATTTGTTGCGACGACCGGTTTGTTCTCCCTGCACAGTCCTAAGAATGCCAGTTCCGGTTACTCAGATTAATGATTTTCCTAATAGTTGGCCGCGACAAGGTCCTACGGACTCTTCAGTATTTCTCCCGCTTCCTAGCATGGTACCTGTTCCGCACGAATTACTCCCAGGCCTCGATCGCACCCTTTGAGGCCATTAAGAAACAGTTCGGCCTTACCCGAAAACTTCTGCGCGTGGGCAAGAATGTCGAGCACTTCAAAGCTGCTGCCGTCGCGCTTGACTCCAAACCTACCGTTGCCGGTGCCTCCACTACCGCAGCGGATCCGGTGTTGAAGTATCTCGCTGTGGGTCGCCAGCTGGGATATGGTGTCTACTTGTCGCTTGATACGTTCACGTACCTTCATGCTTCGGGGATTAGGAAATTCGATAGCATCAAGAGGCTGCAGAGCCAAGCGTATAAGGCTTGGTTTGCCGGATTGATGTGCTCTGCGATCGCCAGTCTGTATTCGCTGTGGAAACTAAAGGAGATGGAAAGGAATGTGAACAAAAAGGATGGCGAAGGAGCGTTAGAAAGCAAGAAAATTACTCGGTTTGTGGACTCCCAGCGTCATCTACTGCTCCGTGTTAGTTACTGTTACTGGCAACTGACCCCACGGTTTCTTTTAGTGAACGTGCTGCTATCACGACTCAACTGGTGTCTGATATTTGCGACTTGACGATTCCTTCCTCAGCTCTCGGATATGTCAACTTTGATGATGGAATTGTGGGTATTGCTGGAACAATGAGCAGTTTGCTTGGTATCTGGTCGGTGTGGAAGAAGACAACGTAGCTCCATGGACTGCTTGATAAAGCCTGAATGATCTGTGCCTTGCTTTTTTTTTTTTTTGCTCTATATATTCATCTATTAGTGCCAATTTTCGGCTGAATGAACTCGCCCAGAAATGAAGTTGTTTTCTTTGCCAATTCCTTTATTTATGTTTCTCTGGTACGCAGATTTTGCCCCTGCAGCGTATGTGGTACCTCTCTGCTTGGAGACGAATGATTGGGGCTTTACCAGTTAGAACGTCAAAAGGACCAAATAATGTATTTGTACGCAGCCACACCTGAAATTGATATTTAATCTAGCCTGTATTTCATCTTCTTAAGATAAACATCTATTAGCAGGAAAGGACTGTGTTATATGTAAGTTGGAAGGGTATGTAAATAGGTTCCAAGAAAGAATTAAATCTATAAACATATCCAGCAACCTATGGAGAAACGAGCGTTCCACCCATTCTATTTACTAGAAGACATGGCAAGAGATAATCTTCTGAATATCCTTATCTGGAAGTCATATGTACTGGGAACTCATAGCAGGATGAACGAAACGACTGCTATCCACCAAAGACAGAATACCACCAGTATGATAAATGGAAATGCAGCTAGAGGCAAAAAGATAAAAGAAGAGAAAATATAGGCAAAAGGAGTGAAAGAATTATAGAAACTTGATCGTCTATTGTCGTAATCGTCGCAAGATGTTAAGAATGGACTCTAAAAATAATTTTCAATGCATCTTTATATGCGGCTGTGAATGCAGAAAAACCTTATAAGCGCCACTGATTATGATCCATTATTCGTCCGGCTTCCGCTGGCAAAGGTGACAGGACAGGAGGGAATGGAGATGCAGAGGGAATCCAAATGGGTTCGCTAGTTCCGGCAGTCGTAAGGACGCCGTTGTTATCAAGTGAAATTTGACCGTCAACAGGCGCAGATGACTGTTGCGAAAACGCGTGGGGAAGCGGATAAGGCTGCAATTCAGCGCTCACCGAGACCTGTTCGTTAAGGCGCCAATATGGATCTGTGTCAAGGGGTCCCACGTAATTTATGCTTGGCATGTGGGGATGGGTCATTTCCAAGCGCGAAGGAGAAGCGCATAGATAAAAGGTATCTGCATCAACGGTATCATTTACTGTGTGGACGTCTTGCTGTTCATGCAGCTTAGGGTCCTGAGTTGACACAGCTCTTGGCGCAATATCCTCGGGTTCGGAAGTGTCATGGGATGATGATCTAGAAAGCTCTGGGTGGCTAAAATTGGCATAGTCAAAGCTTGCAAAGGACGGCGGCTGGCTATACGTTGCCGTGAGCGCATCAGAGCCATATGAAAGATCGAATGTAGACCAATCGACAGACGGAGGGCCTAAACTAGCGGCTTCGAGGGCGAGGTCACTATCCGCATAATACAGTCCTGCCCACTGCTGTGGGTAATCAAATAAAGGCGAGGGCAGACTAGCTGGATCGAAGCTTGAAAAAGGTATATCAAGAGAAGGAAGATGCATATCTGGTGCGCTAATTCCCAGAACTGGGGAGCTATGTTCAGACCTAGCACGACGAGGCCGGGGTGCACTGGTAATTGAGTCCGGCTGAGCTGGGACACTCCGAGAAATGGACATTTCCTCGGCTAGGGGAAGGTGATCTGCAGAGCGACGCGCTAGTTCAGCCGGTGTATGGATAGTGTGAGATCGTGGTAAGGTATATGGATGGGAAAGTTTGCTTGTATTGTTGTGCTTTACTTTCGAGCGATGCGACACGGCCAATGGGTCGATCTTGGAAGCTGGGATATGCAGCTGTTTCGCTTGAAACGTGGATTTAGGCTCCGGCGCGGGACCGACTTCTGGAACAGTGGCCAGATTAGAGTCTCTCTTGGCAGAGCAAATACACCGACCCCCGTGGCCACAGCAGCATTGTTTTCGGTTTGCTATAGTACGTAGCTTTTAGTGATCAATCGGTATAAGTAAGTAGGAACACCATACCTTTATCTCCTGTGCCATTCTTGCACTCAGCTTTCGAATGTGGTTTCTCACCGCATTGGCAGTTGACGTGGCTGGCGCGTGTTTTGCGTAAACCTCGACAATGGGGGCATTGTGATACCGGGCGACCCTTCCGATTAATATGACTTAAGGGGCGTTCTATCGGATTGATCAGCGGCTCGTCTTCAGAAACGGGGGAGGTAGTCAGGGAGCTCGCTTACCGTGGTGCTGGCAACTGCTGACGCGATGTCCCCTGATGCAGGCATCGCAGGCATACTTCTCACCGTTAATCAACATATCGACGGGCTGGTGAGGTTAAGAAAGTGTGTGGATCTCGGCGATAGAGGCGACGCGAGTAAGGAGGCGGCTGCACGTGAGGTGGACTGAGGCTGATATACCCACAACTGTGGACAACAAGGAAAAGGGCGGAGCGCAAGCTACAGGGCCATAACACAGAGGCGATCCGGCGCAGACACAGGATATATGAAGCGGACGAGGAGTAGAACGAGGCTTCGAGCGAAGCGGGATCGAGGAGGGGCTATAAAGGAGGAATCATTGGAACATCGGGGGGTTGAGGCTTGACGTGACGGGGAGCAGACCGCAGGCGCAAGGGCAGCGAGGAGCCGTCGAAGGAGAGGAGAAAAGCAAGCGAGGCGCGACGGGCAGGGCCGGGCAGGCAGAGATGCTGCAGTGGACAGTCGGACGGCGGGCAGAGCGTGGTCGACGACATTCGAAGCGAGATGGGATGGCGAGGTTAAAATAAGAGCGAGGTTGCGGTGACAAGCAGCTGGGAAGGCCTGAGCCAAGTTCGCCCAAGCCCGCCTAACCGCCCACGGAAACTCTGTTGCGGACAAACAACACGCCCCCCCCCAGCACCATGTTTTGAGCGCCAAACCTTCGACTTCGACAGCAAGCCGGACAAAGAACCGTCGCCGCGGAAGATTCGATTGACAAATAACGAACCGCTGTTGCGCGCCGTGGCCTGCATTCTTCATGCCGCCGCTTGTGTGGACGACGCCGCCCCTGCACACCGTCGCCGTGTTCTGGGTGGAGAGCATCCGCGTTGTTTCTCCAGCAATTCCGTGTTCTGGTTTTGATTATTACTATTGTTATTCCCCTGGACGCCAGGCCGGCCAAGCCTTGCTTTTGTGGTGCGCACTGCTGCCCCGGCCCGTGGAATCTGGAATCGGCCTTGGAGTCGTGTCCCGCACAAGGCAACGCGTTGGGCGTTCTGGCTCGATCGCCCGCCCGCGTTCTCCAGCTTGCCCCTCGAGATCGATCTCGGTGTAACGGCCGTGAGCCCTGCCTTGGCGCTGCGGGTGTCCGTCAGCTGTGCGCGACTATGGGGTACGGAGTACAGGTGCTACATGCAAGTGGATGTGGCGGCCACATACATACCTACGGAGTACATACACACGCTATCCCGCCGCTTCGATCGTGTGCCAGCTGGCCTGGCTAAGATACCCCACAGCGTCTTGCTTCCTTATCTTGCTGGAGCCCATCACGCAAGTGCAAGCTTAACCAGATGCGTTCACCTGAAAACCCAAACGACTCCACCCAGCCACCTCTCGCTGCATGTCATGGAAATCCCCACGATGCCATTGGCACGTTGCGCTGAGGGCGTGACTGGAGACGGCGTTGCGTCGTTGAGTCTGGCTTTACAGCCCATCCCGCTTGCCCCTTGCTATCCGACTTTTCAGAAAGTTTGGCGTGAAGATCCTTTTCGTCGATTCTGTTTCTTTTTTTTCTTTCCTAGCTTGCTAGGACCACCCTCGATCTGAAGTTGAAACCGGCCGGTTCGGGTTAGAAGCCAGAAAATTTCTCCACCGCCTGGAGTTGGCTCTAAAATGTATACTTTACCATCCAATCTACAGGTTTCCATATGCCACCACGACCCGCTATCGGACGAACAGGATACCGCACAGAAGAGAAGAAGTGCGCAAAAGTGGAACTGTATGTCTTGACCTGAAACAAATCCATATCTGGTAACAATCCTCCGACCTTGCCCTCTGACATATGCACTCGAAAGCCACGATTGCCGCCGCCATCAGCGCAATTAAACTAGCAAGCACAAATCAAATTGCGAGCATCGCTAGCACATCCAGAAAGCGTGGAGTTCTGCCTGCATAAAACCCGCGCCGATCACCGTTTCCCTCCGCCTTTTTCGAGGGCACCACCAAGTGTCCCACGAACACCTGTAATATACTTTTGTTAAGGGTCTTCCAATGTTACACAAATTAGGCAGGGAAGAACAACATTGTCTGGCTAACCACGCTCCGCCTACCATACTTGATAGAGAGCTCCTTTCTAAGGACCAGCTTCAATTCGAGTTTCGGTGAGCGTAGGTGGTCGGTCTCGAACCCCTGCTAGCCCCTAACTACCACTGGCTGCAATAAGAACGGCTAATTAACTTACACTCTGCGTTCCTCAGCGCCCTTGAGCTGCAGCGCAAGTCACACGCTGTTTTGGAGCAATTTCTCCAGCCACGCACTGCGCCGTGACTGCACGTCATCTCTCGCCCCCACCCGGGTTGTCAGCTTAGTTAGTTACGTAAGCCGTGCATCGAATATTCGTCGCGTCTTCTACGGCATTTCCTAAAGCGGACTCGGCTTCGCGACCTGGCAAACTCATACTCGCCGCCACCTGGCGTGTTGCCCCTCCTTCGCGCCACTTTAAAGCCGAGGACGGTTGGGCTCGTACTTGCAGATGGACTTTGCTCCGCAGATCAAGGCATTTTTGGGTTTTCTGGCCAAACTATCAACTACGGAGTACCCTCGAATGCGTCAAGCTTCGTGTTTGAACAAAGAACAAAGGGAAATCATATTCGTACCCCGGGAACATTTTCCTTCCCAAACACCGTGAAAGTTTCTTCACGATCCAAAAGTTCGGAAGAATCGAGGCCAGAACTGAAGCACGCAAGACAGCCCACTCCGGAATAGGAATGAATGCCATTGTTGGCAACTTTGCTTGACACGAAGGTTATTCGCCGTCCGGTCCGCTCTTATGGCGTTAAGGTAAGGCCGAACAAGAACAAGCCCCTTGATCATCGTTGAAGATCAATTTCCCGAGCGTCTGTTTGGCCAAATGATCTTTGCAGCAGCTTTTCCCTATTTTTACACATTTACCGCTAATCATCGGCTTTTCAAATCGCGACAAATGGCGGACCTTTTGAAGCAAGGGTCATGTGCCCTGTAAGGCCAGCCGTGGCGGACTGGTGGTCTGACAATTTGTTAACTCGCGGCGTTCTCCGCCTTAAGACACACTAACCTGTGGCTGACGCTTCGGGAAAACGCTACTCTTAGTCCGAAAAGCCAAGGGGATGAAGTAGTTGACTCCAGTGTTGGGAACGAGGGCTTCGCCAATGATTCAGATCTTGGTTTGATTGTTATCACTACCAATCGGGGCCAGACGGGCTGGAGGGGGGGGGAGTATACGACGGCTGATACATTGTTCTAGAAGCCAAGTAAAAGTTGGAAAGGCCCACCTCAATCAACAAAGTATCTAGTATGCCTTTCATGGCCCCAGTCTCCGATATCGTACATCGGATACAAGGAGCATCCCTGAGGAAGGGAAAAAAACCACCGATAATCACTATGGACAGCGACCGTTATCTGGACACGAGACATTGCCCTTTTCGACATTGACCGGCGCTGGGGTCTAGGAAAGGGTGCCTTCCATGTCCAAGAAATGCCATCTGACCTGCAAATCCGCATTTGCTCATCCCTTTACGGGGCATGCCTGAATTGCGTCCTAGGTCGTGGGATAGATGATAAACAAAACGGCCCGGGCACATAATGCAGCGAGGTTCTATTACCCCTAAGGCTGGGCGATTAATCCCTCATTCCAAAGATATGAAACAACCCGCCCCCCTCACATGGCATGGGATAGTGTATGTGGTCCGTGATGTCAGAGGTTAATGAAAAAAATGCCCTATAGCAATTATTATTGCTGGCAGTGGAAAATGAGGTGTTAATTCAGAGCTATTTGGCCAAGTCAGACTTCAAGGCGTACTCAGTGGGTATCTTGCATGCATAGTCTATAATTCTAAGGGCGACTGCAGGGACACAGTATACTGCTCAGAAACAACCCCACAGTGCGCAAATGAGAGCATAGATGGTCGAATCCTGTTGTTTCCTGTGAGTTGGTGGGCTGGAGGGAATAACCATGACTTGGTCGGCTTGCAGTGATCTCCCCAGCGACGGAGCTGGAAAGGCGATCAAAATGGTCGGCAACTTCAAGCCAAACGCCGACAAGACGAACGGTCCGAACTGCTCGACAACCGCCCTTTTCCACTGTGCTGGTTGATGCTCCGTGCAAGACGATCGTTCTCGATGCCAAGCCCTTCTTACGTGTCAAGTCACCTGATTACACACGTGACGCGCCTCGTGACTAGTCACGTGCGATGCGTCGTTCGCCACCGCCCAACCCCCCCGAAACCACCTTCGACTCGGCATCTCAATTATTCCGCCGCTTCAGCTCAACCTCACGCTTCCCGCATAAAACAATACCCGTTCTCCGTGTGCCCAAGGAATGCGATCATCGACAACCTAAATATTCAGTGTCGTCGGATCACAGCTGAGTCGCGCGAGTCGACGCCGTGATCTCTCGGCTCGCTGTTGTTGAAAAGTTTGTCGCCCTCTCTCTCTTTCCCACATCGCGTTCCTCTCGCTCCCCAATCCCTCCACACGCATGACTTCCATCCTCTCCACTGCTTGTTATCATGTCTGAACGCGTCTCGGCTGAGTACGGACCTCAGGAACAAAGCTCTCTTCCACCACCGCACGCGCACCGCACAGCTATCGCGAAGTCTGAACCTGCCACGATGGCCTCTCGAGAACACCCCGACGTTGGCCAATCGCAGTCGTACTCGTCCCCAAACGCGACCCAGGTCAATCAAGGCGCGGTGTCCTACTACACCAACCAACGCCAATTAACCGCCGATGAATTGCATCTTTCAGCAGAATTATCGCGCGAAGTATCCGCTACCAACATGAATGAAAGTCCTGCAAATGGGATGGGCCAGGGTCAGGGCTTAGTCCTAGGGTCACCAAATCCTACCTCAGGTATCAACCGTGGGGACCCAGCCGACCCGCAGGCACAGCACCCACAGCACCTTGTACAGTTTACCCCCAGTCAACAAACTGGTGTAGACCCAAACCATGATCTCAGTTATGGTGACCAGAGTGCAAGACGCAAGCGCACAAAGGTCTCAAGGGCTTGCGATGAGTGTCGGCGCAAGAAAGTATGCTGCATCCCCTCGCGCTACTGCTTTGTATGCAGCTGACCCGATATCTTAGGTTCGATGCGATGCTACATCTGAAGCCGGAGTTGATATGTGCTCTAATTGTCGCCGAACGGGCTCGACTTGTGAATTTAGTAGAGTGCCGATGAAAAGAGGCCCAAGCAAAGGGTATTCTTTGATTTTCTTACCGTTCCTTTCATACCCTCCGCATTGCTTAGCTAATTGTACAACTCTAGATATATCAAAGAACTGGCTGATCGAATTAATTCTTTGGAGAGCCAGATTCAACCTAGTATCGGTGGCCAGTCAGATGTACATTATCCGATCAACGAAGAAGGCTCTCCTGTCGCGCGCGGCTACCAAGAATTCCCGCCTACAATCGATAACAACCTTCTTCCCAGGAAGCGTACCTATTCTATGTCTGAGGGCGCCACGACCGTAATGGGGTTACCAGTGAATCAAGGGCCTCGTCAAATATCCGTTGGCGGATGGCCTACCCAGCCGCATGGGAAGGACAACCACCCAGAAGCTTTGACGGGTATTGACGGGTACCCTGCCCAGGGCGGTAGAGTTTCGCAACCATTTTGGGCACATGCGCCTTCTACGACGGCAATGGAGCCGGCAGTAGATGCCACCTCTATTGAGATAGATGAGAAGGTGTTGGATGTGTACGTCTCTTGAATCCCACCTCTTTACTGTCGTTATACTGACATACGTGCAGGTATTACAACCATGTTCACATAATTCTTCCTATCCTACCGGTTTCTAGGGATCGACTACATGCCCATCTTCGCCAGGCCAGCCGTCAGATCCAGGAGGTCTTCCTCCATTCATTGCTTGCAGTCACTGGAGCAAGCTCTTTCCGGGATGGAAATCAGTTCCAAGAGGTTCAAACGTTTGAGAAAGCCCAGGACCTGTTATACGAATGGTTCCGTGGGGATCCTTCTTCGCGCCCCTTGGCAGCAAATTTCATTCTGCTTCACACCATTACTTTGATGATTTTGGAAGCAGATCAGCGTGGCCGCCAAAATTTCCGTGAACAGAGTGGTATACCGAAGGCAACGTTGGTGGAAGGAGGCGTGTCTCTTGGCTATTATATTGCCAAACCCCTCGGCCAACTCGACATTAGCAACCCGGACGACGGTGACCTAGACTCTGACGGCAATCTAGCCAGACGTAATTGGATTGTAATTGGCATTTTGTCCCGATGGCATATGTTGAGCACTGCTGGCCCCGACTTTTTTGGTAGCCATGAAATTGCTACACCTGAGGATAATACAATTGTGAATCTTGCAACAATGCAGCTTGCCCGTAAGTATTTATGTCGCAATGTGGAAGATATCTTTCTAACGACTTGGTGTTATAGGGTATTCTACCTTGCTAGCTGAACTTCACGAACTCTTCTCTGTTTCGCTCAATAATTCTGCCTATGGCTCTCGTGCGTTCAAGAGAGTTTTAACTGGCCAGCTTAATAGGCTGAGAGACATTGAGCGACTCGATTTTGCTAATATTGATCCATCTACTGTCAATGCCCTCGAAAACATTTCTCCTCTCATCTATTGGAGCATACACCTACTTCTCAAACGTCACCTCTACATCTACACCCCTGCTGAGCTGCTATATCCATCGCAAGTTATAATTGAAATCATGAATAAGCAGACTGAAGACTCCACGTCAATTTCTTCGCCCTTTCATTTCCATTTTCTTGCCTTGGCGGTAATTACTCTCCTCGAGCTTATGGATATACCCGAACTTGCGAATGACGCCCAGGTAATTCTTGAAAAGGCGGTGGCTTTGATTTCTCTTCGCGAAAAGCATGCTGCAACTGCAGGTGAATTTGAAAAGATATTCGCGACTCAAAATTGGGAGAACACCATTCAACTCTTCATTGAGACCAGGATTGGCCAATATCGACAAGGACGGATAGGAACCCATCAGGGTCCTGGAGCTAACCAACCACTTGGCGCGACGGAACAGCGTTCTCTCCAGCATCTCGCTGACCTTGCCGTCGGAGCTGGTAAACCTGGCAATGCAGGGTCGCGCCCTACATCAACAGGGGACGTCTCTACGGATAATAGAGAGGCAACATCAAATGCTGCACCCTGTCTGGAGGACCCCAAAGAGGATTTCCCCGCCTTTATCGACTTTTCCGAACTGACGAAAAAGGGTTACCTTAATGTTTTAGCAGGGATTGCCCTGTAACTTTTGTGCCCCTGCTCTCACCCTGTCGTAACTTGACAATTTCGAGCTTAATTCAAAACGTCAAATGTCAGTATTCGCCGAAATTGGAAGTATCATAATGGGCACAAAAAAAGGAGTGTGTGAAGGATAATTAGCAAGGCGTTTGGCTGGGGAAACTGGTAAAGTAAGGGATTTTGCGGTGTAGAAGGCCAAGGTGTTTCGATTCAGACGGACCTTTTCTCCATGTCTGCATCAGTGACTTCTCGAGGCCGAATTGTTCAGCTACCCCCGGAAATCTGTATTCTGGCAATTAAAAATTTTTATTTATTTTTGTTCTGTATAATAGCAAACCTGGGATCGACTTTCTTAAAAAAATAGAAAAATGCAAGACAAAAAGAATATTGGTCATAAAGTGTGTTTACATTGACATCAGTAATGCTTGAGATGTTGCAAAAACGTTTAGTTAATTTAGCTACGGAGTACTTTACCCTTCTTCGTCATCTTCCTCTTCCTCTTCTTCTTCCTCTTCATCTTCATCGTCTTTTTCTTCATCCTCTTCAGTGTCAGCCACATCTACATCACGGCCTTCCTCTTCTCCATCGTCAATAATCGTCTCAAATTGTGTCCCAGGAACAATGCTTCGTTCGCGAGACGTGGGCCGTTCCAACTTCACCGCTACATTTTGGCTTCGTGAGGTCTGCCGCCGAGCTAAGACTACATCTTGCTCGTCGTCTTCATTCTCATCCATTTCCTCGTCATCTTGCATTGTTTCATTCTCAATGGCTCTTCGGACTCTCCGCTGCATGGCAGGATCATGCCGTAGATTTTCAAGTATAAGCTGGGCGGAGCAAACCGGGCATTTGACACACTTGACCTTCCGCCGACCGGTGCTTGTTTTAGTTGTAATGGTATCGCTGCTATTGTTGATCATATCCTCGATCGCCGCACGCTCGAAAGTATGCGGACATTTTGTGCTGCTTACTGGGTCATTAAAGGGGAGGTATGTTATGGGGCAGCGAGTTGAGATGCGTTCGCTCTCAACAGCTATGTCTTCGTCATCTGATTGAATGCGGGAGGCCCTCTTTCGGGTGCGCCGAGTAGGGTGGGATTGAGGTGGTTGTGGCGGGTCTTCCATGTGGCTAAACCAGGTAGACCGATTCGGGAGTGGGGGAACATCGTCTCCGGGATGCCTGGATTCATGCATAACGCGATAGAACCCGATATAAGTATTGTCATTCGTGTACCTAGTCACATGCCGGTCAGCACGTCCATCCCTGGCCGGGTAGGGATAAACTGCACCTCTCTGTAAGAGAGGCATTCTTCCACTTTTCTAGCTTCTCTTGTACTTGTGTTTCAAATAAATAGGTTGTCGAAGCCACAGGATCGTATCGCTGTTCCTCATCGTCATGTTCTGCATTTGAATTGCCGTCGCCATCGGACCCCTCGCCCTCGTTGCCTTCGCCATTACCGTCACCTTCGGTCCTTTTCCTTCTTCCGGATCTAGTGCGACGCCTTGACTGGGCACTGGGTCGGCCTGCATTGGGTGTTTGGCTAATTTTCTCCAGTATCTCTTTTGCTGTTTTGCCGGCGAACTCTGCATCTATAACGCCGCGAATCTTTTGCTCCATCTTTTCAGTAGTCATTTTCACACGCATCTGTAGGTCGGCAATGTGCTTATCCGACTTCTCCGCTTCTGCAGAAGGCTGGCCCTCTGATGGGTCTCCATCCTCGCCATCTTTGGGGTTGTCCCTTTTCCGTTTCTGCTTCTGGTACCTTGCATTTGCGTCAGTCAACTGGTCATTGACCTCGCCCACGGTGTCCGTTAACGCTTGTGCGAGGTTTCCCAGGTGAGTAGCCAGAAGCCGGAACTGTTCTGATTCCGCGAGGTTTCGGATGGCCTGTCTGGCTTCGACATTCAATTGATGTGATTGGGGTTGGTAGGGTGGAAGGGTAATAGTCTGGTCAGCCTCCGAAGGCGGCTCCAGAGCGCTATTAGACTCGGGTGACTGTCTCCTCGAGCTCCGGTGCGGCGTTGCCATCATTGCTGTCGCCGTCGCGGGCAGAGAAACATTTGCGCGCGCATAGTCAAGATTGACGCGACGCGCCAGGACCGCGCTAAATTAGCGAGCCCAACTCGGCTAGCGCGGCTGCTGAGTCAGCCAGTCTCCGCCCTTCAAACGTTCACCGCGACGAGGATGCGTTGCGGGCGAGACACGCGCCAGCTCGCTCGTGCCGGAAGGTGGCCGACGGACAGAGTTCGCATTCAGACAGGGGATTTGTGTTGGGCGTTACATTGCTACGAAATACCGCAAGGCTGCCCGTTTAACGACACTGCGGTCAAGACTCTCTAGCCAAGTTAAACGCCACGAAACCTCATGGACGATCCCCCAGACAAGAAGCGAAGCCAAGTGGTGGCTCACCTTGGCAGTTTGAGAAGCATTTGCGCGCCGCAGTGGTGTCCCGCCTGCGGCAAGGAATGGCGGGACACCGTCGTCCCGAAAAGCGCGAGTCGTCTGGAGCCACGAAGCTTACTGGCGGTGAGGAGTCGAAGCTGGAAGATGGGGCATCCGGGAGCCAGCCAGGTGCTTGTTTCGAAGCCCAGAGCAACTCTAATAAGCGTACAAAAGTACTAGCACGCTCGGCAGTTCTACTCTCATCGAACTCAAGCATTGCGAAGAAGGTTGGCTGCGTTATCTTCACGTGATAAGCTTCCCCAGACCTGTCTTCTGTGCTGCATGGAAGCCATGTGCAGCGGGATGGAGGCTGCATTTACGGCGCATAGCTTATTTGCCGAATTGAAACGAATCTTATGCCTATCAGGTTGCACACCGACTCCAGAGGGTTTCTTGGCTGGCCATGCGTTAGAGAGCGGTCACATCAGAAGCACGAATCCCTGGCCGTTGCTGCACCTGTGTAGGACAAGTCCATCGCTGGGACGCCGCCGCGAGCAAAGCTTTCTTGTGAAACAAGATAATCTGCTCGTCAACCGCTCAGATAAGCTGCATGCATGGGCTGCTGCCGCCAGGATGTCGCCGCGTGTTTTTGTGGTTCAGCAGGTAACAAGGTTTGCGATTGCGACATCAGGCTCCCAGCTTCACTCATCAATCTTAAGCTTACATGCCCAGAGGGAGATCTCCCCCCATCCGCAACCAATCAATGCTACCATTCATTAAACAAAAAGCGTTTGAAATGGGGGCCAATTCTCCCGGAGAGGGCTTCTGCGTATGGCAAAATGCTGCGCAAGCCTTGCCTTAGCCTCAGGGAAAACGTTCAGACTCGGCGAAACTTCGCGTTCCAGATCCTCGCTGGGACCGCTGGAGCATGTCGGGTTGCATCAGGCTGTATGGGCGCAGGCGCATATGCTTCGAGGAAGTGGCTTCCCGAGCCTCGTGGATATCCGCCATTATGCTCTTTTCTCCAGGTCTTTTAGAAGAAGAAAAAAAAGTGCTTTATGGGAGCTGGCGCCACACTCCGTCAAATATACTCTCGACTCGGTAACGAGCCGTGGGGATGGGGCATTCTGGAGCCAAGCATTTTTCGCCCCTTGTACACCGCAGCCTCTGCCAAGTTTTGCGACATGGTTCTGGCTAATTGCGTGGATGCTTCTCCATAGCCTTCTCGACGACTATAGCAACTAAAGTGGAAACATACCCGGTTTGAGACCTGTTTATTATTGGCCTAAATATTAACCTCGTGGATCTGATGAATCAATATCTCGACCTCCTCCCTGAACTACCCGGAATGTCCACTGTATAAAGTCCTCTGTATCCCTCTATCTAGGTTGTAGGGACAATCAACCGCTAAAAAATTTCTAAATATGGCGGCCAACCGTGCTGGTCGGTTTCTCGCCCGCGCACTTCGCATCAACCTTGACTACCGCCAGGAGCCAGAAGACACATATCGCTCTGCGGCAAAGTCGATTTCGTCGGTAGATACTTTCGTGGAGAACGAGCCCACAGCCGCAGAATGGCTTCTCAAGGGGCGACCAACCATTGCTGCTACTAAGAGATACGTTTGGAGTCTCTTTCCATTCTGGTCATGGATCTTCCACTACAACTTCACATGGCTGCTTGGAGACTTGATTGCAGGTACGTTGGAGATGGCGTTATTTTGTACTACTACTAACTGGGCCAAGGTATCACTGTCGGCTTTGTCGTGGTTCCACAAGGAATGGCATATGCTCTCCTGGCCAAATTGACACCTGAATATGGGCTATATACATCTTTTGTCGGGTTCCTACTTTACTGGGCATTTGCCACATCAAAAGATATCACAATTGGAGTAAGTCCTTGCTTCTTGTATTCGAGGGTATTCTGACAGGCTTTCTAGGCTGTTGCTGTTCTGTCTACGATCGTCGGGAATGTGGTCATAAAGGTTCAGGATATCCACCCTGACATTCCAGCTGATCAGATAGCAAGAAGCTTATCACTTATCTGCGGAGGCTTTCTGTTATTTGTTGGGTTGGTCAGATGTGGCTGGGTCGTCGAATTCATCCCTCTGGTTACTATCACCTCTTTTATGACCGGTGCAGCTCTCTCCATTGCCGTTGGCCAAGTGCCAGCCATGATGGGAATCAGAGGAATCAACACAAGAGAGGCATCATACTTGGTTTTCATCAACACCATGAAAAGTCTTCCTAGGTCACGACTTGATGCCGCCCTAGGTTTGTCCGCGCTCTTTATTCTTTATGCCATTCGATGGTTCTGTGAATTCATGTCCTCGAGGCAACCAAACAAGCGTAAAATGTGGTTTTTTGTCTCAACTCTCAGAATGACCTTCGTTATTCTTTTATATACCATGGTTAGTTGGCTTGTGAACAGAGGCATTTCGAACGCAGACCGTGCGAAGTTTAGAATACTTGGCAGAGTTCCCAAAGGTATGCCCTCCCACCCCTTGAAATTTTAATCCTAGCTCACGTTCTCTCAGGATTTCAGCACCTTGGTGCTCCCAGTCTCGACATACGGATTCTCAAAGCTTTTGCTTCAGATCTTCCGTCCACCATCATTGTCCTTATCATTGAGCACATCGCTATTTCTAAGTCATTTGGACGAATCAATAACTATGTCATTGATCCCTCCCAAGAACTAGTCGCCATTGGCTTTACAAATCTCCTGGGGCCATTCTTAGGAGCATACCCTGCAACTGGTTCTTTTTCGCGAACTGCCATCAAAGCTAAAGCCGGGGTTCGAACACCACTGGCTGGAGTGTTTACAGCTGTCATCGTTCTCTTGGCTCTCTATGCTTTGACTTCGATGTTTTTCTACATCCCCATGAGCGCGTTGGCAGGTTTAATTATCCACGCCGTTGGTGATTTAATCACCCCACCGAATGTTGTCTATCATTTCTGGGAAATTTCGCCAATTGAGGTCATCATTTTCTTCAGCGGAGTACTGGTAACCGTTTTCACTCAAATCGAAAATGGAATTTATGTCACCATCGCTGCGTCAGCAGCCGTGCTTCTATTCCGAACTGCCAAAGCGAAAGGAAATTTCCTTGGAAAGGTCAATGTTTACCGTGTCACACACGACAATCTTCAACGAAAGGGCGATGGCTACGAATTGAGTAAAGATGATCCAGCATGGTCGGTTAGGGAGGCCTTTATTCCAATGCAGCATCAAGATGGGTCAAATCCACTGATTGAGGCGCGATCTCCATACCCCGGTATCTTTGTCTATCGATTCAGTGAAGGATTCAATTACCCCAACCAAGCCCGATATCTCGACAATTTAACAGCTTACATCTTCCAAGAAACTCGACGAACTGAACTTCAAAGTTACGCGAAATTAGGAGTAAGTTACCCTAACAACTATAAACGAAATTCCTATTAACATAATTTTCTCCCTTACAGGACAGACCATGGAATGATCCTGGCCCACGCAGGGGAGAACAAGTCAACCTCAACGACGCCCGCCCTATTCTCCGAGCTGTCGTCCTTGATTTCTCCGCTGTTAATAATGTTGATGTAACATCTGTTCAGGGTCTTATCGATATTCGCAACCAACTTGATCGTCATGCCTCCCCTGAAATCGTCGAATGGCATTTTGCAAGCATTAACAGTCGCTGGACAAAACGTGCCCTCGCTGCCGCAGGCTTCGGATATCCATCAAATAGCACCCCAGAATCAGTCGGCCACTGGAGACCTATTTTCAGTGTTGCAGAGTTATCAGGTGCGGAGTCAGACTCGATTACAACACGCAAAAGCAAAGCCGCCTCTCATGGTGACGAGGTTGGGTCAGAGGAACAAATCTACGAATATGAAGGTCCTGACGCGGGAAGAAAAGACACTCTACAGTTCCCAAGGAAGATCGGTAATGTACATGGCATCAACCGTCCTTTCTTCCACCTTGATGTTCAGGCTGCTGTTGAAAGTGCAATTTCGAATATCGAAATGAGGAAGTCAATCTCTCGAGCAGCAACGACGGTGGAGGCGGTCAACGAAATAAAGGAATGAATATGGCGTTTCCATTAGATTAGCGACGACCGGGTGCTATACCAGCCCCTTTTTGCATTTATTGATTTTTAATTTTTTTGATAGAGTTAGAATCTAAAAACCATGACTTCTGATCATTCTTGCGGGTATATCCACCACTAGCTAAATCGAGTAATCAGTAAAGAAAGCAACAAACGCAAAGTTGGGCGGGGAAAGCTGTCTCCTTCTATTAAGGGGAAATAGCCAAGGAATAATTTCCCAATACTATACGAGAAGTAAGCAACGCAAATACGGGGCAGTAAGGTATGTCGTGCATAATATGCGCACTGCTTAAACTTTATAGAAACAAAAAGCATGATATAGGCCTAACAATATAAAGTTAGCCGTCGGAGGCGCTCGAATAGGCATTCGACAAGCGGTATAAAACAAAAAAGGTGTACGTACTTGCAGCTTCGAACTCTTCTTCGTTGACCAATAGTGTCCCATCCCGCGAGCGAACTCCCATTCGTTCACTCAGGGGACCAAGAATGGGATCATCCTTCTCCTCTCGCCAAATGTCAAGAAATGGTTTCCGATATTGCAGCTCCAAATTGTAGTCTTGCGTTAGTCTGAGAAGAGTAGGCACACGTCAGGAGAGTAGTCCACGTTGAAATGTAAAGGATTAAAACTTACGCTCGGAATGCTTCCCATGGAACAACATATTCTGGGATCTCTTCCACCGCCTCCTCCATAAAATAGCTATATTTCCACCCAAAAGCGGGTCTGAACACACCGTCTTCTGGTGTCTCACCCGGAAACCGGACCCGATAGATGCTGTTTCCCCACTCCAGTCCTTCCTCAACTTCCCCCTGCTCCGGAGCACTAACATCTGATTTCTCTTTGCGACCCTTGTTCAATTCAGACACCTTAGCGCTAAGAACGTCAGAATTTGGGCCAACACCAAGAAACCTTCCGCCTTTCTTAAGGGAGCCAGCAACGTTCTGAAGCATCTGCCTCGCTTTCTCTTCGCTTTCGAACGCGTAATGCATAGTGAACATTGACGCCACAATGTCAAACCCCCCGCCTCCCCAGCGGGAACTCATGAGAGATCCGTTTGGCCCGATGTTACTATCAATCCCGACACGTTGAATAATAGACAAGTCGCCAAGAGATTCACCAAAGCAGTCTTTTGCATGAAATTCAGCCTGAAATAGTGCGTTTCCCCTGCGCCTTTTTTTGTCGTGCTTCATCCCGTAGTATCGCTCCCGGGCTTGCTCTATCGACACTTCAGCGGGATCCAAGCCAACATAGAGCTCCACGGGCTGCGGCGCCTGTTGCCACTTTCCCAAATCACCACCTTTACCACATCCCACATCCAGCACAACCAATCTTTTCTCTCCATCAACTGCCGCTGAGGATCCACCAGCCCAGGTATTGTCGTTGTTCCTGACTAGAAAGTCTTCATCGGGTGAGAATTTCTGAATTATCGTACTCTTAATCCAATTATTAAAACTTCGAAGCCCTTTGATCTTGCTATCCGTCTTGCGCCACTCTCGACCTCTTTGCGGCACGGCATTATAATGCTGTCTTACAACATCGTGCACACCGCGACCACGCAGCTCCTTTTGTGCCTCTTCCTGCCGTTGACGTTCCCTCTCTTCCTGTCTTCGCTTTAGTGCCTCAAGGTTAGCAGCATTTACACGTGCTCCGCCTCCTGGGCGTTTGCGTTGACGTACGGGAGCGTCTGGGGACGCCGACCGTCGTAAAGGTGAAGGTGACTTAGGTAACGCTTCATGTTGTTGAGCTTGAGAAGAGAAGTCGTCGCGGCGAGAATAAGCAGCGGGAGGGGTCTTCCCGCGTTTCCGATGTTTATGAAGCCGCTCCTGGATCCTCTTGCGCTTCACACGAGGCTGATCTTTATCGAAGGTCGGGTTCTCCGTAGGTGCATCTGCCACTGGTAGTTTTCGCTTGTTGCTCTGCGCATCAGTAGTACGGTCAGTGTTTATTTTTGAGTTTTCACTTTTAGCTGTTTGAGAAGGTGCCTCCGGCACGGCAGCCTCATTGGAATCCATGTTTGTAGAGAACAAGAGTGTTCTGACTTCAGAGTTCCGACAGTCAGTTTCCGAGTAAGGCCCCAAGCGGGTTCTTACATAATCACATCCTATGAGTAAGCGGTGCTTAGTAACACAGTAGCACCAGCTAGCCCCTGACTCAACTTTTCCCCCTGACAAGCATGGGATTATTGCGATTTTGAATAGAACCAAGCCATCGCTTCATCTCTAATAGTTTTGTCAATAAAGGAGTGTTTCCCTTATTATGGACCTTATAATTGGATTTGCTGTCTTCCAACACAGTAATTTGGAAAATCAATCAGTCGTAAGCCTTTTACCCAAGGAGCGCGCACGATATACACCCTAGACTCAAGGAAGCGAAGAAATGGCCTTCGGTGGTTTAAGATTTGACAATTTGATTTCCAGGTAGTTAGTTAATGATAACCCACCGCCCAAAGGTCCCACACTATTGGCCACATAACTTCGGACCTCCGGACAAGTGATTTGAACTGTTCGATTTTTTATCACCGCACTGTTGATAAGAAAAAGAAGCGTACACCGGGGCACTTCGTCTATGAGAAACCGTGTTTGGCGCAGGAAAAGTTCACTCTACATACGTACTCATGTTTTAGACGGACAAATAATAGTATATTCTGTAGGTAAACTCGCTTAATTATGTTGTAAATGGGTATCTCTTGATAATGCTCATAATAGTCATGATCATGATGCTCGGAGTTTCAAATCAAAATGCAAGCTAAAAAAGATCAAAGTTCACCAACAGCATACAATCACCCTCTACTCTTCCTCTGTCCCTTGAAAGCCTGTCTTACCCTTCTTAGCTTGCTCCACCATTCTCGATCCTTCGCTTTCTTTGCTTCAGGGTCCATCTCATTGGGGCTTGTCGTACCGTCCTGGCATTCAGGTGCCTGGGTCTCTGATGCTATAGATAGATTTTGCCGACGATGCATGTTTATAATCACCCTCCTTAAGATTTGCCAACCAGAAAGCTCTGCACCCTGAAAAGCGTCTTTATCCCTGGCTTTCCCTGATCCGCTTTGTGTTTTAGCATTAATCCATGGACAATAGTCAAGGTGTTCGCCGACGACGTCAAGATTTGGATATATAGATGATGACCCGTCATCCTTAGGCATGTACATCCATAATCCGAGTCTTCGAAAGCAAGCCTTACAGCTTGCAACTCCAGCACTCTTATTTCCAGATAAATCCCAACCGAAAAGTGCCAGTGCAAGGGCTGATAAATTGACCGAGTCCTGTGCTGCCTCGTTTGTCCCATTTTTTGTCCCATTTTGCATAGTTGTTGGATTTTCTGCCACGGTCACACATTCAGACTCGGATTGAGTTGAGGAGAGCATTTTTGATGATATCATTTCTGAAGTAGCGCAGATATCTACACCTTCTGGAACGGCAATGCACTCTAAAGGGGGGATTTTTTCTCCTAAGGAAGCGAGATTTAGGTAACGTTCTCTTAACCCTGATAGGGCTTTATCCGGTTTCGCCATAAGCAATCGATGAATAGTTTCTATAAGTATGTTAGAATACTTAAGGGGCAGCTTGCCGGAGTAGATTGGGCGCCTTTACCATCACATCCAGTTTTACGCCACGGGCACTTCTCGCCGTGACCGTCAACAATCAGACCAGCATATTTGTCGACTAGCGCAGCTTCTATTTGAAATATGACAGTTAGTTCATGTACCTGGATTTCAAGAACAATATTGTATACGTACGGACTTGTCTCCGCTCCTCCACTTTCTCGCTATCATAATCTTCCAGATCGTCCATGTCATCGGGCAGCTTCACGACAAGAGAAAGACCGCACCCCCCGACACACTCCACCCTCATCACACCCACACACGACCAACCTCGTTTTGCCCATTGTACTTCGTTGACGGCATCTGGCTTTGGAGACCATCTGTCGACTTTGCGGAACGTTTCTAGTCTCTCCAAGAATCGATCACGATCCCAGGGTACAAAATTGGGGCGCAAGGACGGAGCAGGAGAGTGGTTGGCCAAGGGAGATGTAGATACGGGCGTTATGGTGTCATCAACTTCTGAACCTGGCGTTAGTCGAACGCGTTTTATGGTTGGGTCGATGGCTTTCGGAGTAGACATATGAGGATCTCTCGGATGAGGGTTCAGCGAGCGCTTTTGCGAACCATTGCTGGACAATGACTCTAAAGCCCTGTGGAACTTCCGCTTCTTGGACTCCACGCTATAAGACATTATTCCTTAAACTGATTGTTTACGTAGAAGACGATAAGCGTGAGCTGTTGTGAAGCTGACCTTTAAGCTGACTAAGCATTTTTCGTAGTTAGTTATGAAACTAGCTGCTTTTCGAATGCAAGAACTCCAAGCACAACCAGACAAACTGCTCGTGTTTGAGTATGAATTCTTTATTATATGTACTGATGTTTGCCTTATCTTAGTTTCAAAATTCCTAGTTACATCTTCATATACTTTCTCACAACCTACTTTATATCTGGCCATCAATAATCTTTTGAAAGATGTCCAAACCCAGGTCAATCCGGATTTGGACCGGGCTAGACGAATTCGATCCCGGCTGTTCTTGAATAGAATCGGTCGGATCTGGCTGGGTTTGATTCGCCTAGGGTTTGCCAGATCGAATTTGAGTCTTCAATCCGGGTTTGGCCTCAGCTGCTCTGTAGACGGGTTAATACTCGTTGTAAAGCATTGTTTTGGTGTCTTTGTACTTCCTATAGAGAACAAACTGCCCTTTGGTTCTCTTCCCTTCACGAACATGCTCTGTGCTATGGCACACATGTATCATCCAAATGGGGACCCTCGGACATTCCCTCGATTATTCCCAGAGTCTCTGAAACGTGGCCATATCTTCCTTTGTTACTGTGTCTGAATACCCGATATGAGCAAGTATGAGGTGACTGTCACGTTCACTACGTCGGCCCATATTACCTCCTCATATTTAACCACCTGAATCAATGCATTCAAAGTAGACCCTACAATGATGTGTAAGGTACTGGTCGAAGTGGTTTACTTCCACGCCAGGCGTAATGGAGGGGACATTGGTATGTTTTGAAGCATCATGCTATCATACCGGTCATATTACACATCCATTTCCAATATGGGCTTCATACTCGTGTCATGTGACTAATACTTTACTTCACCCCATGCAAAGGAGGCTGTTCAGGCACACATGAAGTACCTGGCTCCCAGAATCTTCTCGAATTACTAACAATGGCCATCCGTAAGGCTTTCACTAGCCTATCTGCCGCCGGCCTTCAACAAATTCCATACAGAGTCAGCAAACGGCAATATCAAGACTCCCAGAATGCAGATGTCAAGCGGTACACCCAACAGCATTCTATTATACAACAACCAGAGGAGCATATGCTTTCTAGTCTGGCCAAAATCCAGTCTTTTGCCTACAATGGAAACCATCATATAGATGCCGATGTCTCTCAGCCTACTAATTCCAGCACTAATAAATACTCCGTTCCAAATCAGAGCTGTTATACCCAACCCGCAATCAGGCATACTGAAGTGATCGATCAACCTTCTGAATATATTATTGATAATGATTTCCAGCCTGCCGACGTTGAAAATCACACTACATCTAGCGTGCCTGATCTTGAACAAACAGCTATTTTTTCACAGGAGTTTGTCGAAGAGGAGCCGGTTCATTCACACGTTGATTTTTCGGGACCTGGCTACGTAACACCTAATTTCTCATCTCAAAGTACCAGAATTGACTCTAGTGGAGAAATTCTACCAAATTCGACTGGTTATACTGATTTTCCAACTACGCAAGATGATGAATTTTATGAGGATATCAGCGATGCAGATTTCGCTGCCATCGTTGACGAAAGTAGTCAGTTCAATAACTTAAATACAAGCTCTCATATAGTTCCTATCATGAGCGAACTCCCAACCCCTGAAAATATGGTTAGAACTCACTATCGTTATAACATATATGAATTTAGCTAACAACATTAAGGATCAATTAATGAGCGACGACTCTTTCATTTCTTCTCTGCAAGCGCCAACACAAGAATATACAACGCTTACGTCTCCCAAATTTTCTCCCAAAAGTCCACAATTCTCGAACCCGTCTGACGGTATGAACTTTGTGTCAGCCAGTGAAGCCCCAGAGTACACGTTCAGAAAGTTCAAGGTAATGGTATATATATTTTTTTTTCTAGAAAAAGATCAAGTGCTTATGACTCTGAAAGGCTCATGTACACACGCCACGCCATACCTTTACCAAGCTTCCAGTGCCAGGGCTGAGTTTAGGGGCTACAACAGTTCAAACACATTTCTGTGTTGATGAAGTATCGCAAATGGGGCTTCGAGATTCACAGAAAGAGACTAATCTCGTCAAATCAACGGTTAAATTAATCGAACTCTATGCTTTTGTTCAAGGATCTTATCGGCTCCGTGACCGCCAGTATTTCTGCTTCGCAGATTTATTTTCTCCCTTACATACTCCCTACCTGTCAGGGGTATGGGAAGGCTGGGCTGGAAACGCTGTTTTTGAACAATGTGGCCAGGAGTTTCTAGGGGCTGGAGGGAGGGAATGGAGTTTCCAGGGATATGAGCGAAAAATATGCCGGGTGATAGGGACCATAAGCCCCCATTCTGATGCCGACAGATACGTTTTCTCAAATCAAATGTCCAAGCAATCACCACCTTCGGTGCAGACCTCAGCACTATTGATTATCAAAAGCATCGAGAATGTCGAGTGGTTTGACCTAGAGCGTATGAGGCGCATCCTTGAGACATAAGAAGTTCTAAGCACGGTGGAAAGTTCGGGCCTAGTAATCATCGCTTTTAAAGTATGAATTATGTCGATACATGATACTTTTCCATGCTTAAAGATAAATTAAGGTATTACTGTAACTTACAGATATCGATTTTAGTCAATTATTTAAGATGATAAATCAAAAATATATTGAATGAATTCAGCATACTGCCGTCTCACAGTTCTATAGTCCAGGACGAGTCTTTTTAAATCCACATTCTAGTCCCTGAAATCTTCCATCTGCGCGCCATTCTTCAAGCATCTTGGTAAATGTGCTTATTGAATGGCTATAAGCACCTTGCTGCAACGTTACCCTGTCTGTTGCCCCTTCAAAATTCGCATAAGCTGGTGTACATTCAGTACTCTGTATTCTTGCGGCATATTGAACCACTGACTCAACCCACTCTTCTTCCGCCTTTTCTGTGGGCTGCACCGTGCAAATTCCTTGTTTTGATGCCTCAGAAACAATATGGGCAATATGTATTGATTGTTCCTCGATCATGACGCTGAAGTTTGGGGAATATGCGAACTGCATCATGTTCATAATGAAGCAGTTAGGAAATCCCCGGGTATACATGCCGTGATACGTTCTAACGCCATTTTTCCAGTGATCGGATAAGGTCTCTCCCTTTTCACCAACTATGACGGCGCCCAAACGGCGCGAGAAATCGGTTCCAACCTCAAACCCAGTTGCATAGATAATACAGTCTAGTACATATTTCTCTCCGTTGGCGATGACTCCGTCTTTGGTAATTTTCTGCACGCCGTTACCGTTGGTGTCCACCAAAGTCACGTTCGGCCGGTTGAAGGAGGGAAGATAGCCCTTATCGAAGCACGACCTTTTACACATTTGACCGTACCATGGCTTCAGTTTTTCAGCAATCACAGGGTCCTTAACAATAGCACTGATCCGTTTTCGAAGTTTTTCCATTCTCATAAAGTCAATTAGTCTGCGCTCTGCGGATATCATGTCGTCATCATTTGTGTTGAGCATACGAGCTATCCGATACCTGGAAAGGTTGTAGAAGATATCCCCAGCAATATCGTTATCAAACATGATATCTTTTCTGATCCCCTCGATCATCAGGTTATATTGCTCTCTTCTTTTCTTTTGCCATCCTGGCGGGAGCTTGATTTCCCTTGTTAATTTAGCCGGATAATCTAGTGCCTCGACGGGTCCCACAGGGGTTCTCTGAAAGACGTACAAATGCGCGGCCGAGTGTGCCAGGTGGGGAACAACTTGCACAGATGACGCACCAGTTCCAATCAATCCTACACGCTTGCTGGCTAGGTTCTTGAGTCCACCATTGTGATCACCGCCTGTAAACTGATAATCCCATCGGGATGTGTGAAAGCTCCGCCCTTTGAACTTCTCTATACCCGGGACTCCAGGAAGCTTGGCTTTGCTCAGAATTCCACTCGCCATCACGATAAAAGTGGCCCTGATAATATCCCGACGGGTTGTATTTGCTATCCATGTTGATTTAGATTTGTTCCAGAACAGTTGTGTTACCACCGTTTGGAACAAAGTCTTCTCGTACAAACCATACCGACAGCCAATCATGCGAGTATATTTGAAAATTTCTTGACCATCAATGTAGTTTTTCGACGGCATATATTCCATCTCCTCCAGTAATGGCAAATAAACAAAGGATTCAATATTACACGATACTCCAGGATACCGATTCCAATACCAAGTGCCGCCGAAATCCCCCGCCTTTTCTACTATACGAAAATCCTTTACTCCGCGCTCGAGCAGTCGCACAGCGGCCAACTGTCCGGCAAATCCACCACCTATAATGAGTACGTTGACATCTTCGGTGACCGGTGGGCGGTGAAACCCAGGCTCAACATAGGGGTCATCCGTGAAGTGGCGTAATGTTCCTTCGGCAGTCTGATATTGGTGAACTCCTTCTTTGCGAATACGCTTGGTTCGTTCGGCGGCATACTTGGCTTTTAAAGCAGCTGGGTTGAAGTCCCATGACTTTTCAGACATAATTAAACAGAGCACACGATATCTTGTCGACTGTGCAGTAGGATATGCGTCGGCCTCGAAAGAAAGTATAGCATAGGGGTTTTAAGCTGCTAAAGGTGGCAAAAAATCGTTGAAATTCCTTGATTATGTATTGGTACCTTCCGGAGCATACCGTCCGTGGCCGATTGCCACCCCCGATAGTAATAATGGAGCAATAACATGGTGAAATTGCGATCTCTTAAGAATAAACGCGTGCTTGAGATAATTCATTTATGTCGTAGTAATCGACGAACTGCAAATTTTCAACGGTATGGGGCGGTTGGAAACCAGGACAATGTCTGTGGCGGTTTGGAATTTTGGTCGACGTTGATCGGAAGCGGAACATCCTAGGGCTGAGTGTGACGGATTATGAGTAGCTGTCGCTAACAGGACCCTATCCAGCAGACAACGGGCTTGGTTTTGATCACCTGATAGGAGGCAGCGCAGCACGACCCAACTATGACCTATTCGAAGGCAATTTTGAGCATCAGTATGTTGAAAATTCTGGAAGAAAGTTACGCACGATATATATACGGGTATCACGTGTCACTCACGCGAGGACGAGGTGCTCTAGATATCAGTTCCATTTATAACACGACTAGCTAGCTATTGTCAGCGAATAAAGCTAACTGTCTTTGTCTAGTTTCTTTCGTGTTTCATCAGCATTTCCGATAATCTAATGGGGTAGGGATAGAGGGAGGCAGTACCTGATTTGACAAATTCATAAATTTCCACCATCACTTATGACTTGATGAAGCTGGAGTATCCGCGCCACGCCGTTTATATTTCCTAGGTTCTGTAATGAGGCGGGGGTCAGTCAATGGGCTGCCTTCACTTTCCAGCCCAAAGAGACAAGGGATTGTTTATTAGAATCTTTACCTTTCCGGCTCATCAGTTTTTTATCTCTGGTTCCCTTTCCACCTTCCCAAAAGCCACCACCACGTTTACCCACAAGATTTGAGTGGCACGTAGAACAAGTTTCTGGATAGTATATCTGTTCACGAGAACAAAATCCACTGTTGTAAAAAGTACGCATCAAAAATATGCACCAAAACAGAGGCAAAATGGAGAGCTAACCAAATCATACGATTTGCATGTTCGTTAGGGTGATCTGACACGGCATCGTGACATCTGATCCATAATGAGCATCTGGTTTAAATTAAAAAAGAGGGGTCTTTACTGACTTATCGCAGGGAAATACTTTAAGACAGCAGCTAAACCTATAATGGGAGTTAGATCTGGGCACAGTAAAATGGTAAAAGCAGGCCATAAATGATCCCAGTCTCATTATAATAGAGCGGCAATTGAGATAATATGAACATATCGGGATCTGACATACCTGAACCATCGATAACTTTTGCGGTAGTGTAAACAGCGTCCACGTCGAGGCAGCTCTTTGCCAGCAACAAGACCAAGAGACTCTTTGTGCTACATTGAATCACATGTTAAAAGTTTTTCAAGAAAGCAAAGAGATATCAGGTGACAAAATATACCTTCTTTATGGCACGCAACGGGTGTGGGGTTGATTCTAGTCGAATAAGTTATTAGATCGAAACGTGTGACGCTATAAGGGAAAGGTTGGTGATCATACCATCCGCTGCAGCTACCATCAAGAACTTCAATTCTGGAATTTTGAAGTCTTGAAAATATGTCAGCCATTGTTATAGCGAACTTAAGAAATTGTATTTGTCCCTTACCCATATGATTGTGGCAACCACGACAGACAACAGTACGGATATCTCCACGAACGGCTATTATCCCTGGAGATGGGTACGTGAATGAACATTCAGAACATGTTGGGTAGAAATGACTATATATCGGCAAGATTTAGTTGAACATAGGGCGATATGGTAAAATGTGCTGTGGCATTCTGCCTAAACATTATAGAACGCAACTGACCTTGGGAGTAAATCGACTGCAGTGCAGCCCTCTAGACGCAACACGCCTCCACGAGTCGAGTTTGAATGCATGAATTCCCGTCGAAATCCTGAAATCAGCAGGTTATCAAACGTGCTCGTCAACTGGCCCACCTAGCTCGATGAACTATTATATCTACAATGGAGCGATACATACCAATATTCATATAGCTCGAGCACTTTTTGCATATCTCAGTTCGTTCAGGAGGTATACTCACGCCATCTTCACCAACTTTCAGACTTTGAGGGTCAAACACGTCTTTACAGCGATCACATTTTAAGGTAAGTGACAAGCGTTTGATTTCTAGAAGTTCAATACCGCGCATTCCTAGGGATGGAAATGATAAGAGAACTTCACGACTGGTTCTGGTATTCCGTACTTCAGTAGCTTCTGCCCCTTTTCCGACATCCTCACTATCAGAATTGTCGGCATCAGAGGCAGAGTCTTCTGAATAGTCACTTTCATCACCAGAATAGTCATCTTCGGCAGCAGCCCATTCTGGAGGCCTTGGGATCATCTGAATATGAGGTCGGTCCTCTATATTCTGTGGCTGTTCTGGATCTATGGGGATATCAAACGCGGCTTCTTCTTGTATAGGTGCCGCTGGTGGGGTCAAAACACCCTCATCCGGTGGCGGAAAGATCATGGTATGGATCATTGCCGAGAGGTAGTTGATATGAGCAGTCAGGCTCATTTCTGGATTATCCTGCACATGTCTATCGAAGGAAATTTCCACGAAACGAGCGCTCTCGTCTTCAACCCCCCAAATGTTGAGCCGGCATGGAACAGCTGGGTAGAAATCGGGAACAACAATATCTACAGCTAAGAGCTGCTTAAGTGAATGTGGTAGTAAGTCAGGTCTGACAGGTCTGATAGGAACAGTGAAGGAGATGCCGTCTGGATGAGCAAAGAATGACCTATCCCTGCCTAAGCGGGAATGGAGCTGAGCGGTTTCTCTGCTTCGTCTGCGAGGATCAGGGGCAACGTCTCCCAAAATATCCATTTTTGTAACTCTTTCAGTTAAATACAGCTTGTTTGTCAAGTAGATAGCCCGCCGTTGCTCACACGTCGTCGACTCTGGGCGAGCTGACCCCGCGTCCCCAACTACGGTGCACTGTTGAGACCAGTGTCGCCAAAATCTACAACTTCCAGTAGAACAAAACACGAGGAACGTATGGAGAAAATAGAGCCGATCTTCGTGCTATTTCTAATAACGAGCAAAACATAAGTTATGCTCGTGGGCTTTATGGCGAAGGCTGATGAATTGGTGTTTGAACAGGTCATTCAACTATTGCTTTGCAATCCCATTCAAACGTTATCAGCTACATAAAAGAAGATAGATTAGTGGGTATAGGGCGACTTCGAGCTCTAGGCCAGATTTATCGTTGATCGTTTGCTCAAGTCTCGACCTCTCTAGATGAAACATGGCTGGCACAAAACCCCCGTGGAATTGCAGCTCGATGCGACTCTGAACAGACAAAAACAGACCACGAGACATTGTCTTTCGTCCTGTTATTTCGATTCTGACGCAACCCCTACGTATGCCGTTTCCTTGTCCGTACAGATTATTTATTATTTATTGCTCGTGCGTACATACACACTAAGTGCCAATACATACACCAAGCGCTGCAGCTAGTTAGCTCGCCATGTGGCAACCCATGCCTGGATTTGCGGGGGAAGAGAGAGGAAGACCACCAGCGTAGATCACACTGCGCCTCTCGGCTCCAAGAGGCAGGTGGCGTTTCTTGGGGTTCTCTTCGTCCCGAAACATGTCCTCCTCCCAGGGGGTTCGTCCTGAAGGGCCGTCGTCCATGCGACGTTTTTTTTGCATTTGACACTTTTCCCTGCCGAGGTCGTACCAAACAGGCAAGGCGGGCGAAGGGCTTGGCGCATTGTTCGAGAAATATTTGCCAAGATTGAGCGCCGCGCGCTCATTGGGCGCGGTGTTTCAGGGCGGGTCATGTGGCTGATGACACGATGACTCCCAACGACGCTGGCCCGCGATCGGGCCTGCCTGGGGCCAGCGCTGATGGGAAGCTGGGGTTGCGAGAGCCAGGGTGCGCAGTGTCACCTGGGGTATCACTGCCGAGCGTCTTTTGATTTCATTCATTTCCTGGTATCGGCAATTGGGCTTTCGCCCGGCTCGCCTGTGCCGAAAGGCCAGCAAGAACTTTTTGAAGGACGGCCTTTGAGGCTTCATGGAAACGAAAAAAACCTTTTTTACTTCGCCATATCTCCACTAGGAACTGGCTCCACTGTGGGTAGAAAAAATGGCCTGTATATTGTGAGGCTTTGGAAATCTCTTTTTTACGTGGTATGGGTGGCCAGTTGGATACGTCCGTAATTATTAGTAGATCTAATCCTCCCGAAAACCACTACTGTCTGCCGAATCAATCCAATGCAGGAAGCGGCAAAAGCCTTGACAAGCTTCTTTCGTCCCGCCAGGGACAGAGGGTACGTACAAAAAACACTCGGTTTAGAATCAGATGACACCTCAAGTCGACTGCCGCGAATATCCTCCCTTCCTTGCCAATATTTCGTATCCAAACGAATTCTCTGAAGGACGCATTATTCAATTGGCCAAGTCGAATTACAAAGTAAGTGATTAAATTCGCTTCTGGTTTCGTAAGGCGTATTCAGCTGAACAGAAGATTTTTTTTTTTCCCTCATGCATTTCTCGGTATGGAGACATAGCATGGGCCGAATCTTGGGGATGGGGGTTTTTTCTGTTTTAAAACCAGCTTCTTGAGAAACACCTTTTTTTTTTGCCCTTCCCGACACAAGGGCGGATGGGATCTCCACTGGCGGCCGATCCATGTTCGCCACGCCAGGCGTCTTTATTCTGGCCCGGCCAGAATCATCATGAAAATCAAGCTAGGCCCGATGCCGAGGGACGCGCGCTGGGGCGGGCTTCACACACAGAGAGCTGCCTCGTCACATGGAGATGGGGGAGCTGCTCCTCGTGAGAAGTGAAACCAAGCAGCAGATTGGAGGGCGCGGACTTGTGTCAATAATCTCTCTCGATCGAGCAGATTTGCCTAGGAGCCTGGGTCTGGTCACAGCTTGTGACGCTGGCGCTTCCAGCCACCAGGGCAAGCAGAGCGACAGCGTAGTGAAAGGATGCAACGACGAGGGCCCTCCAGCCAGCAGCAGAGCATGAAGCCCTAGCGGAGCTCGAATGCTGGTCGCGGCGGCAAGGGTTTAAAATTATTTGTTCGACGCCGTCCAGAAGCTGTGGGGAGGAGAATCGCGGATGCGACCGTTACGTGTATTGGGAAGCTCCGGTCGAACCTTGCTTGTGAGTGGCCAGCGGCGCGTGTATGGTATGTATGGCCGTACGGAGTACCACGCGGTCATTTTGGTTTTTTTCGTCGCAGGCGTATTGCCGTATCGCGGTACCAGCGTCACATACGTTACATACGCGGTACTTTCGCAGGCCCCAGCAAAACCCGCGCGTCGCATCGCCAACCGCCAGTATTTTTCTTGACGGTGTGGGCTCTCATTGTCCCTGCCGCCACGGCCAGCGCTGGTCATCCCGGTAGGGGGGTGTTTCGGTCATGTCCGGTGCGCTCACGTAGGGCTGTTTAATCACCACAGCCCTCACTCCCCTTTGTCGGCATCGGCCTGGCTGGCTGTCTACATGTGTGCCCAAGCGAGGACCGTCGGTATCACACGCGCGCGGCCCACGGTCACCGCTCGCGATGCGTTGGCATTTCACGCGACGGGTTTGCTTCACTTTCCAGGCCGCCGACGGGCACGTGTGTGAACGAATTCGCGGGATGGCGCTGGACAATTGGATGGACGAACGAATCTGTTTCGCAGGCCGCAGTCCAGAACTACATGGCCGGGGGGGGGGGGGGGGGGGGGGGTTTTT